TCAAAGCAACAAGAACTTTCATTGGTGTGACTAATCTCATTTTCTTCCTCAATGCTCTGAAAATTGGATTTTTTAAAAAACCCATTGTTGTAAGTTTAAATGTTTATTTTCCCCAAGACAGCTTGGTCTGGATTTTACTTGGATAAATTTCATAAGCTAGTTTTCTGCTGCGTCTAGTTTTAAACTTTTAACTATATTACTGATGCTAAGGAATGCTGAAAAAAATTAACTGAGTGCAGCAAAGAGTGTTGCACTGTCATCAATTCATGAATGCAGGCTGGTGCAACATTTTTTGTTGTTGATTGGGGTGGTTGCCTCACTCTGACGAGGGCTAACCCATCTTGCCCTTAAGAAATTCCAGTCATGCTGGCAAGCAAACCAAGCTCTCCACAAGACTGAGAAGGGCCCCAAAAGCAAACTGTATTATATGGGATAACCAGGCAATGCTAAATGTCTCTAGTATACCCAAGGTAATTGTTTTCTTTTCTATTGCAAATCCTGTAACTTTTTCCTGCATGCCATTTCTACTGAAGCTAGGGAGACATTGCCTTTAAAAGATATATTTATAATTTTAATTTATATACATTACAACAACAGTTCAACAATAATTCTAACATTTTGAATCTTTCTGTGGTTCCTTATATTTATTTTCACATTCTCTGCATACTCCAAATTATCTTAACTTATTTCATTTGTTTTCATATTTTTTTTGAAACTGCAGTTTTTACAACAATCCTGCCAATGTCTTAATCTGTTTACAGTTTATTTGTAAATATTCAACAAACCATTTCAACTCCTTTTTAAAAAGTTTAGTGTCTTGATTTCTTATTCTTCTGTTAAGCTTCACCATTTCTCCATAGTCGGTTAGTTTCAGTATTCATTCTTCTTTCATTGTGACATCTTCTTCTTTCCATTTTTGGGCAAATAATGTTCTTGCAGCTGTAGTTGCATACATAAATAAATTTCTTAGGGAGACATTGCTGGAGCATACTGGAATATGAAAGGCCAGTAAAGTGATTCACAATATTAATTCTGCCTGTGTGCTCTGATGAATTGATGACGAAGCTGATTCAGAAGTAAGCAAGCACCATCTCCTAATCCGAGGTGACCCGACAGAGCTTAGTGTAATACTATTATGCTTCAAATCAGAATAGATTGTTTCTGCATAAAGTGACATGTAGGAATAGTCTAGTGTCCCCCCTAAAAATAAAAAAGTATGTTTTGAACAAAAGGTGCCTCATGTTCTATTCTATTTGCAGGAGGAATATTTTGAAGAAAGCGTAATCATGTGGCTTAGAATTCTGATTTGCAATGTGCACATTTTAGAAGCGTTTAAGGTGCCATCCTTTTAAATTCTTCTGATCGCCACCACATTTCGTTGTTCCTCCACTGTGTGTTCTTCTGAAGATGCACCCATGCCTTGTAAAAATAATGGAGGTGGGGACATAGGAAGCTGCCTTATATTGGTCTGTCTAGTTCAGTATTGACTCCTCAATGTGTAGGCAAACTATGGCCTGGGGGCCAGATCCTGCCCAAATGCCTTCTAAATCCGGTCCTTGGACGATCCAGGAATCAGCGTGTTTTTACATGAGTAGAATGTGTGCTTTTATTTAAAATGCATCTCTGGGTTATTTATGGGGCAAAAGAATTTGTTCATTTTCCCCCTTCAAAATATAGTCCGGCCCTCCATAAGGTCTGAGGGACAGTGGACTGACCCCCAGCTGAAAAAGTTTGCTGACCCCTCTGACTGGCTGTAGTCCTCCAGGGTTTCAGGCAGGAATCTTATTCCCAGACCTGCCTGGAGACACTGGACAAATGTAATATTTACATGCCAACATTAGGCCCATTAGGGCATCTTGGTGGTTTGCAACCAATGGCCATATCAGAACTGCAATAAAGCCAATCTAAAAGGCAATGGGTTGTATCCAATGGTATCCTTGCCCTAGTGGAAAGCACATACATGCTTGCAAGTTGGAGCTGACATTTTTTCCTGAGCAACCTCATCCACTGCAGCTTCCTGTTCCCCTCCAGGAAATCTACTACTGATGAATAGAATGTAGAATAGAATGTGATGTGGAGGGTTTGGGGGATAATAGATGGGACAACTTATACCAGACTTTATGGCAGGAGGAAACAGAGAGCTCACATAGAATCATAGCATCATAGAGTTGGAAGAGACCACAAGGGCCATCGAGTCCAACCCCCTGCCAAGCAGGAAACACCATCAGAGCACTCCTGACATATGGTTGTCAAGCCTCTGCTTAAAGACCTCCAAAGAAGGAGACTCCACCACACTCCTTGGCAGCAAATTCCACTGTCGAACAGCTCTTACTGTCAGGAAGTTCTTCCTAATGTTTAGGTGGAATCTTCTTTCTTGTAGTTTGGATCCATTGCTCCGTGTCCGCTTCTCTGGAGCAGCAGAAAACAACCTTTCTCCCTCCTCTATGTGACATCCTTTTATATATTTGAACATGGCTATCATATCACCCCTTAACCTCCTCTTCTCCAGGCTAAACATGCCCAGCTCCCTTAGCCGTTCCTCATAAGGCATCGTTTCCAGGCCTTTGACCATTTTGGTTGCCCTCCTCTGGACACGTTCCAGTTTGTCAGTGTCCTTCTTGAACTGTGGTGCCCAGAACTGGACACAGTACTCCAGGTGAGGTCTGACCAGAGCAGAATACAGTGGCACTATTACTTCCCTTGATCTAGATGCTATACTCCTATTGATGCAGCCCAGAATTGCATTGGCTTTTTTAGCTGCCGCGTCACACTGTTGGCTCATGTCAAGTTTGTGGTCAACCAAGACTCCTAGATCCTTTTCACATGTACTGCTCTCAAGCCAGGTGTCACCCATCTTGTATTTGTGCCTCTCATTTTTTTGCCCAGGTGCAATACTTTACATTTCTCCTGTTAAAATTCATCTTGTTTGTTTTTGCCCAGTTCTCTAATCTGTCAAGGTCATTTTGAAGTGTGATCCTGTCCTCTGGGGTGTTAGCCACCCCTCCCAATTTGGTGTCATCTGCAAATTTGATCAGGATGCCCTTGAGTCCATCATCCAAGTCGTTGATAAAGATATTGAATAAGACCAGGCCCAAGACAGAACCCTGTGGTACCCCACTAGTCACTCTTCTCCAGGATGAAGAGGAACCATTGATGAGCACCCTTTGGGTTCGGTCAGTCAGCCAGTTACAAATCCACTGAGTGGTCGCATAGTCAAGACCGCATTTTACCAGCTTCTTTACAAGAATATCATGGGGCACCTTGTCAAATGCCTTGCTGAAATCAAGGTAGGCTACATCCACTGCGTTCCCTTCATCTACCAGGCTTGTAATTCTGTCAAAAACGAGATCAGGTTAGTCTGACATGACTTATTTTTCAGAAATCCATGCTGACTATTGGTGATCACAGCATTCCTTTCTAGGTGCTGACAGACTGTTTGCTTAATGATCTGCTCCAGAATCTTCCCTGGTATTGATGTCAGACTGACTGGGCGGTAATTATTTGGGTCCTCTTTTCCCCCCTTTTTGAAAATAGGGACAACATTTGCCCTCCTCCAGTCTGCCGGGACTTCGCCTGTTCTCCAGGAATTCTCAGAGATGACTGCCAGTGGTTCTGAGATCACATCTGCCAGTTCTTTTAATACTCTTGGATGCAGTTCATCTGGCCCTACCAATTTGGCCTACCAATTTGGGCCTACCAATAGGCCTACCAATTTGGGCCACAGCCCAATGTTTCTTTAAAGAAACCAGAAGACTGTGAATGGGAAGTCCCCAATTCCCATCTTATTTGAGTCATGGATTTACTTCTCTTTCAGCTGAAGCAATATGGTCACACAGATATATTGACTTTAAATATTTTTTTAGCAGTAGCATATTATTACTCTTACCATCCATGTGTTCAACTGCAGTGGTACCTCAGGTTACATATGCTTCAGGTTACATACACTTCAGGTTACACACTCTGCTAACCCAGAAATAGTGCTTTAGGTTAAGAACTTTGCTTCAGGATAAGAACAGAAATTGGGCTCCGGTGGCGCAGCAGCAGCTGGAGGCCCCATTAGCTAAAGTGGTGCTTCAGGTTAAGAACAGTTTCAGGTTAAGAACGGACCTCCAGAACGAATGAAGTACTTAACCTGAGGTACCACTGTATCTCAGACTCACTTTGATCTCCAATGTGGCCCAACTCTCCAGTTATTACAAAGTGAGGTGCTTCTGGCAAAATGCTCCTTGGGATCAGTGGGCCCCCTAGGCTAGCTTACCATCAGTGGTGGGCAATGGCACTGCTGTGATCTGAAGCAGGCAGCCACGAGCCATTTGCCATTTTAACTACCCAGAAGAATCAGGAGGGACTGTGGCCCAAAAAAGGTATCAGCCATTGTGGGTCATGCTGGGGCATTTGGCCCTTTGTAACTGCCTGATAGTACCAGGTGCTGCCACTGGGTCTGGCTGTGCATTGAGTTTCCAGAGGTGCTGTGTGGAAAATGCCTGCATTCTTTTCCAGCTGCTCTCCATCAATTAATGAGAAAAGCCTGTATTTGATCATTATCAAAGGGGAGTGAAATTTTGGAGGAATTATCATTGGTACAGGGCTTTTGTGTGTGTTTTTACCTTATTTTCAAGGTGGCCATGGGATGCTTGTGAGTGCCTTTGCTCTGCAGCCTTCCTGGGTGTCGCACTTATGGAAATCCTGATTTGGGCTGTGCTGTAAGTGTAGGGGGCAAGTATGCTGCCTATCATGTGTCTGACCACAGTCCATTACTGTTGCTCTTTTAAATGTGAAGTCTTTGCATTTTTAAGAAAATCAGTGCAGAAATTGGTTTTTAAAAACATAAACAGGAGTTCCCTAAAAAAGAAAAACCCCCAGCATGCATCTAATGTGCTCAGTAGCCCAATCGCCTGTCTTCTAACACTTCACTTAAAACCCAGTGGAAGAATGCATTGTGGCTTTAACTCCTCTCTTGGGGATTTCTGAGATCAGGAAGCACAGGCAGCTAGGGAGGCTGCAGAGTCCTGAAGGAATATTTATTGGGAAGAAACTATCCATGGATATGTTGCAATTAAGCTCAGTCCTGCATCCACTGGAAGCAATCCTGAAGCACCTTGAGAAGTTGTCGGAAAAGTGGAAGCCTTCTTCATAGGTGAGCAAAATGTTTGAGAAACTGGAGGACAGGTTTTCACATGGTACAGCCTCCCATCTGGACACAGAGCTGATCCAGTCCGGCTTCCACAATATTGGTGCATCATGCGCTTTCAGACCACGCCAGGGATTCTGCACTGGCTGTTGATAACACAAGTGCTGAGCACTAGCTATTTCATGCTGTAGTCATCCTCCTCCTATCCTCCCCCCTTTGCTTTGTGTCTTTGATTTTCCTGATGGACAAAGAGGAAGAAAAAACCTTAAACAAGGAAAGGAAAGGAAATGGCGGCAGGGGCTTCCGGGGGGCGGCGCGAACGGCAATGGCGGTCTTCTCCCGACGGGAGAGGAAGCTCCGCTGAAATCGGGTCGTCCGCTACGGCGAAGCGGAGACCCAACGAGAAAAACCCCAGGCAGCAAGAGCCTGGGGTCCTGAGGCTCGGCGGGCGCCAAGAGCAGCCCTCCAACTGCAGAAGGAGCCTCGTAAGGGGCTCCGGAGCGTGGAGGGGGGTTGCGGCGCTGTGAGCCGTTTCACAGTCAGCGGAGTGAAGCCGCGCTGCTGCTGCCGGTGAGCGCTGATCCCTTTTCCTGTTAAAATTCGGACCTGGAAGAAAACAACTTACTCGTGAGTAAAGACTGAATCACTTGGAATTACAAATTTTAAATGAGAAGGTTTAATTTGGCTTGAATTTGGCTGAAAGCGGAGAGACGTGGAAACAGGAAGTCCGTCTTCCGCTGCCATTGAACTTGGAAAAAAAGCAACTAAGGCGGAGGAGTGGAGGCTGAAAGAAAGAGACTTTAAACTCTACACAGCCAAGCATCTATGGAACTTACAATTTAAAGTAAAACTAGTAAGTTAAAGATTTGGATCTTTTATTTGTACTTGACTTTCCCCTTTTATTGGATTACAAATTGGAAGGTGAAACCCAGAGTCAGGATTGTTTGAGCACTGTAAGAGCGAGCTGTCAGTGTTGATTTGGATACTGTATATTAGAAGTTGCAACAATCTGAGGGTATTGAGACCTTTTAAATTTGAAACATTCTTTTGGAGACAAATAAGCACTGTCTGCAACAAAGTGATTACTTTTAAACTCTGCTTAATACTTATATTGGAAGGTTCTGGGACATTAAATCAGACTCTGAAAGACATCTTAAGCTCCCTCTAGAGGATTGGATTAAAACAGTGACTTTACAAATACATTTACTTTCGATTCCCTTGTTGTTTGCTTGCTCTGGGCCTTTCTATTCCTGTGGGAAAAACTCAGTGTGACCTTGACTGATAGATAACATTGGAATGAGTGGTACAAGAAGAAGAGGAAGAGTTAGACAAACAACTCTAACAACTCTAACCTCAGCCTCGCAGACACGTAGATCATCTGTGCCTACTTTGCCCTCAGAAGTACAACTTGAAGAAGCTGACTTGCCACAGGCAAAAGAGGGAGAGGGTGAAGCAGAGCAGTTACAATTGGAAGATATGGCCTCAGGATCATCTGTTTCTGTGCTAGAAAAATCTTTGAAAAATTGGAAGCTTTGGACAAGAAAGTAGATGCGCAATCAGCAAAGATTGATAAAAATACAGACTGTCTAAACAAATTAACTACACAGGTGGGACAGAATACACAAGCAATTGGACAGTTGACGGAGGCCTCAGTAGAAAACCGAAAATTGGCTGAGGATACCAGACAAAAATTGGAAAATTTAGAGCAAGAGGTAAGACCACTCACTAAACAAGTTGGGGAACATCAGACTTATCTTTCTATGATAGAACTGCGAAATCGTGAGAATAATTTGAGGATTAGATCATTACAAGAGGCAGAAGAAGGAAATCTAACTGAGTTTTTGACCAAAGAACTTTCCAAGTTCTGGAATTTGGAAGAAAAGGACTTTAAAATTGTGTCAGCTTTCAGACTTGGAAGATTTATAAAGAAGGAGAGGCCCAGGGATTGTTTGATTACATTGAGATCGAAGGAGGAAAGGGATAAGATTTTGGGTCTACATTACGAAAAGTCACTGGAGGTTTTGGATAGAAGAATTGAGATATATAAAGATATCCCAAGACAACTGTTGGACCTTAGAGCCGCCTACTCTGAACTTGCTAAACTACTAAGGAGCAACGCAATTCCATTCAGGTGGGAATTTCCCCAAGGATTATCTTTTACCTTTAGAGCGAGAAAGGTCAAAATTAGAACATTGGAAGAGAGAGATAAATTTCTGGCTACATACGGAGAGGACCTACATAAAGGAATTGAACTACCTTCCGGGCCTGGGGCAAAGCCAGCGTCAATACCTCCACCTGGGGAGCTTGAAGACCCAGAGAAGACACCACCCCGGGAGAAATAACCAGACAGATCCAGGATGTCTCTGCAACTGTTGAGCTGGAACATTAATGGTTGCAATATTCCGGAGAAAAGGAAGAAAATATTTCATATATTAAAAAAGAACAATTGGACATTATTTGTTTACAAGAAACACATGTGACGAGGCTCCACAGAAAAGTGTTAATAAATAAAAGATTGGGCCAGGAATTTATTTCGTCGGACAAAGTGAAGAAGAGAGGAGTGGTGATATATGCAAAAGAGAGCCTGTCACCTAAATTTCTATTTAAAGATGAACATGGAAGGATTTTGGCTATTGAGATACAATATCAAGGAGAGAAACTGCTGATATTAGGAATCTATGCGCCCAATGAAGGGAAATCGGAATTTTACAAGAAGTTGCAGGGGACAATGCTGGATCATCTGGATTACAACAACATCATAATGATGGGAGACATGAACGGGGTCGTGTCAACTAACATGGACAAGTCGCAAAGTCAAAATGTCACAAAAGATGGCAGACTACCTAAAACCTTTTTGAAATGACTGACAATATGGACTTGATTGACATTTGGAGAACAAAGAACCCACTAGGTAGAGAAGGAACATTCTTTTCTGAAGCCCAACTGACCTGGACAAGAATCGACCAAATATGGATCTCTAGAGGCCTGGCACCTAGGGTTAGAAAAGTGGAAATCTGCCCAAAGACCTGCTCTGACCACAACGCAGTAAAGATGGATATGACACTACTACCAACTGGATCCTTTAGATGGAAGATGAATGACAATTTGTTTAGAGATCAGGAAATTACCAAGAAGGCCCAAAAAGTTTTGAAAGACTATTTCGAGATAAACATGAACAATTCGGTGGAAAAAGAATCGTCTGGGACGCAAGCAAAGCTGTCATGAGGGGATTCCTGATACAACAGAATGTAGTAAAGAAAAAAACACAAAATGAGAAAAAAGACAAGATTTTGGATAAAATAAAAGAATTAGAGAAGAAATTAAGAGTGAATCCAAAGTCACAGCCAACTCTGAGAGAAATTAAACTGTATCAAACACAATATTCTAAATTGATAAATCAGGAAATTGAATGGAAGATTAAATTAATGAAACAAAAACGTTTGAGTCGGCGAATAAATGTGGAAAACTGCTATCTTGGCAGTTGAAGAGAAGACAAAGATTAAATACGGTTACAAATTTAGAGGTCGATGGAAGAAACATTCAGAATCCAGTGGACATTAGAAAGTGTTTCCAGAGATATTTTAAAAACTATATACCCAAGGGCCGCAAGACGAAGTCGAGATTAAACAATTTTTGCCAAAAATGGATTATCTAAACTGTCACAAGAAAATAGGACAACCCTGAACTCTAAAATAACACGACAGGAGATTGAACAAGCTATTCAGAACATGCAACTTGGCAAATCTCCAGGGCCAGACGGGCTGACCTCCAAGTATTATAAGACACTAAAAGACTATTTGATACAACCCTTGATGGAGGTTAGCAATGAAATTATGGAGGGGAAGAGGGCACCGGATTCGTGGAAGGAAGCGTTTATCACATTGATACCAAAGTCAGAAGCTGAAAAGACACAACTGAAGAACTACCGTCCCATCTCCCTTTTAAATGTGGATTACAAAATATTTGCAGATATTTTGGCAAGTAGATTTAAAAAGTTTTAAATGAAGTAATTCATAAGGACCAGGCCGGTTTTCTCCCAGGTAGACATCTGTTTGCTAACACAAGGAACATTATTGATATCTTGGAACTTCTCCAAACTGACATAAATACAAAAGCAGTTTTAATTTTTATAGATGCGGAGAAGGCCTTTGATAATATTTCTTGGAAATTTATGATGGGAAACTTAAAAGAGATGGGAGTGGGACGGGGTTTTGAGAATGGGATTGAGGCGATATATTCAGAACAGAAAGCTAAACTGATAGTTAATAATGTGGTTACAGAAGAGTTCAAAATTGAAAAAGGGACACGACAAGGTTGCCCTATCTCCCCTTTGTTATTTATTTCGGTTCTGGAAGTGCTATTGAACATGATTAGAGGGGACCAGTTGGTGGAAGGAATTCAGGTTGGTCAGAAACAATATAAACTAAAAGCTTTTGCAGATGACCTGGTTTTGACCTTGCAGAAGCCAGAGCCTAGTACGAAAAGAGTATTACAATTGATTAATGACTTTGGTCGGGTGGCGGGATTTAAATTAAATAAACAGAAAACCAAGGTTTTGGGAAAAAATTTGACTGAGACAGAGTCAGAACGGTTTCAGAATGAGACGGAACTTAATGTGGTTAGAAAAGTAAAATACCTAGGGGTAAACATAACAGCAAAAAATCTAAGTCTATTTAAGGATAACTATGAAAAATGTTGGACAGAAATTAAGAGAGACTTAGACAGTTGGTCAAAATTGAAACTTTCTTTGTTAGGCCGAATTGCTGCGATTAAGATGAATGTATTGCCAAGAATGTTGTTTTTATTTCAAACACTTCAGGTTTTGGACAAAATGGAGTGCTTTCAGAAGTGGCAGAGAGACATTTCGAAGTTTGTCTGGCAGGGCAAAAAGCCCAGAATTAAGTTTAAGATACTAACTGATGCAAAACAAAGAGGGGCTTTGCCCTGCCGGACTTAAAGTTGTATTACGAAGCCGCAGCGTTCTGCTGGCTAAAAGATTGGCTACTTCTTGAAGACACTGATGTGTTAGATTTGGAAGGGTTTAACAATGTTTTTGGATGGCATGCATATTTATGGTATGACAAAGTTAAAGCAAATAAGGCCTTTAAGAACCATATTGTTAGAAAATCACTGTTTAATGTCTGGACAAAATATAAAGACTTGCTGGAAAATAAAACACCAAGGTGGCTTTCACCTTTGGAAGCTAAGGCCCGAAAAAGACCCAATATGGAGGCCAAATGGCCAAAATATTGGGAAATACTAGAAAAAGATGGAGACAATTGGAAATTGCAGAGTTTGGAGAAAATGAAAGACAAAGTGCGAGATTGGTTACATTATGCTCAGATTAAAGAAGTTTTTAAAAATGATAAGAAACTAGGGTTCCAGGTGGAGAAATCGAAATTAGAAACAGAATTGTTAGAACCAAAGACTAAGATACTTTCAAGGATGTATAACTTGCTGTTGGAATGGAATACACAAGATGAAATGGTTAAATCGGCTATGATAAGGTGGGCACAGGATATTGGGCATAATATTATGTTTGAGGACTGGGAAAGGCTGTGGAGTAATGGATTGAAATTTACTGCATGTAATGCTTTGAAAGAAAATGTAATGAAAATGATTTATAGATGGTATATGACCCCAGTCAAACTCGCAAAAATTTACCACCTGTCTGATAACAAGTGCTGGAAATGTAAAGAGTGTGAAGGAACGTTCTTTCACCTCTGGTGGACCTGCCCTAAAGTGAAGGCGTTCTGGGAAATGATTTATAATGAATTGAAAAAGGTATTTAAATATACTTTCACTAAGAAACCAGAGGCTTTCCTTTTGGGTATTGTCAGCCAAGGGGTGGCAAAGAAGGACCAGACATTTTTTATGTATGCAACAACAGCAGCAAGGATACTACTAGCAAAACATTGGAAAACTCAAGATCTACCCACACTGGAAGAATGGCAGATGCAACTGATAGACTATATGCAACTGGCTGAAATGACTGGCAGAATCCGTGACCTGGGAGAAGAGAGAATCGAGGAGGATTGGAAGAAATTTAAGAACTATCTACAAAAGCATTGTGATTTGACTGAATGCTGAATAAGATGCTAGACTAAATAACTGAGCACCACTTAACTTAGAAGTTTTTAAGAAAATAAGAAAAACTGTGAAAGTTTAACTCTTTATGAGAACTTTAAGATTATGAAATATCGAAGAGATATAAGAACTTAAATAAGATGATAAATTGCTGACAAAATGTTATAATGATGAAGGTGGGAGCGGGAGATGTGAGGAAGTCCAAAGAAAATGTGAAATTATGTTAAGACGAATGTTATATTGTTTATTACATTTATTCCTATTGTAAAATCCAATAAATTGCTTTAAAAAAAAAAAAGGAAAGGAAATGGCGGCAGGTGGTTCAACCTGCTTTTAATCAGGTAATGTTCCAGTTGCACAGCCCTCAAAGAAACCGCTCTGATAGGCTTTAATATTCCATGCCAAAATGCATCAGGGTTTCTTTTATTTCATTCGCACACCTAGAAGTTCTACTTAATGACTTAAGTCCTATAGGTCTGGAGGAGCTTTCTTCATCAGCCTTAAGTGCAAAATCCAATTGCAAATGACATAATGCATTAATGTGCTCTCAGGCTTGCACCAGTGGGAAGGATCTGCCTCTTTCCAAGATGTGCCCTTTCAGAAGCTTTGGCATGATACATTGGACTAATGAAATTGCTTGAGCAGCTGGCTGCAAAGTGCCCGCTTTCAAATCGTCTAAGGAAATGTAAAAAGATATTGTTGTTGCTGGTAGTTTATTTATACAGATTTTCTGTTTAAACAAGTGTGTGTCTATTGCTTTTGTAAGCATGTAAAATAGCAATCATGGCTGGACAAGTGTCACAAATTCAGAGTGTATTTAGTGCCCAGAGTATATTTATTCTGTGTGGTTCTCTCCCCCCCCCGCACCTTAGGGGCCCTGCTGTGTTGCTGCATAGCTGTAAAAGTGCATTATGCAGACATGATGGCCTCCTAAAATTATTCTCCTTGTTTGCAGGAGGCAAAATAGAGGTAGCCATTTTAGCAAATGTTCTTGGGGTAGGAGCAGAATTCTTCAGCTGTGTAGAGAAGGGTGTTGAAAAAGAAAATTATCAGAAAATTTAATATACTTTTTTAAAGGCATCTTGACTGAATGGGACTATAGTATATAGTTACTTCCTTCATTCACCAGTATGAACTCATAGGCAAAGAAAGGGGGACAAGAAGAAGAAGAAGAAGAAGAAGAGGAGGAGGAGGAGGAGGGAAAGTCCATTGCTTCCTTCCATCGTTTTAAAATATATTGGGCTAGATGCACAGTTGTGCTCAAAACTTCCCCATCCTACTAATGGGTGGAGAAGCTGAGGGGCATTTTGCCAAATATTCTCCAAGTGTGAGGGAACATTTCCAACCATTTACAGTGGTACCTCAGGTTACAGATACTTCAGGTTACAGACTCCGCTAACCCAGAAATAGTTCCTTGGGTTAAGAACTTTGCTTCAGGATGAGAACAGAAATTGTGCTCTGGCGGCATGGTGCCAGCGGGAGGCCCCATTAGCTAAAGTGGTACCTCAGCTTAAGAACAGTTTCAGGTTAAGAACCGACCTCCGGAACGAATTAAGTTCTTAACCCGAGGAACCACTGTACAGACAGAACCTGAAAAAAAAAATCTGAGAGAATATCTCAGGTCACCTTTGCACTGTACTTTTGAGGCAGCATCATACCACTTTAAGCAGTAATGGCTTTGCCCAAAGAATCCTGGGAGCTGTGGTTTGTTAATGATGCTAGGTGAGTTGCTAGGTGACCCCTATTCCCCACACAGAACTTCAGTTCCCAGAGTTCTCTGGGGAGAGGGATGGTTATACCACTCTAGGAATTTTAACTCTGAAGGAGAACAGGGGTCTCCCAACAACTCCCAACAACCTTAAAAAAGTTACAGCTTTCAGGATTCTTTGGGAGAAAGCCACAACTGTTGGTATAATAATGGTTTAGGTGTAGAGTATGGATGTGGATGAATATATAATTGATTATATTGATTAGGAGTCTGGAAAACTCAATAACCATGGGCAAAATCATTTATTTCAGGCTCAGATACCTCTCCCCCCAACAATCTGAGGATAAAAATATCGACCTTTACGAAGCTTCTCTCTCTCTTACACACACGCGCGCGCGTGCGCGCACCCACCCACCCACCCACCCACCTTCTTCCTTCTTCCAGTGCAGGGACTTAATCACATTGGCACTTTGTCCCCTATTTCACATGTAGGTTCCTTGGTAGAAAATGGTGCCGTTAGGGCTGACTATGGGATGGAGGTCCAGATCTCCCTTGGAGGGAAACCAAGTGGCAGCTGACTTCCGAGGCACTCTGGGAAATGAAGATTGCAGAAATGAGTGTTTGGTGCCCACTCTGCAAAACATTTCGAGAAAAATGAGAAAAAGGTGCAAGAGCTGTTGCTGCTGCTGCCAGCACCACATGGTAAGGAGAGGGAGGGAGATCAACCAGGTGGGTGGCACCTGAGATTTGACCGGGGGGGGGGTTGTTTTATTTTTTGTTTAACAATAAAGTGGTGTATAAATTTATGAAATAAAACAAAGCAATGAATAATAAATAAACATTTATCTACTTTTCACACCACAAGAATGGTGGCATATACAAAACTGACGAAACACTTTTGTGGTGTCAACTTCTTATAGGAACAGGTGTGGATGCTGTAATACAGTGGTACCTCAGGTTAAGTACTTAATTCATTCCGGAGGTCCATACTTAACCTGAAATTGTTCTTAACCTGAAGCACCACTTTAGCTAATGGGGGCCTCCTGCTGCCGCTGCGCCACTGTTCTCATCCTGAAGCAAAGTTTTTAACCTGAAGCACTATTTCTGGGTTAGTGGAGTCTGTAACCTGAAGTGTATGTAACCTGAAGCATATGTAACCCGAGGTACCACTGTATTTGAAACTGGGCTGGTGGTGCAAGGCCTGTACAGTCATCCACCAGGGTGAACAAACCTTCTGTTTCTGCTTTTTGCCTTTGTGAAAACAAGTCTTTCTAGCACCAGGTAGGCCACAAATATACAGCCAGTGCAGCTCAGTGTGTTTGCCTGCTATAAACCCAGTGGCTGCTCAATCCATGGATTCACTGTGTAATCTACTCAGCATTTAAAGTGATATTTGGCATTTGTAGCACTTGTAAAATATTTGCACATATTTGGGTTGCCATATGACCTCTTTTTCCAGGACACGTCTTCCTTTCCAGGATTAAAATTTCTGGCTGGGAGGATTTTTAAAATTTGGTAAAAATGTCCAGGGGGGTTAGTTAGTTAGTTTTGTTTATAGTAACCAAAGAATTTTTTTCTAGTGCATCAGATCTAAGGCACCCAGCTAAGCTAGTCTGCAGCAGAGAATCACAACAGAGCAGCATCTTAAACTAGCTGCATACTGTATACTTGTGGCTGAACTAAAAAGACACTGGCTCAGCTACAAAATCTTGGAGGTGTCTGGGAGGGCAAGAGCTAACATCCCCCTGCCATTAAAGAGAGTCCATATGTAGATGTTAAACAGTTTAATAAACTGTTTTGTGCACACTTATGTTCACAAAGATGTGAACATGAGCCCAAATACTTTCATGTGGCAAGTGAGCGAGCAATATGTATTATTATTATTTTGTTGCTGAAAGTTAAGAACATTGCTGCTAGCAATATATCAGAGCTTCTATAGCCTACATATAGTAGTATTCAAAATGAGAGTTGTCATAGTGATCCATAACTAAAAGTAGAACGTGTCCTTTTTTTTTGCTCTTCAAAATATGGCAAGCCTGCCTTATAACCCTGGAAGATAGGCCCATATTATTATCTCCTTATTGCTGGTTCTAGGGGAGGTGCTCAAGCTGAGAACAGTGGGCTGACTAAGGCAAGCTCCTGAGCTTGTGGCCTAGAGGAGGTCTGAGGCAGAGATTTTCTGCCTTGCAGGTCACGACTCATACCTGAGCTACTCATTCGTGTGAAAAGTCTGTCAATCTTCCTCCGTTTGGCTGAGATTCAGACCAGGCTGTTGCTGTACCACTGAATCTCTCTTCAGTTCAGCAAAGATGTGTGTGTGTGTGTGTGTGTGTGTGTGTGTGTGTAAGAACAATATTATTAAAATCATCATATTATGGCTTTTTAAAAGCTATTCCCCCCCAAAAAAAGTTTCCATGTTTTCTACCCACAGCACGACTTCAATCCATTCATCCATGTGAAACATTTAATACTGAGAGAGGTTGCTCCAGAAGACCCAATCCCCCAGATTGTTAAAATATTGTTGACTGGATAGTGAAAAGGATAATTTTTGTTCCATAAGCAAAAAGCTGCTCATCTTTAGGAACATTGCTTTGAAACTGTGTACTGAGGGAAGAAAGAAACATCTCTCCCTCTCCCTCCCTCCCTGTGTGTGTGTGTGTGTGTGTGTGTGTGTGTGTGTGTGTGTTTCCAGGAAGCAATAAGCACCTACATGAAAATAACTCCATCCTTAATCCCCTGCCTATCCGTTTTTATCTGATGGCTTCGGCACGGGCAGGAAGATCACTGCGCGGCAGAAAACGAAGGCGCGTTAACAAGATGTGGCCAGTCCCATGGATAAAACAATAGAGAAAACCCTCTTCCACTTTGTCTAGCACCCTGGTGCCGTTCTCATGCCCAGGTCACAATGTGGCTCATGGTGGGCTTAGTGTGTTGCCTTGTGTTTGGGGGGCTGCCGTTGGCTCTCGCCTCGTGCCCTTCCCAATGTAGTTGCGCTTTCCACAGTATCAACGAAGGGACGAAAGCAAGGTACGTTGGCAACTGTCTATTTATTTTATTCCTTGGTGGGCTTTGAAGCGTTGTTTCGTGAGTAGAGGTTAGCGCGTTGCCTGAGCAGAACCACCCCCCCCCCAAGTAGACGTGGGTCACTCCATGGCTCTTTGTTGCAAATGTTATTTTCCCAATCACTTTGTACTACAGCTTTCTGCACAGTCGGATTAGCTCCAGAGCAGACTGTAATCTGATTTCAGAGATGTCATTTGCTGATCTTCTGTATGCCAAAGGCAGAAGCAATATAATTAACATTGGTACAATGTTAGGCAAAAGGGGCACTAAAATTGAGCTTTTGGAAAATATATGTTCAGGGAAATGGTTTTCATCACCATGTTGGACCAACAAATAAAACATAACCATGGACTTTTCATTATTATTTTTTAAAAAAAACACCAGACCGCAACAGTACCTATATATTTTATTTTGCTTCCAACCTTCCAGCTGAATTCTTGTTCTTGAAACTAGCTAAGATATGAAGCTTACTCTGTTTAAGGATTTCTTTTTTCCGATTTGGTGTTTTTTGTTTTGTCTTGTTAAAGAAAAGCAGCAACAGATGTTTCCATTTTTTCAAGGGCATACATGTTGATCATGGCGACAGAGATGCTCATTCAAAGTATTATGTAAAATGCTTGCAAGCATGGAACAATATGTGCCTACACTGAGCCTGCCTAAACAGGCAGCCAGTGAGATTTGCAGAGAAGTGAGCTTGTTTTGTTTATCTAAATTTGTAAGCACTTAAAAAACACACACCACATCTCTAGTACCATATACAGGAATGAATAACATGTAAAATAAAATGTAATACTCAGGACTCATATAGTGCCTTTTGATCTCCGCCGAAAATACTTTGCATATATTGCCCTGGCTGTTCTTATAACAACCCAGTAACACTGGTCGGAATTATCTCCACATTACAGACTAAGTTTTTTAGCCTGAGAAATAACGCTTTGCCTAAGGTTGCCTGGAGTGTGCCAGTGGCGTTGCAGGCAGCTCACATTTGTAGCCTCCACATCTATACATGCCATGTGCAATTGCGCATGGATATACAGTGCACGCAACAGGTTTCCTGTTGAACAATTAAGCTGAAAGAAATGAACGATTGATTATTGTAGCACGTAATATGAATATTTGGATGCTCAATTGGGAAAAAAAGCATTTTGATTGCTGTGAGAGTAATATCATCCATTCTTACATATAAGCCAATGGCGCTAGTAAACATTCTTTGGTTACCATTTTAGGAACAAAAGGAGAGTTATTTCTAATTACCGTGCAGATCCCACGACTCCTTATAGAATGATCAATGCTCTGGGGTGTTAGAATATAATCTAAACTAATCTAGTTAGAAATATTCAAAGCAATTAGGCAATGGAGCAAGCTGCCCTAAGAGTTTAAAGAGGAAGGCGGACATGAATTTTATCAGGGCGATTTTACTTATAGTAACATGTCTCAGCACAAGACATTAGGGCAGATCCTTCCAAGCCGAGCAATTTCTGTATGAACTTTGAAGTGATTTCTGTTCCATACTGAAAAGCTCACATTTAGGGCAGCAGCGTTGCCAAGTAAAGCACTTTATTTTTCTCTCTGTAGGAATGAATGGTGATGTTTCACTTATATGGACGAAAGAAGCAGAAGCAATTGAGGCCTGCTCCCTTCCTCTAGTTAGGAGGGATGGGCAGATTTCAGTTTTTCTCAGTTTCTTATTTCTCCATTCTTAAGTTCATTTCTCCACATTTCCACATCAGCTTGCAATTATTTTTCTAAGTTCTCACAAAAAATTCATCAGCATTCCAGAGCAGATTTCTCTTCAGATATATGTCTCTTTATGCAATTTTGCCAAATATAAACAATTTTGTAAAGCAATTTCATCTAATACAATGTATTTTTTGTACATCATCTTTACAAATGCATGTATTTATATGCATGATTGCCCCCAATATATGGATTTTTATATGCATTACATGACCGGAGAACTACATTGCAAAGTTTGGAGAAGTGAAAATTCCGAAAGATGGCTTTGTTTCAGATTTCAGATTGTTTTGGAAAGTATCTGGTAGGTTCACCTTGAACGTGAACTGAATCTCATTTACATCTCCCATCTCAACTAGTGAGTGGACCTGGCCACTGAAATTCATCATCTACTTGCACAAATAGCCATGCTGGATTCTGCTTCTTGGAAGGTCATTCTTGGAACACTGGAGACTGGCTTTCACGACTTGAGTACTTTGGAAAGACAGGATAAAAATATTTTGAGTACATTATTGACATAATACTTATATAGAGGTGTCACAAGCTTTTTACCTGGTATAATAAACAGCTATGAATCTTATTGGATTATTCAGATGTTGTTGGACTCCAACTCCTATAATCCCAGGCTACTAACCATATGGACTGGGCCGGCCCACCCAAGGGGCAAGGTGAGGTGACCTCCTCAGGTGGCAGGATCCACAGGGGCAGTAGATCCTGATGTAACTCTTCATCGACTCCTTTTTCCCTGGCAGGGAGAGGAGCGCCATTTTGTGGTTCACCTCAGGTGCCAAAATGTGTTGGGCTGGCCCTGCATGTGGGATAGGGCTGATGGGAGTTGTAGTCTGAAACATTTAGAGGGCCACAGGCTGCTCATCCCTGCAATGGGCAGCTGCAGAGGACGGTTAAATTTATTACAAAGTGTGCTGTCACTCTGCATAATACAAGATGTGGCCAATGCCCTGCATGAACTCAGTGTGTATCCTAGAATGCATCCCAGAATTCTCTGTGGTGTACAGGAGTCCTTTGGCAGACATGAAATGGGTGTGGAAGGGGTTCCATGAATTTAGACATGTTCAAGGATTTTTATTTTATTTTATTAGTTGCATTTCTGGCTCACCCTTCCTCCCAAAGTAGCTCCAGCAGCAAACAATGACACAATGCAATTTTAAAAATCTGAAACCAATATCAAGTCACATATTCGTACAACGAAAAATGTCCATGTTGCCAGGAACAGTATCTTTCCACCATTAAATGCCTGGGAAAACAGGATTCTTTAGAAATTCTACTACTGTAGGAACAAGAGGCAACAACTAGCCAATTTTATGCTACTTTATGCTTCTGTTGATTTTGGTGTGTTAAAGATCTGCATTAGGCTGCGATCCTAAGCATAGTCACTTGGATTTCAATAGGAGTGACTCCCAAGTAGTTCCATTATTTTTGTATCGTTTATAGCCCATCTCCCTTTCATCAAAGTGGTGGCCTACAGTATGTGGTTCCCAAGCATTCACCTCTGCAGGCACTAGGGAACAGACCCAGAGCTGCTTAGCTCCAGCAAGGTGGTGCCCACACATGCCTTCAGATCACACCCTGGTTTCAACACAATTAGCATTAGGTTTCAAACATCTCTCTTTGAAAGTCATGGGGTTGAAAAGTGCTTACCATTGAGTTATGCTAGGACCGGCATGATTAGTCAGCACCATTGGGCATCTGCTGAGACCCCCAGTTTGGGGGAGGGCACTGGTGGCCACCAGAGCCAGGTGGTGCTGTTGCCATTGCCAACTACCCAACCTCTCTGGCCAAGGGCGAGAACATCAGCAAACAGTGGAAATGAGTAGAAGGAGCTGCAGTTGCCACTGCCTGCCCACTCATGTGCCCCCTTTGGAGGGCAGAGATGGAGGGGAAGCGAGTAGTAATAGAAGAAGAGTTTGGATTTGATATCCCACTTTATTACTGCCCTAAGGAGTCTCAAAGCGGCTAACAATCTCATTTCCCTTCCTCCCCCACAACAAACACTCTGTGAGGTGAGTGGGACTGAGAGACTTCAGAGAAGTGTGACTAGCCCAAGATCACCCAGCAGCTGCATGTGGAGGAGCGGGGAAGAGAACCCAGTTCACCAGATTACGAGTCTACCTCTCTTAACCACTACACCACCCTGGCTCTGTAGGTAATTACAGGATATAGGAGCATTTGCCAAGGTCCTCCAGAAACATGCAGCTCACACTGGGCGTGAACCCCAAAAATTACCCTTATGTTTTCCCAAAGATTTAGCCATGTTACTTTGTCACAAAAACTCTCCACCCAGTGCATGATGGAGAACAGCAACAACCGGGAAAAGATAGACATAATATTTTACAAGGACAGGAAGAAACATTACAGTCAGAACGATTGCCACACACAGGAAGAATAAGGATATAGCTTGAGTGTTTCACCTGCAGATTTAGAAATCATTTAATGTGTCGATACGAATGGAAGTCATTAATATTGTAGTTGTTGTATAAGGGATTGTTATTTTGACTGGAGTGTAATTGAAATTAATAAGATTTTGGAACACAGAAATAAAGTAAATAATCAAACCACAAATTCTAGCATGCAGGGGGCCACCTAAATTTTCTAATTTGGCATCTGCATGATTGGTATTAGTAATTGTATTATAGTTTGGCATTGTTATAATGAACTTATTATTGGATTATTGTAATTGAAAACTAATAAAAATTATATATATATATATACATATACATACATATATATATAGAGAGAGAGAGTTTGTCACAAAACAACCAAGTCCTGCGGTCACTCAAAGGCTAACAAAAGGATGTCAGGCCAGATCTGACCAGCTCGTTTGACCATTAACCTCTCTTGTCCACCCCCTCGGGCATTTTAGCAGTATACAAAAGAATGAGCCATTAAACCCCTTGCTGAGAACCTTGTCCTGCAATGAAGTTCTCTCCTTCTCCCCAAGGTCCAAAGTGATATTCTTCATGTTGAAGTTCCCAGGTTCAACTTATGTCACCTCTCATCAAATGATCTTAGATAGAAAGACCAGGAAAGTCTCACAGAAGACTCTACCACTGTAGATGGTATAGCCTTTACATACCTTTCTTTGCATGATTCATATAATGCAACAGGTACTGACTCCACAAAACGTTGCAATACTGTGGCCTTTAGAAGATAAACAGAAATAACTGGGGAAAAGGGAAGGCTATCAAAAGCATGCCAAACAGACACAAGCAGGGATATGCAGAAGTAATTTATAGCTTGCAAATTTGTACAGTCAAACCTCGCATGTTGAATGTAATCCGTTCCGAAATGTTCAACAACCGAGGCGCAGATTCTGATTGGTTGCAAGAGCTTCTTGCACTTAAGTGGAAGCCACGTCGGACATTCGAGTTCTGAGGAATGTTAAAAAACTGGAGCATTTACTTCTAGGTTTTCAGCGTTTGGGAGCCGAAAGGTTCGAAAATGGAGCTGTTTGAGAACTGAGGTTTGACTGTACCACTTATTTATTCTTATAAAATGGAACAAAGTTCTAGAGTAAGAATGTGTGTGTGTGTCGAATTAAAAAGGTTAAAAATGCATATAAATGCACCGATGATTAAAGGGTTTCAATTTGAGAAATGTTCATTCAGCGATCCATTTGTTCCAACAGAGCAGTTCTCTGCAATGACCCAGAGATGACTCTCACACCCGTGAACTTCCCCGCGGATACATTTAAACTCCGGATAGAAAAGACAGCCATCCGTAGAGTCCCGGGGGAGTCGTTCCATTCCCTCCGCAACCTGGAATTCTTGTGGATGCCCTATAACTCTTTGGCAAGTCTCACTGTGACTAACTTCCGGGGTCTCCGCCGATTGCAAGAGCTGAGGCTGGATGGGAACGCTCTGACCTCCTTCCCCTGGGAAGCCCTTCTGAGCATGTCCCAGCTGAGGCTGCTGGATCTACACAACAATGAACTTGCCTCTCTCCCAGCTGAAGCTGCTCAGTACATCCGGAACATCACTTACCTAGATATCTCGAGCAATAAACTGGTGACGCTTCCTCAAGAACTCATTGCTGTCTGGTCGAACCTCCAAGCAGTTCCATACTTCCCCAATGACAATTCTAAGATCATCTTAGGTAAGAGGTTTAACTATGAATCTGAACGAAGGAAAGCTCTTACTATTCACATTATTTATGACCATACCTCAGTGGGCTGGATCGATTTCGCTCACGTTCTCATTTTTCCAGTCTTAACCACAGCTCTCCTCATTTCCATATCAGTTGGTGATTTAAAACAAATATCCGCATCAAAATTCACGAGCATTTTCATGCAAATTTCTCCTTACACACACACATTTGCTAAGCGATTATTCTACATTATTGTCAATAATATTTGCATCTTAATGCCTGCTTTATCCCACCGTATTCATCTCCATACACATTACTTGGTTGGAGAGCTGATTTGCTAAATTTTGAGAAGTGCCAATTTTGAAGGTTGGCTGTATGGTTCACGTATGGTTTCAGGGTGTGCAAAACGAGGTGGGTTTGCCTTTAAATATGAACAGCATCGAATCCCACACCCATCCCTAATCCAGACTAAGTTACTAGGAATTTAGCTTCCATTGAAATCAATGGGACAGAAGTCATGACTAATGTGTCCTCTTCAAAATTTCAGTGGAAGTTAAGCTCAACTAACTTTGACTGGATCCAGCCTACACCCCTCTGATGCTTGAGGCATATTTTTTACCTGAAGGAAGAAATCTCTCTATACCAGTGGTTCCCAAACTCTCCCCCCCCCCACTGTCCTGGACCACTTGAAAATTGTTGAGGGTCTTGGCGGACCACTTAATGATTTTTCTAACTATTGTTTAGCAATTGTCATGCTAAGGTGTTATTTAAAAAATCTATATGGATTTCAAACATTAGTACAATAATATACAATAAGAATAAAAAGAAGCAATTAAAATACAATTAAAAATCAATACAAATATTTTAATGCAATGGATATGCCCACTGTGTTAACAAAATTCTTCAATATTTGGCCTGATCTTTGTTACCATGGATGTGGCACTACCAAGACCACTTCCATAGTTGCTTCCAAACCTACCTCTGAAGGATCTCCAAAGAGGAGATTTTACAACTGTCTCAGATAGCTGATTACATTATGTCACGAATGAATGAGGTCTTACCAGAGCTGAACAGCAGTATCCTTTCTTTTACATGATGCTCCTGTGAACACAAGCATAAATGACAGCAACTTTTTGTGAGACAACGTTACATTTTCAACACAACATTCAGTGCAACCTCCAAACATTTCTGAGAGATGCATCTGACTAGCAAGTTATGCTTCAGCTTGTACATTTGCTGCCTCTTAAGTATGTGCAAAACCTTACACTTTGAATTTCATTATGTGGTTCCTTGTCTGGTGCTGCTCACAGTAATTGTTGCATTGAATGCCTAGGCTGTCCTTGAAAGTGTTTGCAATTTGTTGAGGTTTTCTGTCATCTGAAGGCTGCTGCTAGCACAAGAAACCCAAACTGTGGCTTTAGACAACATTGTATTTACAGACCCTGGAGAAGCAGCCTGAGAGGTTTCAACAGAACTTTTCAACACCAGAAGAGCCAGATGGGATTAATGGGGTAGAAAGCAGGGATGCCAGTATATGGAGACAGAGCCAAAAATAGGTGGAGCCAGCTAATTCTAGTTTTTCCCTCCTCCTACTCCCTCCAGGCTTGGGGGCCCAGGTGAATGAGAGGTGGAGAAACTCCTGTTGTGGTGGCAGGACTCATTGTGCTGGCGTCAACATTGTTGTTGTTTAGTCGTTTAGTCGTGTCTGACTCTTCGTGACCCCATGGACCAGAGCACGCCAGGCACTCCTGTCTTCCACTGCCTCCCACAGCTTGGTCAAACTCATGTTCGTAGCTTCACAAACACTATCCAACCATCTCGTGCTCTGTTGTCCCCTTCTCCTTGTGCCCTCCATTTTTTCTCAACATCAGGGTCTTTTCCAGGGAGTCTTCTCTTCTCATGAGGTGGCCAAAGTATTGGAGCCTCAGCTTCAGGATCTGTCCTTCCAGTGAGCACTCAGGGCTAATTTCCTTAAGAATGGAGAGGTTTGATCTTCTTGCAGTCCATGGGACTCTCCAGAGTCTCCTCCAGCACCATAATTCAAAAGCATCAATTCTTTGGTGATCAGCCTTCTTTATGGTCTCACTTCCAGCTCTCACTTCCATACATCACTACTGGGAAAACCATAGCTTTAACTATACGGACCTTTGTTGGCAAGGTGATGTCTCTGCTTTTTAAGATGCTGTCTAGGTTTGTCATTGCTTTCCTCCCAAGAAGCAGGCGTCTTTTAATTTCGTGACTGCTGTCACCATCTGCAGTGATCATGGAGCCCAAGGAAGTAAAATCTCTCACTGCCTCCATTTCATCCCCAGCTCCAACATTACACAATGTCAAAAGAAAACATTGCAAATGAAAATCAAATACAAGATACAATAAAGACCTGCATTTAAAGCAGTATGATTAACAGGGAGACAAGATATTCCCTAAACATAAAAACCAAGTAAAATCAAATATAGAAAATGAAATGAAAACTCTACTTAGAAACATTATTAGCCACTAAACAAAATAATGGAGATAGAAGCTGCTCTGCCCTCACCCAGTAACATCTCCCAAACATATCCTTAGCACTCTTGCACTCTTTCACCACCACTCAGGCATTCCTGCCATCCACACTCATAGCACAGACTAACCTCTAGGCAACCATTTGTCACAAAATGATTGTCTAGTTTATGAAAGATCTCTGGCAGCATTCAGCACAATTCACAACCAGCCCATTCACCGACCTCCATCTAGGCTTAACATTTATATAGCGCTTTCAAATTTTCAGTGCTTCATCATATGCGTTATCAAGTTGTAAGGTAACAACGTCCTGTCATGTAAGCAAATATGATTATTCCTCATCTTGCAGACAGGGGAGACCGAGGCTGAAAGTGAGCGATTTGCCTAAGGCCACCTGGCAAGTTTATGAGAGAGGTGAGATTCAAACTGGGACCTTCCTGATTTGTAGCTCCATCTCTTAAGCATTATAAATCAACTTTTTTTTCTCAGACAAAGCTAGCAACACAGCAAAATGTTGCTGTCAAGCACCTACCTTTGTACTGAAATTTGCCAGGTTGGCTTTTTCAGGAGGCTGCAGTAAAATCCACAGGCCTTGCCAATGTGAATTTTATTCATTTTGTCAAACTGGCAAATTGACACATTCCTTTGTTTTCCTAATCAGAGCTCATTCTTGCCATTGATTTATTCAGCGTTTCCACATATCTCAGCATAACATACCCTGCCTCCGTGTGTGTGTGTGTGTGTGTGTAAAGTCTGAAGCATGGTAGACACTTAATAATTCAGCATTCTTTATATCCTCTGTCACTGCCTTTCCTTCATCACTGAGCAGCAACTTCTCTAAAAAAAAAAAAAGCATTTAACTTTTACTGGTCTTTGCTTGTTTCTTTTTTGATCTTTGATTTCCTTGAAGACACCGTAAGGTGCAGGTCATCTTAGGGAATGCAGGAATATAAGAATTCTCTGCATAGTAAATAAGCATATAGAACATGCTTGCATCCTTTGATACATTGTACAGTAACCCTTCATGACTTTAGCACAGGCATAATGGTATGGGGATATTTCCATGCCGAAGTGTTTCTGTACAGCCTGACAGTCAGCATTTTATGGAATGATCTGTAGACTAGGGGATGATTCTTTTATAAAGACACACGGAGCTGCCTTTCCTTGTTTGCACATCATGGTAAGCCAAACTATAGCTTTCTGGGACAATGCAAGAATGCTCGCTTCCACCTGCTCCTCCTTGGCCCTTTCAGCACCGAACAGCAATTCAAGGTTTAGCAGAGTGTTTCCTCTGAACCTGGTGTAATAGTAAAGGTCTTTCCTTCTGAATCACAATCTGTAATTAAAGAAAAACCAGTGGTTTTCAACCAGTGCGTCCTTCTGTGATGCCCTCTTGCATCTCTGCCTCCCAAAGGCTTGCAATGGCTGTTTGTTGCAGCAGCCCTGGCTACAAGCTCAGCAGGTGAATGGAGCCTCTGGGGCTGGCCAGGGGGTGCTTCCCAGGCCCCTGTAGGGCAGTGGGAGGAGGCACCTTTTTGGGGGGCAGGGGGGTAGCTCAGAGACCAGGGGTGGCAGCTTCGGCTGCCCAAAGGACTCTCATGGAGAAGGGAGAATAGAGGAGGCAGATGGAACACTCCAAAAGGGAGAGCGTTTGAAAAGGGGTGAGAGGCTGCCAGCTCTGCAGGCAAAGGATGACATAACTGGACTCCAGAGCTCCACAGGGGTGCCACAGAAAGAATGCAGTTGGTCAAGGGAGCTGTGGATCCAAAAAGGTTGAAAACCATGGTCTAAACCATGGTCCTGAGTTCAGATGGCACCCTAATGCAGATCTTCACTTAGCTGCTACATTATGCTGTGCTGAAAGGTTCAGGGATGAATAAAGTGGGCGTGATCAGTCCCGGTATGCCATTGTTTGGCTTATAGTGACATATGAATGGGGCTGCTGAATCAAGCCATTGGTCAATCTAGCTCAATACACGACTGGCAATAGCTGAACAAGGGTTCAGACAGGAATATCTCTCAGCCCTCATGTGGAGATGCTTGGGACTGAACTTGCTTTCTGAGTGCAAAGTGTGTGCTTTAGCATTGACCCTTCACCGAGGTTTTGTGTTGACCTTTCCATTGCTATGACTTTGCCATGCTGATCCCACAAATATCAGAGTCGTTCATGATCTTGGGTGAGGAATCAGGGCTGGTTAGAACCAGAAACAAGGAGTGAAGCAGAGAAGGAGGAATGGCCAGAATCAACCTCTGTTTGACCTGGAGAAATTCCAAGAGTCAACATCTGTGGAGAGAGATTTGCATCAAGCGTGCATTGGGCATTAGAAGGGCTTCAGATGAATGCAGAAGCAAATTCAAAGCACTCTTTTCAGGATGGTTAGAGGCTATGTAGGGGACTGTAAACACATCACTTTCCCCCTGAGGCTATAGAGCATGCGACAGCAGAAGGCAACCAGACCACATGGGTACACAATAACACATCATACTGCAAGCTGAAGCTATAATATTGGCGATCTGTTTTCTGGGCTATATCTGTCTTTTGGATCACAGAAGCTATGATCTTGAACTATTCTTTCTCTAGGTGGTGAAGACAATCAGGAGAAATTTGGCTAGCCTAAAGAGATTTAGAATCCGGCACTGGATATTTTTATCCTAAAAAATTAAAGCAGAAACATATTAGGGTAATTTCAACAAATAGGGAAGCTTGCCACATTTCCCCCTCTGCAGTCTTTTTGACAATCTTTGCTTCCTCTCCCGTGATATTTATAGACAGCTTTCCCAATAAACTTGCTCAGGAGCAGACAAAGATATTAAAAGAAACAGTAAAATCGTGCAGATAAAAAAAACAACCCCAGACAGTTTAAAACAGCAGCAGCAAATAAAAGCCACATGAGAAATCATTGAAAATGATTTACAGATGGTATTTAATTCTGAGTAGACTTGCTAAGATGAATAAGACTGAATCTGATAAGTGCTGGAGATGCAATGAGGTTGAGGGTATGTTCTTTCATATGTGGTGGACCTGTAAAAGGATAAAAGAGTATTGGAAAATAATTTATAATGAATTGAAAAAAAGGTTAAAAGGACCTTAAAAAAAACAACAAAAAACCCCACCAGAGTCCTTTTAGTTGGGGATAATTCAGATGGAAATTCCCAGGTCTCAAAAAAGGCTATTTATGCATGCCGCTACAGTGGCCCATGTTTTGGTAGCCCAAAACTGGGAAACGAGCGAGGTCCCTACTAAAGAAGAATGGCAGCTTAAACTGATGGAATATGTGCAGCTTGTGGACCTAACATACAGAATAAGAGAACAAGAAGAACATAATGTTTAAAGAAGATTGGAAAATGTTTATTGAATATATGGGGGAAAATTGTGTACATTTGAAAACGTTGGCAGCATTAAGAAAAATTCAGATGTGTAAATAAGTTTTGCTGGAAGTAATAATAGAATACTGAATGGTTTAGTTTATCTAAAATATGCAGGGATTTATGCTATGCAAAATGAACCATGGAAAGAGAAGAATGGAGGTCATTGATATTTTAAGGTTGTCTAAATGAATATTCCAAATTGTAAAACAGAAAATTTAATAAAAATTATATATATAAAAGCCACATGAGGCGATGATGATGATGATATGAAGGAGGAAGATAGTGTGTGTGCACATGGGCATGTGGAAAGTGTAGAGAAAGTTTTGGCCCTTCTCCATTAATACTAGAACTCAGGAAGTTGAGTCCTGGAAGATTCAGGAGAGGCAAAGTGCATAAGCATTTAAATTTCCTCACACAAGAGGCAATGATGGCCACCATCTTAGATGGCTTTAAAAGACGATTAGAAAAATTTGTGGAGGATACAGCTATTACCTGCCATAATGACTATTTTCTGTCTATGCTGTCAGAAGCAATATGCCTCTGAATATCATTTGCTAGAATCACAGGCGGGGATAATGCTTTTGTACTCAGCTCCTGCTTGTGGGCATCTCATCGCCACCTGGTCTGCTGGGAGCCACCTAGAGTGGCTGAGGAAACCCAGCCGGATGGGTGGGGTATAAATATTATAACAACAACAACAATTAGAAAAGGATGCTAGACAGGCCATTGCCCTGATTTGGGAGGTTCTTCTTATGATGTGTTTGTGTCAAGGTGGTTTGGTGGGCATCAACAAATTATTGAACAGAATACCATAGGAGAATTTTATTTCCCGGTTATGCAGGTAAATAATAGTCCAGCCAGCAAATGGTAAGGTAGAGAAGGGGCATAAGAGTCTCAATAGCAACAGTCCTGATGCCTTGTATAAATTCTTATGTTACTCCAGGTTAGGATTGCCATAGCTCCCAGTTTTCCTGGACATATCCAGAATAGTGTTATTGGCAGTACTGTCTGGGTGGAAATCACCCAAATGTCCGGGAAAATCCGGACATATGGTGGTTCATGTCGATTTTCTATAAAAATAGATTAAAAAATCACTAAATTTTCTTTAGTGATTTTGCAAAAAAATAAACAACACACCTCAACAACTTTGGCCAGACCCAAAATAGCTCAACAACTTTGGTCAAAAACAATGAAAATAAAGCTCATCAACTTTGCCAAAAAACAACAACTCAATAACATTTCTGTCTGGATTTTCACTGTTTGAAGTATGGCAACCCTACTCCAGGTTTAAAGAAGAATGAGAATGATTTGTTGCAGTTGCATCCTGTTTGCTTCTAAGGAACCCAAAGAGTGCACAGATACACTAAACGGCAACATTTTAGATGTTTTGTGCCCTCTTTCCGCCACATGGTGGCATTCAAATCACATCAGGGGGAAAAGAAACCATTTAACCAAAGTAGGAACAAATAATGACATTACAATTGCATAACTGAATATTATCAAAGACCTTGGGTAAACAGAAGTACTTTTGGCTAGCATTTAAAAGGTACTAAAGTATGTGTAATTTTTGGCGGTAGGAATGGGGACGTGGCACGTTCTGTTACTGGAGTATAGGAGGGTAATAGGAAGAATAGTTAGATATGTTAGTGGCCTTGGTTGTGGTGATCTTTTAAATGGGGTGGGGAGGACTTTTTCTGTTTAAATATACTGTCAGACGAATATTTTTGTTTTGTGTATTGTTATTATGTGTGTTTATCTGGTTTTTGATATCTGTGCTATTTTACTTTACTGTGTTACTTTGAGGCACTTAAGTGAAAAAATGTGACTAAATAACAACAACAATATACAATTCAGAAGATCCTCTTACTGAGATTCACCTTCCTCATCTTCCAGAGATGGACATGTTTGAAGCACATTTTTTGCACCCCAAGGTGTTTGTATCAAGGGCAGAAAATGTGTGTGTGTTGAAAACTCTTCAAAATCTAAATATATTAAATATTGAACCTATTTGCAAGATTAAGACCAGATTTGGATTACCTTTTTAGGGCATGTAATTTACTATGCTTAAGGGTGGAATTCGCTTTCTGAAGCACTTTCTGAAACAATATTCAAACTCAAACACAGCCATCCTTTGAAAATGGCACTTTTCTGAATTTTTGCAGTGCAGTTTTCCAGCCATGTAATGTGTGCAAAAATGCATATAAGCATAAGCTAAAGCGTGCTCTCTCTGTGTGTGTGTGTTTGTGTGATGCAGATTTTGGTGAAAATAGCATTCACTATATTGGGGAACATTGGTTTGCAAAAATGTGTATATTAGGCAGGATTGCATTCAACAGTGGCTGGATCTAGACGCATCAAAAAAGCAATGCAGTTAAACGCATTGTAAATTTCATAAAGGGAAATCCTGTTGGCAAAAGATCTTCACAGTGCCATCTGGTGTCACAGTGTTATAACTCATAAAGTGCTTTTTCTTTACTAACGTAGCTGAGTCCAGTGTGTTTCTCAGGAGAAATTTGCACAAAAATGTGATTTGGATGAGGAATTTTTTTAAAAAAGCAGATTGCTGTGGAAATGTGGAAAACTCAATATAAGATTGGGAAAATGATAAATTAAGAGAAGTAACTACATGTAAGTTTAGGGAGAATGCTGTTGCACTTGGTCCTGTTTGTGGGAGTCCCATAGGCACCTGATTTTGGTCTAGATAGGCCTCAAACCTGATCCAACAGACTGTTCCTTTTTATAATTTTAATTATTTGCATTTCTGGTATAATTCCATGTCAGCGAAATATGGACAAAAAGAACACAATAAGAAAAGAATCTCTGAAATAAAAAAGAGGTTACAATTTAAAATTTCTAAAAATAAACCAAAAAACATTCCTTAGCCAACTTCCTCTCCTCTCCTTCCATGGTTCCTTTTATCTCTTTTCCCCATGTTTTGTTGTTTCGCCCCATCTATTGTAACTACTTTTATAAACTTTATTTATTTCTTACACTGCTAAAAATCTTACCATCCTGCTAGGTAGATTGTTTTCTTATAATACTTTTTCATATATTCAGTAAACAATATCCAGTCCTCCTTATATCTTTAATCATTTACATTTCTTATTCCAGTGGTCATTCCTGCAAGCTCCACATATTCTAACAGTTTAATATGCCATTCTTCTTTTGTTGGTACCTTATCTGTTTTCCATTTTTGGGCTAGTGACACACGCTTCCTTCTCTTCCCAGGTTTGCAGGACAATCCTTGGACGTGCGACTGCAGCCTCTACGAAATGGTCCACTTCCTCAATTTCCAGTCCCCCAACGTAGCGTTCATTGAATCCAGACTGAAATGCTTCACTCCCCGGAGCTTGGCTGGAGTTTTCTTCAGCCAGGTTGAACTGCGGAAGTGTCAGAGTCCGGTCGTGCACACATCCGTCGCCAAAGTGAGGACCTTACTGGGAAGCACTGTGCTTCTGCGCTGTGGCACCACAGGAGTGCCCATTCCTGAGCTGAGCTGGAGGAGGGCTGATGGAAACCCTCTGAATGGCACAGGTAGGTTTTCCTTTCTCGGTTGCAGGCCCTGTGACTGCGGTTTGTAAAGAAGAGTGTAATCGTATGGTGTCCCTAAAGGATCCTGCTAAGTAGGTAAATGGGACGGAGGTGGCGCTGTGGTCTAAACCACTGAGCCCCTTGGGCTTGCCAATCAGAAAGTCGGCGATTTGAATCCGTGCGAGGGGGTGAGTTCCTGTTGCTTTGTTCCAGCTTCTGCCAACCTAGCAGTTCGAAAGCATGCCAGTGCAAGTAGATAATAATAATAATAATAATAATAACAATAATAATAACAATAATAAATTTTATTTATATCCCGCCCTCCCCAGCCGAAGCCAGGCTCAGGGCGGCTAACAACAATAAAACAGTACAAAAATACAGCACAAACAACACTCTAAAATCATTCATTATAAAATTAAATAGGTGCTGCTGCAGCAGGAAGGTAAACAGCATTTCTGTGCACTCTGGTTTCCGTCACTGGATTCTGTTGCACCAGAAGCGGTTTAGTCATGCTGGCCACATGACCCGGAAAGCTGTCCATGGATAAATGCCAGCTCTCTCAGCCTGAAAGAGGGATGAGCACCACAACCCCATAGTCATGTTTGACGGGACTTCACCGTCCAGAGGTCCTTTGCCTTTAGCTCTGCTAAATAATTTGTTAGAACATTCAACAAAGTCCTTTGGGCAGTTTGCATCAAGTTCAAGCCATGTTCAATTAAGCCATTGGAACATTAATTGAGACATTAAAAATCTATTGATGTGGTTCGCTGCCTAAAAACCAACATAAGCAGCACAACAGCATTTAAAGCCAGCAGAAATAATCTGTTCCAAGGGCAGATGATTTCTTGAGCTACGCAGCTACAATCCTATACATGCCTACTCAGAAATAAGACCTTGTTAATTTAATGGTGATTATTCTCATGTAAATGGGTATAGGATTGTAGCCCAAGCCTGCTGCTCAGGTCATGGTTTAAATATATACTGTAAATTGCATTAGCATCTTGCATCTGCAAAGGCATCCTGTTCTTATGTCAAAAGATATCATGGGGCCCTAATTAGACTTCTTCAGAAATACACTAGGGATGGGGAACTTGTGGCCATCTAGATGTTGTTGGGCTATACCTCCTATCATCCCTGACCACTGTCATGCTGGCTCAGACTGATGGTAACAGGAGTCTTACAACACCTGAAGGACCACAGCACAGGTACCCCATTCCTGCTATAAACAGCGGCAACTGATATGATCATATGTTCAGAGCACTTTCCCTTTAAGGAAAGGCAAAAGCATCTGAGGATTTTCAGTGGGACATGGTTGAGGTTTATTAAACAATGGTGCTTCAAGAATGGTTGCAGGAATGGTCTTTTTATTAACACTGGGACTCAGGGGTCACCTTGGGAACTGAATAAATAGAAGCACTTCTTCACACAGTGTGAAGTGACTTTTGGACACTAGCTTAGAAATGGCTTTTAAAAGGATTCTACAACTGCATGGATAATGGGTCTATCAATGGATGTTAGCCATCGTAACTAAAGGGAAGCCTCCATGTCCGGGGGGAGGGGTATATATCAGGTAACCGGATTCTGGAGACAAATGGCAGAAGGTGGCTGTCATCCTCTTCTGAGATTCCTAAAGGCATCTTGGCTGGCTGCTATTGGAAAAAGATTGCTGGACCACACTGGTTTTAGTTTGCAAGGCTGTTCTTAAGCAGAGGGATGTTCTTGCCACGCTATGGTTGTTCCCAAGCACACTTGAGTAATGTCTACAACTTTTGCTCAAGTGTTCAGGGCGGAGCACCTAGAAGTTTGTCCAACCAAGCAGAGCACCACTTCTGGTCTCAACTGGGCTATCATCTTAAGAATGACATCACTGTAAAATCTATTATGATCTGATGTACTTTGATGTTTAGGGAACAGCCATAGTTCAGTAGTAAGAATACACACTTTGCAAGTAGAAAGTCCCAGGTTCATTCCTCAAAAATGCCAGGTAGGGATGCAAAGTACTTCCTGATTGAAACTCAGGAGAGCTGCTTTCAGTCATTACATGCATCACTGATCTAGATGGGCTAGGTAAAGATAACTGCAGGGCTCGGGTGGCACTGTGGTCTAAACCACTGAGCCTCTGGGCTTGCTGATCAGAAGGTCAGCGGTTCAAGTCCCTGTGATGGGGTGAGTTCCCATTGCTCTGTTCCCAGCTCCTGCCAACCTAGCAGTTCGAAAGCATGCCAGTGCAAGTAGATAAATAGGTGGGAAGGTAAATGGTGTTTCCGTGTGCTCTGGTGTTCCATTGTGTCAGAGGCGGTTTAGTAATGCAGGCCACATGACCCAGAAAGCTGTCTGTGGACAAACGCTGGTTCCCTTGGCCTGAAAGTGAGCAGCAACCCAATGGCCACCTTTGACTGGACTTAGCACACATGACTAAGCCAGCATCAGCCTTTGACTGGACTTAACTGTCCAAGGGTCCTTTACTTTTTTTTTTATAAAAAAGATGAACTAATGCCCTAATTCAGTAGAAATCCAAGGAAGTTATCAGAACAATGATAGCTTTCAGGTAATGAAATGATTATCTAAAAAAGGGGGGAATGGAATCTAAGCAGTCCGTTTTACTGAATTTCATCCTGTTTCTACCTTCCAGTGCACCAAGAAATTTCCAGTGATGGAATGAGCTGGTCTATTCTAGGCTTGCCTGTCGTTTCTTACCTTGATTCTGGAGAATATATATGCAAAGCAAAAAACTTCCTCGGAGCAACAGAAGCTTTCATCTCCCTTATCATCACTGACTCAGAAAGCACAGATGACCCCACCACAAACTCAAAAGGGACATGGAATGGAAAAGTGAGTGGGATGGAAGCAGCGGCTTACAACGACAACTTGGTAGCCAGGTACGTGATCACCACGTCAACTTCCCCTACCATGGGTGCTCGGTCCATTCGTGCCAACACAGAAGGGAACCTGGCACTTCGAGATCAGGCACTAAATGTGATCAACAACCCAAGAAATCTCTTAGCGAGTCCGCCTACTGCCCAACAGGAACCAGAGCGCATTGTGAGGTCTGTCAGAGTCATAGGAGATACCGACCACAGTGTCTCCTTGGCATGGAAAGCTCCTCAAGCCAAGAACACAACCGTCTTCAGCATCCTTTATGCGATCTTTGGAGAAAGGGACATGCGTAGAATCAATGTGGAGCCAGGTAAGACCAAGATCACTATCAATGGCTTGATGCCGAAGACCAAATATATAGTGTGTGTCTGTGTGAAAGGGCTGATTCCCAGGAAAGAGCAGTGCATCATCTTTTCCACAGATGAAGTAGCCAGTGCAGGTGGAACCCAGAAACTTATCAACGTTGTGGTCATCAGCGTGGCCTGTGTCATTGCCGTCCCTCTGACGTTAGTGGTGTGTTGCGGGGCGCTGAAACGGCGCTGCAAAAAATGTTTCACCCGGAAACCCAAGGAAATCCAGGACTCTTACGTCACCTTTGAAAGCCTCTCTCCAGGCGCCAAAGCCAAAGGAATGGAAGGGGAATACTTGACTAGACACACACCCGACGAATCCAATAGGTTGCTCTCTGCCAGGTCGAGTGTGGACTCAGAAGCAATACCAAAGGCAGAGGGACAGCCGAACGAGTACTTTTGCTGACACTGATCTCTTAGTATGCAAAGCGATTGCGCTTACACCTCTATTGGACAGTGCAGAAATGGCATGACTTTGAAGACTTACATGTCACAAGTATTGTCTCGATATATTTGTCAAAAGAACAATGGACAGCTCTACCTGGACTGTGTTCCCCTCACACTTCAACAGTGAAAAGTCTATGTGTGCATTTGCTGAGACCTCCCCCATGCCAATCCAGTCCGGAATTGAGTGGAGTACTTATTGAATCTACACTGAGAAGATTTCGTTTTTAATTTTTGTCTGTTGGGGCATGCAGGAAGGAGGATAGAAGTGGAAATTGTAGGTTATTAGGACCCAGCAGATGATGGCTGGATTCTAGTTTCCTGGGACTCCAGAAAGGGAGTGGGTGTGAAAATGTTTAGGCTGAGGGGATGGAAGCTGAGTGGGTATATTTATATGCAAAGAAGCAGATTGATATGGGAATGACTTGAGTCTTTGTCAGGTAGATGATGCAAAAAGGAAGAACTCACCTCCATCACAGAAAAATAGAAAGAAAATGTGGGAAATGACTCAGGTGCAGAATAAACATTATAATATTTTCTAGTACAAAAAGTCTGATCAAGGACAAAATGAAATGTGAACACATTTAGAATAACACTCATCTTCAGGGAATCAGTTACAACTATTCTCCTGTTAAAATACAAAGTAAAGGAGGAGACAACTTATCAAGGACTCACAAGAGATGACGACCAAAGGCTTCATCTAGGTCAATACTTTAAAGCAAAGGTAGACAATGTGATGCTCTCTGGATGTTGTCGGGCTCTAACTTCCATCAAGTTCTATCATGACCAATGGTCAGTCAATCAAAGCAGTTGCAGTCCAACAACATCGGGAGGGAACCACAATGAGTACCCCTGCCTTAAAGTATCTGTCTAGTCCCAAATTCTCTCACCACTCCTGCTCCTAATAACTGCGCGATTTCCTGGAAGGAATTTGTGATCAAAGATTAGGGAAGGAAGAAGGATGGATAGTGGGAATGTCCCCCAAGCGGTCTAGGCCTAAGGTTCCCTTTGCAAAATAAACCCTATTCCATGAATACATGTACATATATGTCACGATGTTAAATGTATATTATGGTGTGTTGTCTATTCTCAGTTTTGAAGTACATTAAATAATTTAAAACATGGTTTCCTAAATTTATTTTAGGATGCTACACAGAGAAATGGCTTTTGATAATGATAAGGTAAAATTAAATTACTGTCCGGATTCACAGTCATCCTTCTGACCTAATAGAGGAGCGACTTCAAGGGCTGGGTGTCTCATCATTCTCTATTCTCTTAGAGCGGGAGGAAGACAAAGAGCTGCATCTGTTGTTGCTCCACATCAACAAAATACTATTTAGCAGTTATATCTACTACTGAATCAAGTTTTCTAGCAGCCACTGCCTTTGTCTAGCTAAGCAAGATCAGTTGCTGCTAGAGCAGACTACTCAAATCTTTTTTTTAAAAAAGTAGCTGGAACTGCTGAATGGGAAGTGTTAAAAAGGAGTGGCAATTGCTCCTCATTATCCTCTGCCCCTTCCTATCTGCCACCCCCCCCCCCGGAAAGGACAATATGTTGAGCTGTGCATTGGTCCTAGAAATCTCTCTTCCCCTGCTGACAAGTCAGAGTGCTGATCAACCCTTCCACTCCTCATAATTCCAAACAAGCTGGACTCTTCCCCATGTGGTGGAGAGAACGTTGTAACTGCTTAAGGCCTTTTAGAAAATACTTTGATTGCCAGATCACAAAGTCAAAACCCACCAGCATTGGCACAAAGTTAAACTTTGTATTGATCTAATCAGATACGAAAAAGCTATACAAACAAGTGACACTTATTCAGAATGGGGATGGGGGTGAATCATGGTATTTCATTTCGCTTTTTTTAGTGTTGGGTCCTCAAGGAGATTGACCAGATGGTGAGATGACCTAAAATCTCTGACTTGGCGACGGCAAATGTTTAATAAAGTATTTCCAAAACATATCACACCTCTTGCCCCAACATGCACCAGCTGCTAAGTTTGTTGAAAGATCGCCAAGATGATGGGTGGCTTTCATGTTGTGCTGCGTCTTCTAAAAAAGTTGTTGAGATGTCTGAGTGAATATATCTTGGAGATGCTTCCTGTATCTCAACTCTGTGCCTAGGATTTTATATAGTCAGGACAATGTATGGCTTTTGGGGGGTAAATGGAGCAAAGCCCGAGTGATGCATTGTTCTGGAACAAGGCCCATGAAGAGAAATGGTGTGGAGTAGATTGAATTACAACTGTTTCAATTTCAGCAAGACTAGGATGTGTAAAATGCAGGCTCTACAGTAGTAAATGTTCAGTCTACAGCAGCTTCATCTCTCTCTCTCTCTCTCTCACACACACACACACACACACACACACGCACACAAACACCATCCCCACTGACTCCTGTGGTCTCCCAGAGACAGACTGTATATACTGAGAATCCCGTCATTGTTTAGTCAATATTTTGACTGTCTGCCAAATTTTGCAGAAGGCAGCTTTAGTCAAGAGAAAAGGCAAATGAAGGAGCCTCATTAGTTTAGTGCTGAAAGAAAACTGGTGATATGTTCAAAGCCCAGTTATTCAAGAAGAGGTGCTGCATTGCAGAGTATCACCTGTAATTCCAGACTCAGATTGGAGTTTGCAGCAAGTAATCAGCATTATTCTACTACTAGACTGACCAGTTCAAACTGTTACAGTTGCTTCCTACTTCTTACTCTAATGGGTTACAAAATACAGAAACCATCAAGTCTATCTTTAATGTTGCAACACCATGGTATAAAATAACAGGGAACGGGAAGCATCAAGTATACACCTCAAATGTTAGAGTGCTGAACTGAAAACCCAGGTTCAAAACCCACTCAGCCATGAAGCTCACGGGGTGATCTTGGGCCAGTCATGATCTCTCAGCCTACTCTACCTGGCAGGCTTGTCATGAGGATACAGTGGGAAGGGGGAGAGTCATGTACAATGCCTTGAACTGCTTGGAGGAAGAGTGGAATCTAAATGTAATAATAAAATAAATAAATACATAAGAGCAGCCCTGCTAGAGTGGACCAAAGGCCCAACTAGTCCAGCATCCTATTCTTACAGTGGCCAACTAGAAGCCTATGGAAAGCTTGCAAGCAGGATGCAAGTGGAACAGATGTGGATCTCTAATGTGAACCCAGTTAAAATTGAAATACAGTGGTACCTCAGTTTTTGAGTGTTTCAGAAGTCGAGCGTTTCGGTTTTCAAACGCCAAAAACCTGAAAGTAAAGGCTTCCATTTTCGAACATGCCTCAGAAGTTGAACAGCTTCCACTGAGGTACCACTGTATTTTTCTCAATTCCCTCTGTAAATTTGCAGGCCGCCCTTTGCGCCTCAGTTTTTGAACATTTCTGAAGTCAAACGGTCTTCTGGAACAGATTATGTTTGAAAACCAAGGTACCACTGTACACAAAAAATCACATAGGAATGTGATTTATGATAAAACTTGAGTTCCATAAAACTTTTTTGATGGGACACAGTCTTCTAACCCAAACTGGAGCCATTCTCTCTTGCTGTCTCTCAACTGTTCACATGAGATCAACCTTGACACGCAGACCTTCTCAAATAATGAAATCCAAGCTCAACATTTGAATTTGGAATGATGATTGGAAAATGTGAGATGCTAAATAGGACTTTTAAAAATATTTTTTTAAAATGTAAATTGTGCTATATATTTGGGAGTTGGAAAACAGGAGAAAATTATAATGGAATTCCATTCACTATGCACAGTGAACTCTTGGAGCTGAATTCATAAGGTGTGTTGGAGGCCACAAGGCAAGATAAAAGATGAAAATGGGAAAGTGACATACACATCCAACCAGCAATCACCTCTAGATAGTTTTTTGTTTGAGAGTGAATTTCATAGGCGAGCTGTTGGATTACGTGCAGTGTTAACTATCAATAGGCTGCAGAGCTGATGGCATGTAGTGTTTAGTTCAGCATCAGTACCTTGGACAGCTCACAGAGGAGGCAAGAGCTAAGAAGCAGGGCTGTCCCACTTCACCTTCAAGCAACATAAAAACTCTTCCATCTCCTGCCTAAATATGCATTCCATTGACAGCATAAGAAGCAGCCACCTTGCCTGGACAAAGCTACTCCAGCATTTCTATATTTTAAGCATAGATTGTCTGGGAGAATGAAGATCTTCTTTACATGTAGACCTCTGCCTGCTCTTACTTCCTCTTTTGCTTCACCTCCTGTCTTTTTCTAGTGGCACAAGCGCCATCCAGTCCATTTCCACACAATTTAACTATCTCAAGCTGTAGAAGAAGCAGCTGTACTACACATTCAACAGAAAGCCTCTTCATACGTTGCTTGCATGTAAGTCTTGGCTGTGTTGATCCTGGACCAGATCTTTAGTCCCACCTACGGACATCACAATTCCTTCCTGCAGCAACTGCAGGGCACACATTAGGATGAGGAGCAGGCTATTGCTTTGTCCCACCCCAATCTCCAAGTGGTGAGAGACTCCCAGGGTGCCTGTTGTCCACTTCTTTTCCAGGAGGCTGTTTTGGTGCCCCCCTTTTTTTATAATTTTTTATTAAGGTTTTTAAACAAAGAAAAAAGAAAAACAACACACACAAAAAACAATACAAAATTTAACAATAAAAACAGAAAGCATAACAATTAAAAACAAACTCTCTTTTCCATTCCCAATTTTAAATTACTTATTTTCTGGACTTCCTCATACCTCCCTCTTTTGTATTCCAATCTACATTATTTGTCCAGCAGTTTCTTTTCCACTTTTTAAAACCCAATCTTTAGTTTAATAAAATATTAAAGTATATAACTTCAACTTTTTTAAGCCTAATCCTTGTTCTTAATGTCATATACCTTTAAATTTTTCCCTTTTATTATCAAATTTCCATTTCTTTAAACATCTTTAATCTTAATCTTTAATCTTAATCTATCCTTAACTTTAACCTGTACAGCTGGAAACCACTTATTTTCAATCCAACATCATTCTAACATTCCTTAATTTTGCAGTGTTTCTGAAGATAGTCTTTGAATTTCTTCCAGTCTTCCTCCACCGACTCTTCTCCCTGGTCACGGATTCTGCCAGTCATTTCCGCCAATTCCATATAGTCCATAAGTTTCATCTGCCATTCCTCCAGCGTGGGAAGTTCTTGTGTCTTCCAATACTTTGCGATGAGTATTCTTGCTGCTGTTGTTGCATACATAAAGAAAGTTCTATCCTTTTTAACACCATTTGGCCCACTATGCCCAGGAGAAAGGCCTCTGGTTTCTTAGGAAAGGTATACTTAAATACCTTTTTAATTCATTATATATCTTTTCCCAGAAAGCCTTAATCTTTGGGCACGTCCACCAAAGGTGAAAAATGTACCTTCAGTTTCTTTACATTTCCAACATTTGTTATCGGGCAAGTGATAGATTTTCGCAAGCTTGACTGGGGTTATGTACCACCTGTATATCATTTTCATAATATTCTCTCTTAAGGCATTACATGCCGTAAATTTCATACCTGTGGTCCATAACTGTTCCCAGTCAGCAAACATAATGTTATGTCCAACGTCCTGTGCCCATTTAATCATAGCCGATTTTACCGTTTCATCTTGAGTATTCCATTTCAGCAGCAAGTTATACATTCTTGACAAATTCTTAGTTTTGGGTTCTAACAATTCTGTTTCTAATTTGGATCTTTCCACCTGGAAGCCAATTTTCCTGTCCAATTTAAATGCCTCCATTATCTGATAATAATGAAGCCAGTCTCGCACTTTGTTGTTTAGTTTTTCAAAACTCTGCAATTTCAGTCTATCTCCGTCTTGTTCCAAAATTTCCCAATATTGCGGCCATTTGACCTCCATATTGACCTTTTCAAGGCTTTCGCTTCCATTGGTGACAGCCACCTTGGGGTTTTGTTTTCTAACAAATCCTTATATCTTAACCAAACATTGAATAGCGCTTTCCTGACAATGTGATTTTTAAATGCTTTATGTGCTTTGACCTTATCATACCATAGATATGCATGCCATCCAAATACATTATTGAAACCTTCCAAGTCCAAAATGTCAGTGTTTTCAAGAAGTAGCCATTCTTTCAACCAGCAAAAGGCTGCTGATTCATAATAAAGTTTAAGGTCTGGCAGGGCAAATCCACCTCTTTCCTTTGCATCTGTTAGTATTTTAAATTTTATTCTAGGCTTCTTGCCCTGCCAGACAAATTTAGAGATATCTTTCTGCCACCTCTTGAAACAATCCATTTTGTCCACAATCTGCAAAGTTTGAAACAAGAACAACATTCTAGGCAATACATTCATCTTTATCGCAGCAATACGGCCTTGCAGTGAAAGCTTCAAATTTGACCAAATTTCTAAATCTTTTTTCACTTCTGACCAACATTTTTCATAATTATCTTTAAATAAATTCCCATTTTTGCTGTCATGTTAATCCCCAGGTATTTAACTTTCTTAACCACTGTTAAACCTGTCTCATTCTGAAACCTCTCTCTTTCAAACGGTGTTAAATTTTTCTCTAAAACCTTGGTTTTTGATTTGTTCAATTTAAATCCTGCCACTTGACCAAATTCTTGAATCAGTTCTAAAACCCTTTTTGTACTAGATTCTGGCTCCTGTAACGTCAATACTAGGTCATCTGCAAATGCTCTCAATTTATAATGTTTAATTCCGACCTGTATACCTTTAACCATCTGGTCCCTTCTGATCATATTCAGCAAAACCTCCAGGACCGAAATGAAAAGAAGTGGGGTAATTGGGCAACCTTGTCGTGTCCCTTTTTCAATTTTAAGTTCTTCTGTAACAACATTATTTACAATTAGTTTAGCCTTTTGTTCTGAATAAATTGCACTTATACCATTCTCAAAACCTTGGCCTACCCCCATACCCTGTAGATTCTTCTTCATAAAATTCCAAGAAATATTGTCAAAGGCTTTCTCCGCGTCTACAAATATCAACACTGCTTTAGTGTTAATATTCACTTCTAGTTTTTCCAGAATATCGATTATATTCCTCAAATTATCGGACAAATGTCTTCCTGGGAGAAAGCCCGCTTGGTCTTTATGAATCTCTTCCAACAGCACCTTCTTAAATCTCTTCGCCAAAATATCTGCAAAAATTTTATAATCCACATTAAGTAATGATATAGGGCGGTAGTTCTTAAGTTGTGTCTTTTCAGTCTCTGTTTTTGGTACAAGTGTAATATACGCTTCTTTCCACGACTCTGGTGCCCTCTTCCCCTCCATAATTTCGTTACAGACCTCTTTCAATGGTTGAATTAACCATTCTTTTAAAGATCTATAGTATCTAGAGGTCAAACCGTCTGGTCCTGGAGATTTACCTAGTTGCATATTTTGAATGGCACCTTCTATTTCCTGTTCAGTTATTCTGTCGTTCAAAATTAGTCTCTTTTCTTGAGATATTTTTTGTAATCCATTTGTTTTCAAAAATTGGTCTAAATTGGTGCCCCCTTTTTTGGTCCTGTTGGGGATTCTTCTTCATAATGCTATTCCAGCCAATCAGGGATTACTTTCCTGATGTCACAAAGCCAAACAGCTCAACAGAATCAACAGTGCAGCAATGACACGGGAAGCCAATGTTGCCAGTTCAGAGTAGGGACATTTCTTTCTGTATCACATTGCCCTGACCAGTCTGGCGGGATTAGGGTGGCGGGCACAGCTGCTATTGTAAATGCTGTTGTCTGAGGTGGTTATACAGACGCGTTGTAGGAGCAGCATAAAAAACACAAGAGCCTGTTGGATCAGGCCAAAAGCCCATTTAGTTAAATACCCTATTCTCACAGTGGCTGACTAGATTCCTGTGGGAAACCTTCAAGCAGGACCCAAACGCAAGAGCACTATCCCATTTCTGGCTTCTAGCAGCTCCCGTATCCAGACAGAGAGAGCCAGTGTGGTGTAGTGGTTAGGAGCGGTAGACTCGTAATCTGGTGAACTGGGTTCGCGTCTCTGCTCTTCCACATGCAGCTGTTGGGTGACCTTGGGCTAGTCACACTTCTCTGAAGTCTCTCAGCCTCACTCACCACACAGAGTGTTTGTTGTGGGGGAGGAAGGGAAAGGATAATGTTTGAGACTCCTTCGGGTAGTGATAAAGCGAGATATCAAATCCAAACTCCTCCTCCTCCTCCTCCTCCTCCTCCTCCTCCTCCTCCTCCTCTTCTTCTTCTCTTCTTCTTCTTCTTCTTCTTCTTCTTCTTCTTCCTACTGTTGTCTATGCTCTGGTAACCTCAAGGTTAGATTACGGTTCAGAAACTTCAGCTAGTGCAGGGTTCAGTGGTCAGGTTGCTCACCGGAGCAAGACAGTTTACACCAATCCTGGTCCGACTGCACTGGCTACCAATTAGTTTCTGGGCCCAATTCAAAGTGCTGGTTTTGACCTATAAAGCCTTAAACAGCTCAGGACTGCAATACCTCAAGGACTGCCTCTTCCCATATGAACCTACCCCTCTGAGGCCCTCCAACGTCTGCCCCCTCCTTGAGAGATCCGGAGGGTGGCAACTGCAGTGGCTCCCCATCTGTGAAATACTCTCCCCAGGGAAGTTTGCCTGGCGCCTTCATTGTACACCTTTAGGTGCCAGGCAAAAATGTCCCTTTTTAACCAGGCCTTTGGTTGATCTGATTTACATCCTATGCTCTTTTAAAATGTGGGGGTTTTTTTGGGGGGCTATTAGGTTGTTATTTTTATTATGTATTTTGTGGTTTTCTATCTTGATTTTATTCTGTGAACTGCCCTGAGACCCCCAGGTATAGGGCGGTATATAAATTCAAATAATAATAATAATAATAATAATAATAATAATAATAATCAGAAGCATTATGGCCTCCAACTGTGGAGTGTTTGGCTAGTAATAAGCTTGATAGCTATCTCCTCCATGGATTTGTCCAATCCTTTTTAAAAGTCATCTAGATGGGGAGCCATCACTGTTTTGCGTGGGAGCAAGATCACACTTGTACAATAAGAATTATTAGCAAAACTCTGAGATTTTTGGAAAGCAAAAAATAACAATGAACCAAAAAAAGAGTTAACACTTGCAACAACTTTCTAAATATCCGGCTAGGCTTGTCTAAACAAAAATCTTTTCGGTATTTTGATAAGGTAAGCATCCGAGGGGGCAATCTGTTTTGCTGTGTTGAATGCTCGGCTCCGAAGCAAACATAAAAATTACAGAACATTTGGTGAATGTTTGCGATATAATTGTGGTGGGATTGAGCAAATATGATTTCATTTTGAAATATAATTTTCATTTTGAAATGCTCCTCCAGAGCATTCTTTTTCCTGCTGCTCTAATTTAAATGTAATTGGACACATGGCCACCAGAGGGCAGATGCAAGCTTAATATCTTATGCTTATTATAGCCTATTGTTGTCTACTTCTGGTTTAATATCCAGTTTCTCATATTTTCTATAAGTTGTGTAGCAGTATTCTTGTAACAGTGCATTCTAGAATATGTCTGCTTATTGTGTTGAGTGATTCCTTTACATAGTATATATAATTTTTATTAAATTTTCTAATTTACATTTCAAAATATTCATTTGAACAACGTTAAATCAATGACTTCCCTCCTTATCTTTCCATGGTTCATTTTGCATACCGTACATCCCTGCATATTTTACATGAGCTAAACCATTCAGTAACCCATTGTTACATCCATCAAAACTTATTTACACTGTGGAATTTATCTTAATGCTACCAGCATTTTGAAATGAACAGTTTTCACCTATGTATTCAGTAAACATTTTCCAGTCTTCTTTAAACGTGCATTCTTCTTGTTCTCTTATTCTATATGTTAAATATTCAAGCTGAGCATATTGCATCAGTTTAAGTTGCCATTCTTCTTTGGTTGGGACCTCGCTCGTTTTCCATTTTTGGGCTAACAAAAACATGGGCCGCAGTAGTGGCGCGCACACACACACACACACACACACCTGAGAGTTTCCCTCTGAATTATCCCCAACAAAAAGGACTTTTTTTTTTGGAAAAGGTACTTTTAAACTTACTTTTCAATTCATTATATATCATTTCCCAATACTCTTTTACCCTTTTACAAGTCCACCACATATGATAAAACGTACCCTCAACCTCATTACATTTCCAACGCTTATCTGATTTGGACTTAAACATTTTAGCGAGTCCACTTGGAATTAAGTACCATCTATAAATCATTTTCAGGTAGTTTTTCTGCAAAGAATAACATGCAGTGAACTTCAAATCGCTCTTTCAAAGTTTTCCCCAGAGATTCAAATCTATATTATGTCCTATATCTATTGCCCCTTGTATTATAGAAACTTTAACAAGCTCATCTTTTGTTTCCCAATCTAACAGCAGATTGTACATTTTTGTGATTCCTAGGCTTGGAGAGATGGCAGATGTGAGATCTATATGTTGGCCTTTATTCTATATCTCATCTTTTGGTTGGTCTTGTATCATGTGATACAAATGTCTGATGCAGCAGCACTACACATACTTGCGACAGTGTGTTTCCTGACACCTCTGCGGTTGCTCCCTAAAGTCGTCCATCCCCACAGACACCTCAGAGATCTTGGTTAGCAGTCATGCAAACACCACACCTTTCAAGGCAACCTTCCTGTCACCAGGAGGAAAAAACTGCAGCAGCCACAACAGCCACTGGCAATTTTGAAGACCCTCACCAGTCATGACGTCACTTGCATGCATCATTACACCAAGCAACAGGCAATGACATCACAAACGCAGAGCTTACTTCACTTAGCCCACTCCCCCAAGGGGACAACGGTACCCTTCCTTTGTTGGCCCCTCTTAGCTCTGTCCCCATTGCTGAGTGGTGAGGAAGGTGACGTGGAACTGGGGTTCAAAAATCAAACCTAAACATTGTCCCTTGGGAGGATGGTTCAAGCCCACCATTTGCTCTTGCCAAATCGACACAATGCAATGTCTCTAGACACTGAGGCCACCAGGAACAGCAGACAGATCCAATTTTTATTTCAGTGGTGTCTTTGAGGGCAGTGGAGCATGGCTGCCATTCATATCTATGGGGGAAACCGAGGGCTGCTCTTGAGAACAATGGGGCAAAACACCTGTAATGAACCGGCCCCATATTCTGTGATGAATTGATTTCTGCGATGATCCTGCCCCTGACCATTTTTGCTGATCTGGTATTGATTCCCCCCCCTTTTAATCCCACCCCCTGTTCTGATATGGTTTCAAATACAGTAGCTGGGTTTTCTTGATGATGTGCTATTACGTTTATATGTTTTATCTTTATATGTTTTATGTGGTCTTGCTGGCCATATGACCTGGAAAGCTGTCTGTGGACAAACGCCAGCTCCCTCAGCCTGAAAGCGAGATGAGCGCCACACCCCATAGTCGCCTTTGACTGGACTTAACTGTCCAGAAGAGAAGAAGAAGAAGAAGAAGAAGAAGAAGAGGAGGAGGAGGAGGAGTAGTTTGGATTTGATATCCCGCTTTATTACTACCCTAAGGAGTCTCAAAGTGGCTAACAATCTCCTTTCCCTTCCTCCCCCACAACAAACACTCTGTGAGGTGAGTGAGGCTGAGAGATTTCAGAGAAGTGTGACTGGCCCAAGGTCACCCAGCAGCTGCATGTGGAGGAGCAGGGAATTGAACTCGGTTCACCAGATTACGAGTCTACCACTCTTAACCACTACACCACACCTTTACCTTTATGTTTTATATGTAAACCACTTTGATGAGACGTTCCAGAAGTGAAAAGTGATATAGAAACTCTCCAAATAGTTAATAAAAAAATACAAGCTTCACTTATCCATAGGACAGCCACAGTGTCAAAACCAACGTTTTGCGGCGCGAAGTACTGCAGATCTAAAGGGAGAGAAAAAGCAGGCTCCCAGAACAGCTTAGTCAACACAGGGACTTCCCACTCAAAGGAAATACTGTCATGGTTAGGATGACTGTATGGGGGTTTATACATAGCACTGATCCAGTCTGAGTAAATAGGATTCCAACTGAGGTTACTTATCCCATTCTCGCCCCTCCTGCTTGCACCCTTTCCATCATCACCCATTTTGACCTTCGTTGACCTTGCAATGTTTTAGTAATGACACGGGGCACAGCATGACAGCAGCATCACAATGTCAGATTATGGCATGCTAGGGGACTTAGTAGTGACCCTGCCTTGTCCAGCCTGCATAACAGGAGGATAGGCTCATGCTGTAAAAACAGCCAGTAATTAAATAGCTTATTTGGGAGCAACGCTGAGCACACAGCCTGATGGGCTTTGTTATAATTAGCTAATGACACATAGAACCAAATATGCAAAGCAGGTATCTTGGGGGCTCTCTTTTTACAACATAACTTTTCCAGAATATGTCTGCCATGTTGACTATGTCCATTTCCTACTGGGGATTCAAAGGCTCCTGTGACTTAAAGGGCTCTACAGAATCAGGACCAGTGTTCTCTCTCTCTCCAAACCAAGTAGGACAAAGATGTTTATAGACCAAATCTGTCACCCAGGTAGCTATAAATACTTTTCTATCCTAGTCTTCTAAGGTGATGGGTTAAGCAGGTTCAGGCTAATCTCTGTTTTCAGCTAGGCTTCATGGGGATGAGACTAATCATTTTTCCATCAACATAGTGTTCTCTGAAAACACTAATACCAACTACTGACACTAGATGTCACCAAAAGAATAGATCATTTCCCACTCCAAAAGGTGCTGGCTCTGTGTTGTTGACACATTTTCATGCAGGTGAAGGCTAATACCTGTTTTTGACCCATCTTCCTAAGGATTGTTGTTCCATCAGCAGGGTTTCTGCCTTTGCTCCTTGCTTATGACATATCAAGGTTTTCAGCAGTCTCCGCAATGAAAGATGCAGACAGGAGAGCATATTTACAGCTTTATTCAATGTAGTTCAGAACAAAGGAAAGCATGACTGCTTGCCTCCGTGTCCAGGAAATAAGTCAGAAACAAAAGCTATATACAAAATGGAAGTTCCCAGCAGACAGTGCTGGGAGTAAACAGGCATGTGATACACAACAATCATGCCTGACCCTTTAAGGTGGAACAGAACTATATCCTAACAGTCTTGTACAGGAATTACTGTTTGTGTGAACCACCAACATGGGTGTTGTGTATGTTTCAGTGGTGGAGATGCTTGTTTGTACAGATGGGTGGTGCTGTGGTTTAAACCACTGAGCCTCTGGGCTTGCTGATCAGAAGGTCGGCAGTTCAGATCCCTGAGACAGGGTGAGCTCCCGTTGCTCTGTCCCAGCTCCTGCCAACCTAGTTTTTCGAAAGCATGCCAGTGCAAGTAGACAAATAGGTACCGCTCCGGTGGGAAGGTAAATGGCGTTTCCGTGTGCTCTGGTTTCCGTCACAGTGTCCCGTTGCACCAGAAGCTCTTTAGTCATGCTGGCCACATGACCTGGAAAGCTGTCTGTGGACAAACGCCGGCTCCCTCGGCCTGAAAGCAAGATGAGTGCCGCAACCCCATAGTTGCCTTTGACTGGACTTAACCATCCAGGGTTCCTTTACCTTTACCCTTTTACAGACGGTGGATCCATGCAAACACGACTAAGCCAGCATCAGCCCTCCATTATGACATGTGGGCATAATGTCATAGGTGAACTGTTGCTTTGCACCACCTTTTATCTGTCTCACAGGCCCCTTTAGATGAAAATTGTGAGACTACCCCCGGTGTCACTGAACTCTCCCACTCCATTTGATGTTCACCAATTTCTTGTGTAGAAGATCTAGTGACTTTAGAGGTTTATTTTCTCTTGTGTCATTTACACCTGGGGTGTGTTATTTTCTTTTGAGTCTTTTAGGTAATTTTGGGTCATTTAGATTGTTTTATGCTGTGTTGTTTACACCTGGGGTGTGTTGCATTTCCAGAGATGGTATAGCAGAGCCAGTGAAGCAATGTGGCTATGAGCTAGAAAGCCCCTTGTTTAAACCTCACCTTAGCCTTATACCCCTCCCCCCAAGAAGCCTATATATGTTCTTCCCTGGTCTCTTATCACAGGCATGTGAACATCCCCCCTCCACCAGGCATTTGGGAATTAGATTGAGATTCCATTTTTCTTTTCTTTTATGACCTTCCAATTTTTTGAGGGGGGGGGGAGGGAGGGTAATTAATTACATTTTCAGTGTTATTTTTCTAGCAATGGCGCCCACCTGAGAGGTGCTGGAACTGAGTTTTGTTGAGTTTCGGCTGAAAATCAGGCCTGTTTATTCTTATATTGGGAACTTGTGTCATGTTGAAAGCTGGTCTCTAAACAGTTTAGAGTTAACCTATCACTTAACCACGGGCTTCCTGGCTGAATGTCCACTGCAATTTCCTTTGATGTGTTCTATATTCTCACTTCATCCATTGAATTAAATATAACTATTACTTAGGGACAGATTTATAGCTACCTAACAGAACAGTTACTTCTTGGTACAGTGATGTTTGGAAAAACATGTGCAGAAATCCACAGGATCCCACCAGGTCTTCAGAAGCAGCTATCCCTGCGTCAAAGAAGATTACTCCTAATAGGATTTGCTACTTGGAGGCTGTTGTTCTGTCTGTTGCAAAACCTGCACAGTGTTTACTTCAGGAAGAATATGGATCTCATCTGTCATGCATGTCTTCTTCTGCTGCTGCTTTTCTCTTATGGGACAACCCCAACAATTTCATCTTGTGTCACAGGATGCACCTGTTCCAACGATAACTTTGGAAGGTAAGAAACATTGGTAGGACTATAGAGAAACAAGTAGTGGCTGAATTGTGCCCAATATTGCTAGTATTTTTTGAGAATTCTGTTTAATTTCAAGTTCATTTTTAGGGCATGATTAGTTTTCTGAAATAGTAAATCTTCGGATATGATGTTAATGTACTTTTGTTTGGGTGTTAAAACAAGAAAGATGAAAATGAAGCAAGTGCATTCTTAACAGTGTCATAAAAACAGAAACCTTCACTTTGCTGTCATTCCATGTACAGTGGTACCTCGGGTTAAGTACTTAATTCATTCCGGAGGTCCGTTCTTAACCTGAAACTGTTCTTAACCTGAAGCACCACTTTAGCTAATGGGGCCTCCTGCTGCTGCTGTGCCGCCGGAGCACGATTTCTGTTCTCATCCTGAAGCAAAGTTCTTAACCTGAAACACTATTTCTGGGTTAGTGAAATCTGTAACCTGAAGCGTATGTAACCTGAAGCGGATGTAACCTGAGGTACCACTGTAATGGATTAAAACCAACTAAGCAATATGTTAACTTTGCTGTTTTGCTTTCTAGGAGTTTGCTTTGCATGTCAACATCATTGAGAAAGATCCCTGGGGGCATCCCTGAAGATATAAAAAAAATTAGAATAGAAAATTCTCACCTAACAGAATTGCCTCGTGGGTCATTCTCTAATGTCAGTGCCTTGGAATATCTTTGGCTTAATTTCAATAACATCACGGTCATGCATCTGAAAAGCCTCGAGTACCTGACGGATTTGACTGAGCTGAGACTGCAGGGGAACAAGCTGACTTCAGTACCATGGACAGCGTTCCAAGACACGCCAGCTTTGAAAATACTGGATCTAAAGCACAACAGGCTCGATGTCCTTCCAGAACATGCCCTCCGCTACCTGCCTAGCCTGACCTATTTAGACATCTCTTCCAATCAGCTTACTGTCATCTCCAAGGATGTTTTCTATAACTGGCCTGTGTACCAAAAAACCCAGCAGCTGGAGAAGAAGCTAGACGCTATTTCCAACGCGGTCTTGGCTTTGCACGACAACCCATGGATATGTGACTGTCGCCTGCGAGGGTTTGTCCAGTTTATCAAATCTATTAGCCCACCCATCATTCTGATGAATTCTTACTTAACTTGCTCAAGTCCCAAATTCAGAGCAGGAAAGTACTTTCATGAAGTGGAGCTGAATAACTGCATGAAGCCATTGGTATCACCCTCTGAGCCAAATCCCACTGTATATGTTGGGCTGAATGTGACCTTGACCTGTCTGGTGCAGGCCAGCCCTTCCCCAGCAATCTGGTGGACCTATATGTTAAAGCACCTACGAGGATTTAATGGTAAGCATTACTCCAAGGAAAGTTATATTCATTTGCCTCTGAACTTCTAGTCAGGGGCTGACCGCAAACCAGTTAAGCTGAGTTAGCCCACTGGATTCAATGAGACTAAACTGCCTTATTCACTTTTTTTGCGAATGGGCTGCCACTTACCAAATAGAAAAGGTGGGTGAAACATGGACAACCATTGTGTGATATTATATGAGTAAAGCCAGTCAGATTCTTGTTAAAAAATCATGTTGATTTAGGAGGGCTGAAGTATTAGATACCTTCACCACCAGTCCCTTCTCTGCCTATTATGTCTATATCCCACCTTTCCTCTAAGAAGCTCAGGGTAGCATGCATTGTCCCCTCCATTTTGTTCTTATAACATTTCTGTGAAATTGACTGGCAAAGGGATAGCAACTGCACAAGATCACTGAATGAGGTTCATGGTTGAGTGTGGCTTTGAACCTGGGTCTTCTCAGTCCTGTTTGATTAATAATAATAATAATAATTTATTTGTACCCCGCCCATCTGGGTGGGTTTCCCCAGCCATTCTGGGCGGCTTCCACAAATACCAAAAATACACTAATATGTCATACATTAAAAACTTCCCTGAACAGGGCTGCCTTAAGATGTCTTCTGAATGTCAGGTAGTTGTTTATCTCTTTGACATCTGATGGGAGGGCGTTCCACAGGGCGGGCGCCACTACCGAGAAGGCCCTCTGCCTGGTTCCCTGTAGCTTTGCTACGATGGGGGTGGAGACGCTCCTTCAGGTACAACCAACAACCAACAATGGCTCCCCTCTATATGAGCAGGAGACTGATGAAACAAGCATAGTTTTGGTTTAGACGTACAAAAATCTCTCTCTGTGTCATCAAGAGAAATATGATTGTCATGATTTCAGATGGAGCATTATCATTTGATTTCGGTTTTGTATGCCCTGTCTTCAGTTGGCTATATTATTGAAATTTTATTGTTGTTTACTTGTTTCTCTGATTCCATAATATTTTTTTGGGGGGGAGGGTGGAATTAAAACAAAAACAAACATACTATGCCTGGATGGATATGCTGAGCTTCCTGGATGCTCACATTTATTATGACTTGCTTAAAAATCCCATCCTTTGGGTATGAAACCCGTACCACGCTGACTTAGGGAAGGAGCATAACTCAGCGGCTGGTCACATTCTTTGAATGTAGAAAGTCCCAGATTTAATCCTTGGAAATTCTAAGCTAAAAGGATCAGGTACCCAATGATCCCTGCCTGAGATCTGAGAGAGCCACTTACTAGTAAGACTATAATGGGGTAGATGGGTGAATAGTCAGACTGGATATAAAATAGCACTCTATGTTCCTTAGAGTACATCAAATGATTTTAATTGGACTGCTCCAGTGTCAATGAATTGCTGAAAATAGCTGAATATATCCATCATATGCCATGTGCTCTCTCACATTTTCTTTGAAACATCTTAATGAGGTTGCCAAGTCTACTCATATTTCCCTTCTTCCAGACCCCTCCTCACATCCTCAGGGTTGACCCATCACTGGAGTGCCATTTTGTAACAATGACTGCTCTATATCTAGTACGGCTTGCTTCATTAGTAATACTTTGTTTATTAATTACTTTATACATTGGCCATGGTATAGCATCCAATTGAAACAAATTGATTTGTGGGCTTTGAGGCTAATCCGGCACAAATTAGCCACAGCTGCATTCAGCTAAAATCAAGGGAAGCTAAATTATTTTCTTTTCATTCCTTCCTTCATTAGTCACAATGAAGCCCCTTTCCATTGTTTTTGATAAGAAATAGTTGTCAGCAATTTTTTGCTGGACTGTGACTCTTTAAAGCATATTTGATCCTGGAGCTTTTCAGACATCCATTTACTGCTTATGCATATCTGAATGGTGTATAAAATGAAGGCAAGAGTTAACAATATCATTTGAATCCCTGCTGCTTGTGCCAACCATGGCTGAAGTTGGGTGATTCTTGTTGTCCCGCTTCCAGGCTGCCGCAGAAGAGGGTCCTGGATTGCCCTATTGCCGGTAGCAGCACTGGCTTAGGATACAGCAGATGCTTGGCTGGCATCCTCCTTTCCCACAAAGTGACCCCATTTGAGGAGTTTATGCTGGCTACCACAGGCGAGCATATAGCCAACCAATTGGTAGCATGTGTTGCCAGCAGAAACAGTAGGGACCTCCCTAGCAGCAAGGGCCCCCAACAGCAAAGCCTTGTAGAGCTGAGTGGAACCAAGCGGAAGGAATCCTTTGCCACATCCTGACCCCCTCCAAGCCATAAACTGGGGGTGAGGACTGCTACAGCCACGTTAGAATTTTGCAGTCTTACTGTATTGGCTAAACTGCATGCAGCTTTCTTAAACTGATTCCTACAGGGCTGGAATTTTCCTAGGCTGGACTCAGCCTTGAAGTAAATTATTCTAGACAGTTGAAATGAAATTGCTTCAGCTAGTTTCTGTGTGTGTGTGTGTGTGTGTGTGTGTGTATATATATATATCTCTCCATTCCCATAGGTCTTAATTGCTTCTTTTGCAGTTCACCTGAATGGTTGTAGCTAGAAACAGTGACCTTGATTTGATTCATAGACCTTATGGAGAGGAAAGGAAAGTCTCAAGAGCACGGTAAAAGAGTTCCATATTATTCTGGCATTTTGGGGTCAGTTGCCAACCAGTATGGATGACTGCTGCTCTGTTAACTTAAAAATCCTGAATGACACTCGACACTTCATAATTTTTGAAGTTAGGGTTTGCCACTGCGTAGCTACCTTCAGTCAAGACCTGCCATGTCACATCTGAGAGTTCTACGATCACTGGATAAATCCATGTTCTTCATAACAAGTGCTCTTGGGTCTCCATGGTGTATGATGATAATGTGCACTAAATAAGTGTAGGGCTATCTGAGGCCTTCTTCATCCTGTGCCCTTCGATGGCACCTTCTCCGCCATCGTCTCATCTCTTGGTAACGAATATGATGAGGTCTAGTGGTGATTGTAGTGAGGGTCCCATCTTGCTCAGGAGGTCCTCAGAGAATAACAGGATCAGAATTCCAGAGTCCACAATCAGGCAAGACTGTTTTAAGGCTAACCAAAATAAGGAGCAAGTTTCTGGGTTTCCCAGAACTCTTCATCGAAAGCTTGTACACCCTTCTGACATTTTTCATGGCATTGCCCTAATATGGAATTTGCTGCTTTTCTTATGGGCCAACACAGCTGCCTTTCAACATGGGAAGGTTTAGAATTGACTTAATATTTTGTCTAGTATGATACCTTTCAAAGATGAGCTTGGAGGTTCTTTTCAGGCAAGAACACCTGAGATCATTGTGAGAGAAGTGACAAGAAGGGCAGTGAAATTTCTGGGGAAGTCTTTCCAAAAAAGCAAGCCTTCTGGGAGATTAGTTTGGTCATATTTGCATACTTCCTTTTCCTCCAAAGTAGCATGTGTGGGACTTCCCTGTTTTATCCTTCACATAGTGTGAGGATAAAGTTCCCCACTTGATCCCCACAACAGAAGTCTTTTAGACTGGGGGTTTTATTTAAAAATAAATAAAAAGAAAACATTTTATTGAGTGTTGTTGGAAGCAGTAACATGCAAGCCCAACCGTGGGACACAGGTGAGGTAGCATGGAACAGAGAATCTGAAGGATCCATCAACCATGGGAGAAGGGAGAAGGGAAGAATAACTACTTCCACCCATGGGGTTGTATCCACACTCCTGTTACCTGAGCAGAATAGGATCGGCTCATGCAATGGGACTTCCCCTGCCTCGCCTTCCTCTTACAGCCCTCCACATACCCTGAAAATATTCTGCAGAATATTGAAGGGCTATGTGGGGGAAGGAGTGAAAGGGAAATTCCATGAGCAGGTCTACTTGCACAGTGTGGGATTTCACCCATTATCTGCATTTACAGCAAAACAATGGATTTTATGCTGCTAAATTCTACCGAGTAAAATTAATGGACCTACATCAGTTATGTTCACTAATTCTAAGGCAGAGCTTTCCAAACTGTGTGTTGCAACACATTTGTCTGTTGGCTGCAGTGAGTGGGTGTCACACAAACGCTCCCTGCACCCCTCCAGGGCCTGGAATGGGGTTAGTTTAACCACCATTTTGCTAGTAAAACTGAATGACTGCGTTGCGAAATGATGCATGTCTAAAAAGTGTGTACCCAACATGAAAAGTTTGGAAAGTTCTGCTCTAATGGGTTACTCTGAGTATGACTTGCCTTAAATACAACACTTTTATTATGATGACAGCAACCAGCATCATCATAAGTTATAGGATATGTTGAACCCTAGAGAGATTAAAAAGGAAATGGCTGGCATAAGCAGAGATATAGTAAGTCCTAATCCAATATCGCTGAGGGAACTTCATGAATGAGCATGGACCTGAGCCCAGGTCTCCCCAGTCCAGATTCAGTACTTTAAGTATATCACACCTGCTCTCCTAATTTGGTAAACCATTTAAGGAACGTCAAGCCCTTAATGGCCTCGGCCCAGTATACTTGAAGGAGCGTCTCCACCCCCATCGTTCTGCCCGGACACTGACGTCCAGCTCTGAAGGCCTTCTGGTGGTTCCCTCACTGTGAGAAGTGAGGTTACAGGGAACCAGGCAGAGGGCCTTCCTAGTGGTGGTGCCCACCCTGTGGAACGCCCTCGCATCAGATGTCAAGGAAATAAACAACTATCTGATTTTTAGAAGACACCTGAAGGCAACCCTGTTTAGGGATGTTTTTAATGTTTGATGTTTTAACGTGTTTTTAATATTCTGTTGGGAGCCGACCAGAGTGGCTGGGGAAACCCAGCCAGATGGGCGGGGTATAAATAAATAAATAAATAATAGCTGAAATCATTGCGTTGAAACCGCTGCAATTTTAAAGGAATTTTTGCACATCTCTATGTTGTTCTACATCAGGGATCTAGAGTGCTGGTACTACTAACATGTGTGTCCTTTTTTCCTTCCCCCTCCCTAGCATCCACCACCCATATTAGTGAAGATAGAATTAAGTCAGAATTGATTATTCCTTCCGCCCACCTTGTGGATGAAGGCAATTACACATGCACAGCTGCTAACTTCCTTGGCAACACCTCAGCCACAATGATGCTGAAAGTTCAAGCTCCAAGGGCGGCGGCCTCCTCGTTCTCTTCCTCAGTCTCAGGTGAGGATTCATACATCGATGTGAGGATTGCCAAGCAGACGGTCTATGGGATCACTTTGGAGTGGTACAGCTTGACAGAGAATCCAGGAGAAGCCTGGTATACCCTCCATTTTGGGAAGTATGATGACTCTAAGAAAGACATGATATACATTGGCCCCGGCATCAATAGCTACTCTGTCAACGACCTTCTCCCTGCCACCAAGTATGAAGTGTGTGTTACTCTGAGGAACCAGATGCCTCAAAAGGGGCAGTGCATTGTGTTTGTTACAGGAAGTGACATCAGCGAGCTGGAGCAGCGGGAGAAGCTTATCCATATCATCATCATTGTATGTGCCATGGTGCTCGCTGTCCCTGCTGGGATGTACGCGTGTACCACCGAGACCAGGTTTAATTGCATGGAGAAATGTGCCGACTTCTGCCGCCAGAGCAGGAAACGGCAAAATCTTCGGGGGGTCAATAAAGAGAACACGTTTGACAGTTTGCCAACAGGCAGTGAAGAGGGGCTGTGCCACCGAGACTCCAGTGACGACAAGAAAAAGCTGAAGGCTTGCGAGGACAAGGAGAAGGCCAACAAGCAGAAACCCGAGCACAGAAATAGCGCTGATCTCTATTAGCCGATCTCCAAGCACAATCCCATGTTAGATAAGAGAAAGGTAAATATAGAAAGACTGGTGGAAATATCTCACACATGTGGACAGTAGGTTTTCATGATACATCAGTGTCAACAGGTGACAAGCGTACACAACAGAACTTCTGAGGCCACCAAAAACCTACAGCGGTTGAAGTTGTTGGAAGGCAAGAGAGGAACGCACAGGGTCATCACTTTAGCAGGAACGCTATGCCTCTGTCAGCCTTCTAGCTGTGATTTATGGTTAACAATGCAGGGGATGGATGGAATTGCATTGCTTGTTGAACGAGCATAGAGTATGATCTATCAATATACAACCAGAGGGTTTTTCTAGAGGCATATCTGTAATTTAGATTACTGAATTGTTTTAGGACATCCCCACACCTTTCCTTCCCATTGTAGCTGCTGGTGATGGTTTTTTTAAAAAATAAATAAATAAATAAATAAATAAATAAATAAATAAGGCAAGTTCAGAAATAGGACCTTAGCAATAGCACTGGTCAGACCAGGAGAGTTTGTCCAAGTGCATTTAAAAGGTGCAAAAAAGTGGTGGAGATTTCTAATTCAGATTAAGAACTCTTCTGCACAAAAATAACTCAGAAAGACCGAAACTGTTAAAGAAATAGAAACAAAATGGTTTTCTTAAAATAAACTGTTTGTTTGTTTTAAAATCACATCAGTCCAAATGTGTAATGACTATTGGTTTCAGAAGTAAACATGCATCTCTACCAGCATGAAAAGAACATTAAAGAACATTTAAAGCACACCCATAACAGCGTTTACCCTTAACTGAGCTACAGTTCCTAGCACAATACAGTTATCATGATTGTTTGGGGCAGGGATCTGCTTTCAATGTCTGGTATGTATGCAGCTTTGGTTAGATCCAGCAGCCTCTTCCTAGGTTCTTGTAGATCTCTCTTACTGGTTAAAGTCAGCCATAACTTTAGATTTAACTTTATTGTCGCCTTCTAGTGAGCTTGCAGCAGTAATTTTTATCAGCAGCACAAAAAGTTAGTGGTGTCTTAGTTAATGGTGAAATTATATAACAGAGCTTATCGTACAGAAATCCTATTTGCTGCTAAAATGAAGTGATACTTAAAAGTACAACCAGCCACACAAGGTACACACTGATCACAACAAGGATTCTTAGTTGTCTCCACAGACCAAAATCCAATGTCCATGGAGAAAAGATGCCAGTTTCAGGTTTTTCCCCCCCTGGTAGTAGTGAAGCACATCTCTCCCTAGGGATGAGTGAATTTGTCAATTTTGGTTCTCTCAGCTTCTCATTTTTCCAACTGATACTCAGTTCTCTGCATTTTGCAGCAATGGAGGTTAAAAAAACCCCTCATGAAAATTCATTGTCATTTTAATGTGAATTTCTCCTTTAAAAGCTACGTTTTTAATACGCAGTGTTGACCCCAAAATAACACCTTTTTGTACGCTATTTTCACCAGTATCTTCATTCTTGTGCCCACTTCCCCCCAATACATGCATTTTTGTAGACACTAGCTGGAGAACTACATCGCAAAATTCAGCTAAGTGCGAATTTTGAAGGCAAGCTGTGTTTGGGTTTGCTTATTGCTCCTGAATGTGCAGTTTTGATAGATTCAGCTTTAAACGCACAATTGGGTTACTCCTCCATCCCTCCATCTCCTCACCAATCAATTTCACACACACACATTGCTTTAAAAAAAGGGGCGGGGGACACTTCTCAGATCTTCCATGCCACATCTGATTTTGCCATTAGAAACAATCCAACAATACTTTATTCCCCAAATGTAAAATAATTGATAATAGGACACGAGGGGGGAAATGCAATCCATTTTCAGCAGAACTTACTAGTCTCCTTTTTGCAAAGGACACCCAAGGCACTTTACATTAGAAGCAATTAAAATACAAAGCAGAAAGTTGCCCCCATCAGTAAATGATCATTATGTTTAATGAAGCCATTCTCTTTTAAATGTGTGAAATCCCCCTCTCCTGAAAAAGGTATATAAACACAGTTGCATATCTGCATGCAGAAAAATTATCTACCTGTTATCTACCTGTCTGTCTTTATGTATGCATGTGGCAATTTTGCCCCAGAGTCTGAAACTTTCATCAATATTTTTTAACTGGGCTCTTAAAAGATGATGTAGAAACAGTGCTATTTTTTAAAAATAATAATAATTATTTTTGAAGTTTACTCTTCAAAAGAGTTCAGCATATTTAGTTTAATCTCCCACAGCAACTCTATGAGGTAGGTTCAACTGAGTGGTCCAGTGATACTTAATGATGCTGACAACCAAGCAGAGATTTGGCCACAGGTCCCCACTGTTCCCTATGCCATGTTCATAAGCTCAGCAAAGTTTTATATTCCAGAGCTTCCAGAGCAGGCATGTCCAACTGGTCGATCGTGAGGTGTCCCTGGTCTATGCTCTATGCTGGTCGATCGTGTGCTTCTGATTGCTCCAAAAAAAGCTCAACAACTTTGGTTAATGGTTAATCCAATGGTTAATCCATTGCCAGTATATATATATATATATATATATGGAGTAGATTGCAGTCTCTTGGGAGTTGGACATGCCTGTTTTAGAGCAACTAATTTACAGGATTTCCTTGCTCCTCTAACAATGACCATTTCAACACATTATTATCCTGATCCTTAGATATGACTGTGTTATCTTTTGGATATTGAAAGTATATGCGATAGAAAGAAGTTGCTGTTAGCTGGAAACACACGTCTTGAAATAAAAGAAATGGTTTTTCCAAATGCTCTGACGTTTCTTCTCTGTTGCGACACCATTTTGCACATATACATGTGGAGGTTGATGGGGAAGGGGCGTATGGGAAGGACACACACCCCAGCAAAAATGGAAGGCTTCAAACGTTAATGCTTCAAATGATTCAGGTGATCATAATGGCGACCAGCTATTAGGAAGAGAGAACAATTGGGGAGTTCAGTGACCTCATTAAATAGATTAAAAAAAGTGGGATGGGAGAGGACGGAAATGAGCCAGGTTTTAATTTGGCATCTCAAGCATCCTCTGCAAAGCGAAGTGTTCTGAGCATGAAGCACCTTTTGAACAATGTAATCCCGCTTGACAATTCTATGCCATTAGCTCATGAGAAGATGGTACAAATGGGGAAATGGAGTGGTCGAAATAAGAGTGCATAGATCTCAGGCCTGCCAATAAAGTTTTGACATTTAAAAAACTTGTAGTGCAATGGAAGTTGAATTGATCATGGCTCAGAACAGCGCCGGATTTACGTATAAGCTAAACAAGCTATAGCTTAAGGCCCCACTCTCTTGGGGCCCCCACAAAAAAATTAAAGGGAAAAAAACCTGGATGTACATTTCCAAAATATAAGATAAAAAACAAATAAAATAAAACCTACATACAGCAACAGTGTTTTGTGTAGGCTCCTGTGATGTAAGTAATGGGCCCCGCCTGCTAGCCTGCTCCCTAAAATATCACTGGTTTGCTCATTTCTATATACAGTGGTACCTCTGGTTACATACTTAACTTGTTCCGGAGGTCTGTTCTTAACCTGAAACTGTTCTTAACCTGAAGCACCACTTTAGCTAATGGGGCCTCCCACTGCTGCCGCACCGCCACCACGCGATTTCTGTTCTTATCCTGAAGCAAAGTTCTTAACCCGAAGTATTACTTCTGGGTTAGCGGAGTCTGTAACCTGAAGCATATGTAACCCGAGGTACCACTGCATAGGGTGCCTACATTCTGCATGGGCAACATGTGCAAATGGCTTTAGATACCTATTAGGTCAATAAATTACCATATAGCATATATGCAACACAAAAAACAGCAACAACTTGTTGTTGACAAAGGACAGCTGGACATATAAAAGGCACCATTACCTTCAGTAGCTTAGGGCCTCATCAAACCTAAATCTGGCCCTGGCTGAGAACCAGATTCGGTAGCGTTTCTAAAGGTAAGAGGGTGCTGTTTAAGTGCCATGAAAAACTACTTGTCCTTATCCATAACTTCTGCTTCTACTCCTTGCCTTTGAAAACCCTACAGTCCATCTCACTGTGATCCCCTTTCTCTGCCAATTGCTTCAAAAGGGTGAATCTTAACAACAAAATTGTTTAAAAACTTTTGTTGTGGTTGCATGCATACACCTGTGGAATGTGCGAGTTGTATTTTTGCCTTGGCAGTGAAATCCTGCTAGTGGGCTTCACAGGGACATCTGATTGGCTATCATAATAACAGGATGCTGGAGTAGATACTGCGGGCGCAGGTGGTGCTGTGATCTAAACCACTGAGCCTCTTGGGTTTACCGATCAGAAGGTTGGTGGTTTGAATCCTCATGATGGGGTGAGCTCCTGTTGCTCTGTCCCAGCTTCTGCCAACCTAGCAGTCCAAAAGCACGCCAGTTTAAGTAGATAAATAGGTACCACTGCGGTGGAAGGTAAATGGTGTTTCTGTGTGCTGTGGTTTCTGTCACACCAGAAGTGATTTAGTCATGCTGGCCACATGACCCGGAAAGTTGTCTGTGGACAAACACCGGCTCCCTCAGCCTGAAAGTGAGATGAGCACCACAACGCCTTAGTTGCCTTTGATTGAATTTAACCGTACAGGGGTCCTTTGCCTTACCTTTTACCTTTATCTGTGCTATGAATAGGAGAGCAAACTGTATGGAAGTCATTTTGGAGAATGCACTCAGAGATCGCTGCCAGCCACCTTCAGTGATGCACTGGTGAAGGGATTGAGCTTGAAGTGAAAGTACATGTTTGCTTTTAGTCTGTGAGCTCTGGTTTCTCTCATGGTGGTCCATTGTGCCAGAAGCGGTTTAGTCATGCTGGCCACATGACCTGGAAAGCTGTCTGTGGACAAACACCGGCTCCCTCGGCCTGAAGCGAGATGAGCACTTCAACCCCATAGTCACCTTTGACTGGACTTAACTGTCCAGGGATCTTTTACCTTTACTTTGCTGGAGTAGATGGTACATTGGCCTGACCCAGCAGGATCTTCTTATACCCTTACAAATCAGATATTAGGTAAAAGTACATACCAACTTAGTGTACTAGGATAAATCCACACTGACGTTTTCATGAGGCCTTTTTTTAAAAAAAACAAACGCAAACAGATATGGAAATGTGGATAACTGGACTTAAGGTCAGAAAAATGAGAATCTGAGAGAAGCCAAAATCGATGGATTCACCCATCCCTAATTGTGACCTTGGGACCCTAAAGGCACTGAAGGCCAAGACATTTTTGCCAGGGGCAGGGTTGTGAGAACAGGATCTCACCTATTGATTTGCAGCAACTGGGAAATTTTGGGGCTGGAAGCTTCTAGTAGAATCTGGGCCAGATCTAGGCACAAAAAAACAAAGTTTCAGGAAAATGCGCATTAAACCTCATTATGGGAAATCATGTTGCCAAAAGATGGAACTCCACAGCACCATCTGGTGTCAGTGTTATAACGCATTTGAAACGCTTTTTCTTTACTAATGTAGCCGAGTCCCTGGATTGCCTTCTGGTATGGAGCACTTGCAATGCTGAATATGAAGAATTGAGAGAGGTAACAATGGTCAGAACATCAAAATAAGGCAACAATGGTCAGAACATCAAAATAAGGCAACAAATGCATTTTTCAAGTTTTTATTAACAAAAAACATTTGGAACGCAGTTAACTCAGTACAGAACAACTGCATTCGGTTTGGGGGGTTGGGAGTTGAATGATGTAAAAGAAAAACAGTTATCTCTTAATTATGTTGAACTCTATTAAGTCTAATATTATAAGTCTTTTCTTGAACATGATGCTGAGGGTTGCCACCTTTTCAGCTGCCAAAGGATGGGGCAATACAGATGTTTTTCATGTAGGTGGGCAATAGCTGCTTTGGACTCCTTTATGGGGGGGGATAGAATTTGCTACCCATTCTATCAGTGCAATTGGGCCCTTTGACTGCATTGTGAAGGTGCAGCACACTTCTGCTGGGGAGAGGGGAGGAGCTGCAGGAGAAATTTAATCCTGCTACACCTTTCCTCCCGTCTCGTTCTAATTCCAACATTCTATTGCTAAAACCTAGTAAAATCTTGCGGTATCTTAAACACATTTCATGGCGGCATCTTTAGCATAATCAAATGTGCTGGTCTTTAAGGTTCCACAGGGCTGTTTGTTAGTTAGCTAGAGACTAACACAAATCACCCCCTGCCCCCCCCAAAAAACCTGGCAAAATGCACAAGATGCTTTTTGTGGTTCCATAATTTTTTCTCCCTCGAACACATCATTTAAAAATAAAATGTAGAACTGATTCAAGTTTGTTTGTGCACAAAATGTTGATTCCATAAAAAGTATATTTGCAATAGGTTTTTTACATATAATACGGACAGATATATTTCAAAAATATGAACAATCCATACAGATTACAAATGGATGGCAACCCTGGAGTTTTTTTGACCTTCGTCGCATTGTGCAATAAAACACTGTGTTAGGAAAATAGCAATGCAGATAATTCTTGGAAGCTTTTGGTACCTCAAAGAGAATTTGTTTAAGTAGGTTCAGAAACAAAAGGAAAGATGTTGCATGATTTACAAATCTTCCCATGATTTGGATGTGCCCCTCTGGGTGCAATATAAGAGATGTGCCTCTTTTTAAAGCTATTTATGACGCATATACTCAGCTCTTCATCTGAAGAGCTCCAAGCAGCTCACATATAGTTCCTGGGAGGACTTTCTTCCAAGCCATTACATGGCCAGACCTGATCAACAATAGGACTCTTTCATGTGCCTTCAAGCTATTATCTTCTCCTGTGACTATTCATGGAGATCTCATGTGGGGGATTTGCCCGGGAGTGAAATTTACCAAACTGAACGGAGGGACATTTTGTTAATCTGGTTCGGGGGTAGCCAATGTTGCGCCATCTGGATTTTGCAGGGCTACAAGTCCCAACACCACTGGCTATTTGTATTATTTATTATATTTGTCAGTTGGTTTTCTTGCAAAGCAAATGAAAACAATAAAAAACAAAAAACACAGCAACACAGGCTAAAAACATAGCTAAATGAAAAGGCAGGGATACAAGTCCCCCCCCCCCGCCCCACAATGCCACCCTTCAGATCAAGGGCCCAAAACATAGGAATGGAGAAAGCAAAGGGGGTGCCACTGAAAAGGCCCGTTCTTGAATTGTCACTCTCTAAATCTCCCATGGAGGTGGCACACAAAGAAGGGTCATGCTGGCTAGGATTGATAGGATTTGGAGCCCAATAATATAGGGGGGGAATGGAACCACATTGGTAACCCCATGTCTGGTTGAACCAGCCTTTGCCTCCTTCAAACACCCTGATGTTCCTTCCCAAAATGAACCCATGAAGTCACCATTAATTGCTTTGATGGCAACTCTTGCTTAGAACTAGTAAGGAATCAAGTTAGGGCGACCAGTAAACCAGTCTAGATATGATGCAGATAGTGTTAGGCTTCCCTCTGCCTTGTGCTATTAGAGCCAGGGGAAGGTCAGGCTATCTGGACAGGTCTGTCTGTGTCACAGCTCACCTGTGGACCAGTCACAATGGGTGAAATGGAGGAGGTTTCAGGAAGAAAACACACACAACATCCTCCTATATTCCTTGGTTAGCGGGATGCAGCTTGAAAGCCTTACATCATGTTTATAAGGGTATGGCACTACCATTCCACATGATACAATTTTAAGGGATGTTGCTACATTCCTTAAAATGGCCTCAGCTCAGAAGTTTGCCTAAATTGTGCTGCATCTCAAAATGATGCAGGGCTGCAAGCGATTTCTGTCTTTCTCCTGTTCACACCTTTTCTTTGCCCAGCTCCACTCCAAGGCAAACACTTCTGACACCATGTTTCTCATTTAACTGCCTCGTTTGTAGTAATTTAACACCAGGGGGATGTTCAGGTTGTCCCTCTGCAGCACCTTAACTTCAAATTCCCATAAACACCGGCATTTTAAACATTCAGTGGTTAGGATGCTCGTAAAGCAGTAAAGCACTGTTTTGCAGCAGTGTAGGGAGCAATTTTGCCTTTTATAGAGAAAGAACTCTTGGTTTTTCCACTCCTCCATAAAAAGTTTTACGTCACTGGTCTGTTGCGATGAGGCATATCACATAGAGACGTGTCGACTCTCAATAATACTGAATGTTATGAAAACATTCCTGTTTTCAATATAACTCATCTGCTTACTTTATGGACAGAAGTGGCTCACATCTCTGCGTCTGATAAATTTTTGTCAACCTATCCTTACTTGTCATTCAGTGCATGTGCCCCAATACTGTTCATGTTACCTGTGATTAGGGATGACATGAATACCCCTGACTGCACACCTGTGAGCAGAATCAGGGTAAACACAACTCTCCTTGCTGTCTGTGTTCATTTCAGTCCTGAGAACTGCCTCCTCCCTTACCTTCCCGAAGGTGGAAAAAACTGGATTGCAACTAGAAATACCACAATCCTTGCTGGGAAAGTGATGCTGTTGGCTGTCACCTCCTGCCATGATCCCTCACCTCCTTCCTTTCTCATTCAAGAGATTTTCTTGGACAGGTTAGGGCATATTGCATCATTCACACCTCACATTGGGACATGTTCATCTGTATGCTTGATGCCTATATGATTGGGAATGCTGTCAAATTCCAGCCCAAGTAAAGCCCGAGTTATGGATGGGGCAGAACAATTTAAAAGGTCAATCAACATCTGAGCTGGACCCTGGAGCTACTGAATTTCAGCGAGTGGCATGCTAGGAGATGGGGCAGCTTGTTAGGCTTACTTGGCTATTCCTTGAGGACTCTGGCATGAGATATTTTAAAACATTCAATATTTCAAGCTGAACTTTAAAACAGATCACTGGAAAGCATTGGCCAGATACAGAACAAATTGGCATCCTGAAAATTGCAGCACACAAACACGCAAGCAGACTTTGCAGCGGGAACCTGTATAAAAACATTGTAACAAATGCACACCACATATTACCATAAAGTTATAGGTGAAACAATTGCACCAGGTGAGTGGATATGTACCGGCATGCGATCCGGGTGAATGGATGCGAAACACCGAGAAGAGATAATGAGCGTTTTCAGCTTGCGGGGAGATGGGGAATTGGTACAAAATGCAAAATAAGAAAATCACACCATGTACCTGCAATGGCACACAGAAGACACACTCCCCATGCAAGCTGTGGGGAGGGGACACTAAATGTGAGGGCTTGCCGCACTTCTCATTTCAAACCTCTGCTTGAGCTCCGACACCAGGGCATTGTGGGATGTGCAGACCGCGGCACCTTTCTTTGCCTGCTTTTTAATAATCTTTGGACTCAGCGATCCAGATACTGTGGGGACCCTCCATTCAGAGACATTAGTCTTGAGTGCCGGGGCTGGAGGTAGGGCTGGAGCAGCAGGTGGTGGAGGAGGAAGGGGCACCTGGAAGTTGTTGTTGCTGTTCTCATTTTGCAGACTCTTGGTATCCTCTTCGACGACAAACTTCTCTGCAGCGTTGCTGGGCCTCTTGAATTTCAGCCACTCCATTCTGATCATCCTGGTTGGTTGGTGGTTCTGCCTTTTTTTAATGATCCGTCTCACGGGCATGATTTTGTTGGACCTCTTATTGCGCCAGAACATGGCGGTGGAGATTAAGATGGTGATCGCCACCATCACCCCCATGACACCAGCTAGCACTCCTAAGGCTTTCATGGGGTTATCTTTTGTTTGCATCAAAAAGGCAGCCATAGGCCCTTTGTGAAGAGTCTGTAAAAGAGTACAAAGAGAACATGGTGACTTAACTCTGGGGCACAGAGAGAGAGAGACTGCGCTTTCATTTGTCCAAAATATGTGATCCACACCACCAAGCCATCTCCAATTTGGCATCCAAAATTCAGATTTAACACTAAGAAGGTCAACTGCAGCAATTAAATAGTGGAGCCTTTCACTCAGGATGTGGGGAGTTTTGCATCATTCCTATGCAATACTCTGTTGTCCATCGGTTGCAAGTAGAAACAAAACCACTGGGTTGTGCAGTCAAGGACATAACCATACAACAAACTGGTGACAAGAGTCATTCCCTATTCTAAGACGGAACCCTGGAAATTGTAGTCCTGTTAGAATGGACACCAGGGATCCCTAACCAGGCAGAGGGCCTTCTTGGTAGTGGCGCTGCTTTGTGGAATGCTCTCCAATCAGATGTCAAGGAAATAAACAACTATCTGACTTTTAGAAGACATCTGAAGGCAGCCCTGTTTAGGGAAGTTTTTAATGTTTGATGTTTTATTGTATTTTTAATATTCTGTTGGGAGTCTCCCAGAATGGTTGGGGGAACCCGGCCAGATGGGCGGGGTATAAATAAATAAATAAATAAATTATTATTATTATTATTATTATTATTATTATTATTATTATTATTATTTTATTACTATGAACACCCATAAACTAAAATGTCTCTGATTCTTTTGGGGAAAGCTGTCACAGTTAAAACCGGTATCAAATTGAGATAAACTCAGTATATATATCCATAACTGGAAGGTGTTCCTTATGCTTCAGATTTCATTTCAGAATCTCCCAAAATCAAAGCAACGCTTTCAGAGAAAATACTAGTAATAAGATTTTCTCATCCTATTGATGCATCTTCAACTGAAAACATTTTGAGGCTGTCAAATCGGTTCTTAAACAGCAGAAACTGAGCATGTTCTAGTACTCTTTTACAGACATTACAAAAACAAAACAAACCACTCCAATGCTATGAGGTAATGAATCTGAGATGAAGAGACAGGCTGTTTGTTTCCCTTTTAAAGAATCCAAAGCTTGATTAAGAGGTAATGCAGCCTCTCAATATGGCATACTGAGGACAAATGAATGAAAAGTTTGTATAGCATTTTAGCACACAGAGCGCTGTGGTAGTCGCCGTTTAATTTTCCTGATTTTTCCCTGAGGATGGAGTCTGGATCTTTTCACACTTTTCCAGTACATGATGGTGGAGATCACCATGGTAACAGAAATGGTAGAAAGGACGCCACTCGTGCAAATCCCAAATAATGTCCATGGACGTTTCTTGAGGCCTAAAATATAGGATCTTACCCTTGATTTGATCTGAAAATGTCAAAAATAAGAAAACCAATCAACCTGTGGACCACCATCATAAAGGAAACAGCGGGTTGCATCCAATGTAGTGCAAAGTACCCCATTCTGTCAGTGCAAGGATGTCTGCTTGTGGGACACAACTTTCTCCTCCCTCCCTAAATCTGGTCTGGGATTCCTCCCAACCCCCTGCAACATATTTGGGGAGGGCGAAGTGTGAACACAGGCAGAAGAAAGGGGAGGGAGTTCTGTTGTGAAAGTGGAAATCCTCGCACTGCCAAAATACATTGGCAAGTAACTGAAGCAGATAATTTAATTAGACAGTGCCTATATGATATCGAGCAACAGAATTTGGCCATGATAAAGAAATTTTGTCCGTTGTACGATTATTTCCCACCTAGTCATTTTGACACTTTGGCACCCTATTTGCAAAATTTAATAATTCCAAAATATACAGATGCACTTTTACTTATGCAAGATTAAATATACTGCCTACAGCTGTGCTTGAGGGTCGATTTCAAAAAAATCTGTGGGAAAAAGGGCTATGTCCATGTGGAGAGGGCAGAATTGAATCAGTAGCTCATGTGCTTCTAGCTTGCATTCTGTATAAATATTTGAGGAGTGAGGTTATTACCCCTCTACTACTATCTCTACCAGAATAAAAAAAATTCCTTCCAGTAGCACCTTAGAGACCAACTAAGTTTGTTACTGGTATGAGCTTTCATGTGCATGAACACTTCTTCAGATACACTTCAGATCCCTACCAGGTCGCTCAACCATTGCTACTGTGTGCTTTCTTTTAGCAGATCAGGATAACCAGGTGACAGCAAAAACTGCAAAAAATAAATAAATGAGCAGGGGCAACTAGAATAAGATGTATTATTTGATTATTGATGTAAATCTCCAGAATGTCTCTTGTATAGTTAAGTTTTTACCTCTATCTTCAGTACATTTTTCTTTTCTTTTACTGCTATGGCTAGTAGCTGATGCAAAAAAAGATTCTTCTGAATATATTGGTTGGAGACCATCATAGGACCCTCCCCTCTTTAAAACATAGCAGGGCTAAGAAGCAATTGGGTGGGGGGGATAAAACTACTAAATATTTTTGAGCCCATCCTCCTCTAATACATGATGCTGGGACAGAACATAATAATAAAATTAAAACACCAAACAAACAAACAAACAAACAAACAAACGAAACAACAACACACCACTCAGTGTAAACACAGGCAAAAGAATAACATCACAAAATTTGTGGTTAAAAGACCAATTTTAGAAGCTAAAAAAACCCCTACCCAGATAACATGGATAAATGAGTGCCTGTAATTGCACATAATAGCAAGAGAAACAGCGGCGGAAATGACTGGCAGAATCCGTGACCAGGGAGAAGAGTCGGTGGAAGAAGATTGGAAGAAATTCAAAGACTATTTACAGAAATATTGCAAAATTAATGAATGTTAGAATGATGTTGAAGTTAAGGGGTTTCTAGCTGTACAGGCTAAAAGAATATGGAAAAATTGGTTTTAATATGTAAAATCTAAAATTTAAAGTTATATTATATCAAGATTAAAGATTAGGATTAAAAAGGAGGGAAAGGAATTGTTGGATTAACATATTTAATTAGAATACAAAAGAGGGAGGTAAGAGGAGGTCCGAGAAACAAGTAAATGTAAAAGAAGTGAGGAAAGATGAAATTGTTTTTAATTGTTTTTTCCTTTTTTCCTTTGTATTTTTTCTTTTTATTGTTAATTTTTTCTTCATTAATGTGGTTTTTTTTCTTGTGAAATTTTAATAAATATTATCTAAAAAAAAAAAAAATAGTAAGAGAAACAGCAAGGCTTGAAGACTGGAGAATGGAAACATGCAACCACCGGAGATGTTTATAAGTCATTATTACTGTAACCATGCGGTTACATATATACATGTATAAACACCTTCAGAACGAGACTGGCTTAGTTGTACAGTACCTATATCTAATCATGAAGCAGGTGTTCTTCATCTGAGACCAGGGACTGGAGCCTGAGCTGCAGAAGCAGGCAGAAGATACTGCTCTCTTGAACTGGCAAAGGCAGATATCCAAGCTCCCATTATCTAGCTTGGACTTGGCCAACTTTTCCTCCTGACTGTCCATTGTAGGAGACTGCAATCTCCTCACAGGATTGTGAAGCAGCAGATTGCCAAATCCTGAGACACCATTCCTTTCCAGCTTGGCACCCAGTGCTTTCTGCCTCCTTTCTTGCTTCCTGCCAGCTGCCTTGATGGCGACAGCACAGTTACAACCCAGAGGTAATGGTGTGCAGAATTCCAGCCTTGAGGACTGACTACACTGCAGCTCAGGTCAATGGGAACATTCTTCTACTGATTTGAATGGTACAGAATCTCATCTTCCGAGGATTTGTGGAGCAAGCCACAATCAATGCATGTTCTCTTTAGCTGCCTGAATAAGATTATCTGTTACACACTTGACTTGGCAATAAGCGTGCCAGAGAAAAACATATTCATCGCACGAGGCACACTTAATCTGAGTTCCATCTCCTCAGTGTCCCTGCACGTCGTCACGACACATCCTGAGTCTGCTTATGACAAATGCAAAGGAGATGCGGCTGTTAATAAAACATTCAGGTGTGTATTCAATGATACCTGATTTCTCATACGAAAGCTTCCTGCTGCATGCCGTGCTCATTTTCCACATGGCACTAGGATGCTACTGCAATGATATGTATCGGGGTTGGAGCGTCCAGAAAATCGTGGAGCTGCTAGGCTGCTAATTGGGATCAGCCATTGTGAACCTATTTTGCCATTGCTTAAAGAGCTGCCCTGGCTCCTGGTTCATTTTTGAGAGCAATATAAAGTGTTGGCACTCCCTGTTAAAGCTGTATATGGCTTGGGATCTGGAAACAGCTCACATAGCTGCCTGCTCTATTTTCACCTGCCTGTGCACCAATAACATCTTTGGATGTCCTCCCCCAGGTACTCCATCATCTGATGCAAGGCATGTGGCATCTGGGAAGAGGGACTTTTCCAGAAGACTAAGCAGGCAGAGCCAGGCTGCCTCCTAAGCCCACACAAGTGTAACATATAGCTCGTCTCTGAATGAACCTTGTTCCTATCCATTTATGTTCAGGGCAGAGGGTTAGATAGCCACCCCTTCTAATCTTGTAGACTATAGGCAAACTTTCGCAAAATTATTGGTGTGCTCTGTCACTGCAATGATCAGTCTTTCCATTCCAGGCCACGTAAATCTAGCACTACGTATACTGTCATAAAAAAATAATACCTGTAATCAAGGATAGGGGGAAGCAAACCGCATATGCACTTCAGCACTTTTCCCCCAGTGGGTATGAAAGAAAGCATAGGCTTATCATCAATATCCCTTTTTTGTGTAAAAATAGGATCCGTTAAATAAAATAGCCTTGGGATTTTTTTATTATCACTGCATTGTTTCAAGAGCAAAATGTTTTTTTGATGCATGAAACCACCAAACCTAGCTGCAGGGCATCCATCTCGAAGGGAGAAGCGTTCTGCTAATTGTGATGGTAAATGTTAATCAAAAATAGGCCTGTTTAATTACTCATTGTGATTAACACTGCTGGACACCTCTAGTTGTGTTGTCAAAGAAGCTTTGCCTTCAGAAAGGAAAACAGAGCACTGTTCTGTGGGATGAAGAGTGCCGGGTCAGAAACAATGGAAAAGGAACAGATGCATTCAAGTACATCCTGGGGCACATTATACAAAGAGAATGCCTTATTTGCATGCCACTAGCTTCGATCCTGCCATCTCCAGTTGGAAATGATTCCCAGTGTAGTATATGCTAACCCTTTCCCTCCTGAAAAAAAGGTCACAAAAACTTAAGGAGGGAGAGCACAGTCTCAGAGATGGATTCATGCACCATGAAAGCTTAGGGTTCATCCACACTTCTGCTCACTATCCAATTGGAGCAAATATCAACCAGGTTTTTTCCAGATTGACATTTGCTCCAATTTAGTGCAGAAGTGTGGGTTTCCTGGGGGAAAGCAGTGAGGAAAAGTCCAAACCGCTCGTGGGAGAAGTGGAAATGTGGATAAGAAACGGGCTAAGCACCGTTGCAATGAAGGCACAAAGAGGACAAACAGTCACAGGCTCTACTATAAAGATATGAAAGCAAGGAACTAAGCTATCGCAGAGGAAATTACAGACAGCATAGCAAAGACTGGGAAGTTTCAGGTGGAGACTTGTAAATTATAAGGTTTCCGGATAATAAAGCTAGATATGGCTGAGGGATATGGCCTAGATATGGTCATCAAAAAAACGAAGATCATGGCCACTGGGCCCATCACCTTCTGGCAAATAGAAGGGGAAGAAATGGAGGCAGTGAGAGATTTTACTTTCTTGGGCTCCATGATCACTGCAGATGGTGACAGCAGTCACAAAATTAAAAGACGCCTGCTCCTTGGGAGAAAGGCAATGGCAAACCTAGACAGCGTCTTAAAAAGCAGAGACATCACCTTGCCAACAAAGGTCCGTATAGTTAAAGCCATGGTTTTCCCAGTAGCGATGTATGGAAGTGAGAGCTGGACCATCAAGAAGGCTGATCGCCGAAGAATTGATGCTTTTGAATTATGGTGCTGGAGGAGACTCCCATGGATTGCAAGAAGATCAAACCTTTCCATTCTTAAGGAAATCAGCCCTGAGTGCTCACTGAAAGGACAGATCGTGAAGCTGAGGCTCCAATACTTTGGCCACCTCATGAGAAGAGAAGACTCCCTGGAAAAGACCCTGATGTTGGGAAAGATTGAGGGCACAAGAAGAAGGGGACGACAGAGGACGAGATGGTTGCACAGTGTTCTCGAAGCTACAAACACGAGTCTGACCAAACTGCAGGAGGCAGTGGAAGACAGGAGTGCCTGGCGTGCTCTGGTCCATGGGGTCACGAAGAGTCGGACACGACTAAACAACAACAACAAATGGCAGAGGGTGTGGCATTTCAAATCTCTTTGCCATCAGTTTGCAATGCTTATTCAAGGGAAATAAATATTCTAGAACAGATGGGTGGCATTCTGTTTGCTGATATTAGATCGCCACATGTCTAGGTTGCCCCTGCCACATCTATGTAGTCTGCAGGGTATAAGGGAAATGACAGTTTAACGAATCCTCTGTATGTGAAGCAGATTGACAAGTCTGTCACACACCCCAATACACTCACCCCAGCATTAGACCCACCATCGCAACCATTCTGAAAATATTGTTTGGGAAGTTAAATGTAGTAATAAAGGAGGAGTTATTCTTCTAATGAACCATCTGGAGAATGGTTGGTAAAATCAAGGGTGAGTTAAGATACAAAGTTAAAAGAAGAAGGACAGATACCATAGATTAGGCGTGGACCTTTAAGACTATTGTTGTGGGCCTTCATAAATTTCTCCTTCTCCATTTTCAGCATAGGGAAAGCAATCGTAACTTCTGTTTGGTAGCAATGAGGCTGAACAATGCAACAGAGAGGTCAGGGATGGACCCATTGCCAGCAGCTGAAATGGCTTAGGATCCACTTGATCTTTAGGCAGACTCTACGCTTCCTTGACCCAGAAATGCCAGAAATTCTCATCTCACATCTGACAGCACTCTCTTACTTCAATTTAACTTCAACGACTCAAATTATGATGCTTTTGCAGCGGTGCCCATTACAAATCACTGTTTCTCAGCCACAAATCTTGGGTCTCCCCGTTTGCCATTTCTCTCCAGTATCCTATCCCCTTACCTCTTCTGTGATATCAATCTTCAGGACAGCGGTGGTGCTAAATGAAGGAGAGCCCCGATCTTTGGCTTGAACTACCACCGACCATATGCAGTCTTTGTTGTTGGTGATGTTGTGAATTATGTCCAAGGATCTTATGTAGGATTTCAGTTTTATTTCTCCAGTGCTTTGGTCTATATCAAACACATTGGCAGGATCTGCTTGCATAATAGAATAGTCAACTATGTTATTGGGTTCTTCCGCATCTTGGTCTATTGCCTGTTAGGGATGGGGAGAAAAGGTGAAAGAAAAATGTTTATTGAATGGCAATCTATTTTAAAGAGGACTGGTTCTTTTGATTCTGAAGTTCCATACTTTGAGCATGGCTTCTGTCCCAGAACTTTGTGGGGTGGGATTTGGTTGGATTCCGGAGTAGTTTAAAAATCTATCTTGTACCAGTCTTCCATTTTATATTCTGCTTGATATAGAGAGGTGTAGGATACAGCTATTAATGATAAATTGACATGTGCCATTAAGGTAAGGCAGGGAATATGCAGAAGAAATGATTCTGAGGAGATATGGAGAATGTTTGTAGAATTTGTACTGTTAAAATGGAAAGGAGTCAAACCATCGCAAGAGGTGTTGAAATTTTGGGAGGCTGGATAGTTACAATGGAATAGTCTCGGTGGTGGGGTGCACATTTTTATTCTTATTTATTTATGATTATTAATTTGTTTAAAAATTGAAACAAAAAAATCTATCTTGGAGAAAATTGAAATGCTAGGAGTTTGAAGGAACAGTTCCCCCCTCCCTTAAAAAAAAACACAAAACCCTTGGAAAATTCAGATCTCCTACCAATTATCCCCTTCTCCCTTTTTATTTGAAAAACTCTGTAATGGGGGATTTTTTTTTTACAAAAATAAAACCAATGTATGTTTAATTTTCTGATTTGAAGTAAATGGCCATTGTGCAGAATTCTGCCCGCTGCATCTGAAATCAGCATTTCCTGTCAGAAAAAACAGCAGGGGGTGGGAATTCTAGAACAATTCCAGAATGGAACTGCTCCATTCTGCTCCACCTATTAACAATTTTGTTGTACTGAATCAAAGCGGAAGAGTAATGAGGCACAACAAAACAGAAATCACACCTGTGACGCAACTCTAGTATTTGAAGAATGGCTCTAGACTAGCCTTTTATGATTATTTCTTGTAAGCAAAAGACCCGTAGCATTTCATGAGTAATAATAATAATAATAATAATAATAATAATAATAATAATAAATTATTTATACCCCACCCATCTGGCTGGGTTTCCCCAGTCATTCTGGGCAGCTCCCAACAGAACATTAAAAATACGATAAGATTGGAGAACTTTCCTACGCCACCTCTCTGACACAATCTTCTCTATCTCTTGCCACCTCTCTGACACTGTCAGTCTCTGCCTCCCACTCCAACCTTGACTCTCTTTGTGCCCAGACACTCTTCTGGGTCTTTTTCTTCACCCACTCTGTGCCCTGATTTGTCTTCCTATTGGTATTTCCATAGGATGACTGGCATCTATTCACGTATGAAGGAGAATGTAACGGGATGCCCTCAAGTGTACCATTAGGGCTTAAGGCAGGATGAGGAACCTCTAGCCTGCGGGCCAATGTTGGACTGCCATTGGGCTCTGGGTTGGCCTGTGAGGCCTTTTCCCCAAACCATGCCCAACTCCCAATCAGCTGACTTAATTTGTGATGTTATCTGATGGGCACTTGAGTATGGTTAAATCCTGTGCTGGCCCTCTGTCTGTTCCCAGCAGGGAATAGCAGTGTGTACCCAAACTGAGCAGGATTTAACCCCCCACTCATTAGTTGCCTGTTCCGAGCCATTAAGAAGAATCAACCCTGCTCTTACAAGCCTTGATTTTCCACAGGTCTCCCTAAGCTGTAAAGGTAAAGGACCCCTGGATGGTTAAGTCCAGTCAAAGGCGACTATGGGGTTGTGGCACTCATCTCACTTTCAGGCTGAGGGAGCTGGCGTTTGTCCACAGACAGCTTTCTGGGAACACCATGACAGAAGCGCACAGAAACGCCATTTACCTTCCCGCCACAGCAGTACCTATTTATCTACCTGCACTGGCATGCTTTTGAACTGTTAGGTTGGCAGGAGCTGGGACAGAGCAATGGGAGCTCACTCCATCGTGGGGATTCGAACCGCCGACCTTCTGATTGGCAAGCCCAAGAGGCTCAGTGGTTTAGACCACAGTGCCACCCACGTCCTCTAAACTGTAATGGAATATTGAAAAGTGGATTATACCCATAGCTGCACAGATTTACTTACAGAAATGTAAGCTCCTTATTTAGCCTTTGAGTCCATAACAGGAACCGTTGCAACATAACAAATCCATTGCAATCACTTCAATACCAATCACTACAACCAAACACACAAATGCGCACATCGACCAACCTCCACTTTCACTGGAGTGCCTATAATCATGGTTTTTTCCTGGATGTTCTCGTTGAATTCTGGGGAGTGATCGTTGACATCAAGAACAGTAATGAAGACTTCAGCCAAGCTATACTTCCCCTCTGTATCTTCTGCCTTCACATAGAAGTTGTACTTGGACGTAACTTCTGCATCTAACGTGGCCCATGGCTGGGTGTAAATGATCCCAGTGGATGGATGGATGAGGAATCTGGAAGGAAAAAAACCAATGGCCAATATTTCATCTATTTCCTAGTCAGCTGCACAGACAGAAGAAAAGAGATCACCCTTATGTTCAGATACACCCTTTTCAGAGTGATTTCTCCCTCTACAGTAGCTGCTGTGGGTGGCTGCAGTCCCAATTGTGCTTGGAAAATGGGAATTTATTTGTTACAAATCCTATTAGCCAATTCTCTATAAAATACTCTGAACAACATTCAGTAAAACAAGTGTTTAACGTGATGCATCTCTTAAAAAAAACATTTCATACCAATGGCTACACAATACCCATTTAAAATCAAGCTCAACTCAGCTATTCAGCATTTTTGAAAGTCGTGGCGAATAAAAAATATGTTGACCTACAGGTAAAAAAGGGAGCACAAGGATGGAGTCTGGTATACTTCTATGTGTACAGAGTTCCACAGGGAAGACTGTCATATAACCGAAAGCCTTGCTCTCTCTGTGGCCAGCCTTACCAAAATCAGCTTTCTATGGAAAATTCTCAGTTTGTACAGCTTGGAAAAGATCCCAGGAGAGGCCCATTTTGACTTATTAAGATTAATGAAGGATGGAGTTATTTGTGTAAGATGGCAGAAGTTATTAACACAAGGGCTCTGAAGTAGGAAGCGATGCCTTATATTGAGGAAAAACGTTAACACTTTGGACCCCTCTAATTTGAGTTATTTCCCGTTTAATTTTAATTAAAAATGTTTTTAAGGAAACGAGAAAGCAATCTGGAACTCATGGAGTATTCCCTGGGTCTGTCAGAGGGGTCATGTTATTCTTGCACTAGTCTCTCTCTCTCTCTCTCTCTCTCTCTCTCTCTCTCTCTCTATATATATATATATTTAAAAGTTCATGTTATCTGTTGATCTGTATATGCTTTCACCCTTCACCATACTTCAACATATTTTAGAAGCCCCCACAAGAGTTGAAAACTGCTCAGAGGAGTGTGTGCGTGTGCATTACTTGCTGCCCATTGGATATTTTGGTTTAACTTCCCCTAACAAAAAAATAAATAAATCCCTGAGCATTGGCCATGCTTGCTGAAGCTGATGAGAGCTGCACTTCAACAACAGGCATGGGGGGGGGGGCAACGGGTTGCCAAAGAGAGGCTTAAGGCATGCCATCTCTCTCTCTCTCTCTCTCTCTCTGTGTGTGTGTGTGTCTATTTGTATCTATATATATCTGCATGCAAATAATAATATTAAATCCAAATCTGCAAAAGTCAAAACAGAGAGGGAGGGGGGCGGGAATCAGTTCCAGTGTAACATGGATATGTATAGATGTAATACTATTTTTATACAAGGTCTCTGGAGCCTTTGAATATGGCGAAAAAATTAGGGGGTGGGTAAATTGATTGCCTGGCATTTCAAGTTTCATATTTTTTAATCCAGTTTGGATGTGTCCCTTGTTTTTTTGAACAGCACAGTGCGGTGGATTTCCACTCAGTCCCCCTGCGCTGAAACAAGGGAGAATGGCGCAGTTGTGCAGTTTGTAAGAACAATGTATTGTGTCATGCGCTGAATAAAACAACACAGAGACTTTCAGCACGCAAGCAATGGAAGTGTGATGAATGCAACGTTTGGCTGTTGGTTAGTTTGGCTGAACGCTGCATTAGATCCCTTATAAAACAAGAAAGGGGAGAAGAATTTATTTCCTTCTGCTTCTAAAGGGAGTTAAGCTCTGCTCCTCAAGCTCTGAGGTACATTTAGACTATCTCAGAGTAGGAAAGTCTGAAAATCTTTGCTTAAATGAGTGTAAGACTGCAACTTCATCACACACAGACACACCCTGAAGGCAGCAGGTGAGCAAAACTATTTGTCATACATTATATACCAATCATTTCAAACGACGGACTGAATTTATTTGAAAGATGCTAATGTGAAATCTGATTCTATGAATTTGCAGCTTGAATGATTTGGGGGTGCCTTTTTTAAAACACAAGATAGTGCTAAATGTTCCGGGGTCCCCTCACCACTTTGACTTTTCCAATAGCAAGGCCAAGTCATAAATTCTCGAGTAAACTTATTTTACTCAAAAATTATTTGGGGGTAATGGAAGTTGCCCAGAGTGGCTGGGGATGGGTGGGGTATTATTATTATTATTATTATTATTATTATTATTATTATTATTATTATTTCACAAGCCCCTGCTCTCACCTTTTCTTTTTTGCTACCAACTCCTCTTCCTGCCCTTACTCCATATTGGCTTCATAATAAAGCCAAATCAGAATGAGGGCAATGTGTCCTGCCATTACTCTGATTGGCTTAATTGTAAAATAAAGACAACAAGGGGGTCCAGTAGCACACAGAACCATTGCTATGGCAACCAGGAATATCAGTAAGTGGAATAAACTTCCCAGAACCCCTACAAAATTGCTGAAAAATGGCCCAACCCAACTCTTGGATTCAGCCCAATAACAACAGTAATAACAACCTCCTAATGTAAAATGTCCCAAGCAGAAATTAAAAACCAACATTGCTTATTGTTTTTTTTTCATGCCCAGTGAGTCGGTGTAAATATTGGAAGTAATTAAAAATCTAATTATTTTTGCTAATTCCTTTTGAGACCATTTGCTGGGTATTAGAGTTATGACCAGGGATCTGCTATTTGTGCCCAACTTTCTGCAAATGCAAAGGGCAAGATATTCAAAAGGTTGTTCGTGAAGACAGAGAAATACTATTAGAATTCTGCTCTTGCAGAAGTGCCTTGAGTTTTTCAGGTGCAACCAAAAAGACAGCCCATCCCACGAATTGCTTAACAGCATCCTAAAAGAGGGGAGAAATATCTAAAGGAGATGCTTAAATGTTGTTGCTGTCATATATATATTCTGCATGCAATGCAGGAGACACTGAGGTTTTTCAAGGTCACTTAGGAAATGTGGCTCAGAACTGGAGGAAAAAGCACATGGTTTTCTGACTCTTTATCAGGGTCCATCCAAACCTTTTCGTTGTCCATGGTAAGTGGTATTTGCTGCCCATGGATGTGCTGGAAGAACAATGGCTCCCAGGACCAGGATATGGCTGTGCTGGGCAGCAAATACCACTTACCTGAAGCCCCAGTTCAGTGGAGATAATCAGAGTTCTAAGGGATGCAGGTGGCGTGTGGTCTAAACCACTGAGCCTCTTGGGCTTGCCGATCAGAAGGTCGGCGGTTCAAATCTGCGCAACGGGGTGAGCTCCCGTTGCTCTGTGCCAGCTCCTGCCAACCTAGCAGTTCGAAAGCACACTACAGTGGTACCTCGGGTTACAGATGCTTCAGGTTACAGACGCTTCAGTTTGCAGGCTCTGCTAACCCAGAAATAGTACCCCGGGTTAAGAACTTTGCTTCAGGATGAGAACAGAAATTGTGCGGCAGTGGGAGGCCCCATTAGCTAAAGTGGTACCTCAGGTTAAGAACAGTTTCATGTTGAGAACGGACCTCCAGAACGAATGAAGTTCTTAACCCGAGGTACCACGGTAGTGCAAACAGATAAATAGGTACCGCTGCGGCAGGAAGGTAAATGGCATTTCCGTGAGTTGTGGGTCCCGTCACAGTGCTCCGTTGCACCAGAAGTGGTTTAGTCATGCTGGCCACATGACCCAGAAAGCTGTCTGTGGACAAACACTGGCTCCCTGGGCTTGAGATTGAGATGAGTGCCTCACCCAATAGTTGCCTTTGACTGGACGTAACCATTCAGGTCCTTTTTAAATCAGAGTTTGAGGAGATTTCCAGTCAGGTGAAGGCACCAAAATATGATGCGAAGCAGGAAAAGGAAGGGGCCTAGATGTGGGCCAGATTTTTGGTATGAGGAGAGTTCAGAGGGCCAGATGGAGAGATTTATTAGGCTCCAGGGGGCCTTACAGTATTCCAGAAGGGAGATTATAAGTGGCACATCTTTTGAACGACATGCAGTTTACATTGATAACCTCCTCAGATTTATTTGCTGCCCCCTAAGTGGCACATCTCTTGAATTGCATGCAGTTTTATTTGGTATCCCCCTTAAAATCATTTGCTCCTCCCGATCCCAATTTTTTATGCTTTTACGTTTTGTTTATGCAAAACTTTTACAACCCACAGTTGCTCAAGGCGGCTCACTCCATCGGTTTCACACAGTTCCATACATCAAAACAAACGAAAAGCACACACTAAAACGGCAAACGTTAAAATGAAAAACAGCAACACCCTTTCCACAATCTATTCTTCCTTTATGCATTATTGTTAGGTTCATGTGGAAGAACCTGGAGGTTTGGTCCTCTACATATTGCTTTGCTTGAAACAGAACACTGTTGGTGTGAAACAGCCAGGAAAAAGATATACATCCCCTTTAAGAATGAATTTCATCATGTTTGAATTTGATGCATCAGACAGAACATTACTCTCATTCATTTGCTAATAGCAATAAAAATTATGCAAACGTTTTTTTTAAAAAAACACACCCTTAAACAAAAATATGTATATATCCATATGTATGTTTAAACTTACAGATCTGCACCAGTTCCATAAATGGAGTATTTCATTTCACCCCAAAGTCCTGAATCAGGGTCTGTTGCCTTAAGAAGAAAATGGAAAGGGGTACTGATGGATTAAAACAGAAACGAAGCAGACTTTCATGACGTGCATAATTGGTCACATTGAGGATGGAAAATAGCAAAAACCAGAAGGCTACTTTCCCTAGGGGGATGCAGCTTTGGGAATGGGATTTGTAGGGCAGAAGTAGCCAAGGTGAAAGAGGGTGCTTCATCACTTTTCAGTCTAATAATAATAATAATAATAATAATAATAATAATAATTTATTCCCCGCCCATCTGACTGGGTTTCCCCAGCCACTCTGGGCGGCTCCCAACAGAATATTAACAACATTAAAAACTTCCCTAAACAGGGCTGCCTTCAGATGTCTTCTAAAAGTCAGAAAGTTGTTTATTTCCTAGACATCTGATGGGAGGGCGTTCCACAGGGTGGGTGCCACTACCGAGAAGGCCCTCTGCCTGGTTCCCTGTAACCTCACTTCTCGCAGCGAGGGAACTGCCAGATGACCCTCGGAGCTGGACCTCAGTGTTTGGGCTGAACGATGGGGGTGGAGATGCTCCTTCAGGTATACTGAGCTGAGGCCATTTATAGCTTTAAAGGTCAGCACCCCAAATGGCCACCACAAACTGCTTCTATCTCCCCACCCTTCTGCCGCCAACATATTTAGAGATGAAAATGTGCAACTGAAAGTTTGTGGCAGGGCGGGGGTAAGCCGAATTTCACGGCAGGCAAGAGTCATGTCAATTAATCTGCATCCATTTGCAAGGTGTTGGGAGAGGATGTCGCTAAGAGATGTGTGTGTGAGAGAGAGTAAACTTCGGGATCAGGCCTGCAAAGGACACAGAAAGAAAAGGTGAAAAATTCCACCTCTGTACTAGCAGCATAACCAAGCAGGGCCACTGGGTGGCTCCCCTCACTTGAGATACATGTCACCATTAAAGTTTGGGACTTGAAAAATGATGAAATGATCCTCTTTCTGAGCATATTATTCTGCTAAGAAAATATCTAGGCATTGTGCAGATTGGGCCCCTAGAAAATACGGGAGAAAATCAATCATCTAGCCATGTTTTATTTTCCACTTAGCTGTTCTAGTTTAAGCTAAACAATGTGTGAGATGAAGAAAGCATGCTATGCAGAAAGGTTCAGTTCTCTCCAATGGCTTATTTGGCGCAGAAGCAGTGGTTTCCTATCAGTTAACTTTCATATCTTCCACTACAAAATCATAGGAAGTATAGTTTGTAGTGCAATCCTAACCAAGTTTGTCCTGTTCACTTTGGTGGGAATAACATCAGTGGGAATTACATTAATCCAGAAGATACATCATCATCATCATCATCATCGTCATCTATTATTTATACCCTGCCCATCTGGCTGGCTTTCCCCAGTCACTCTGGGCGATTCCTAACAGAATATTATTATTATTAATAATAAAAGTGATAAAGGATCAAACACTAAAAACTTCCCTAAACAGGTCCATCTTCAGATGTCTTCTAAAAGTCAGATAGTTGTTTATTTCCTTGACATCTGATTGGAGAGCATTCCACAGGGCGGGTGCCACTACCGAGAAGGCCCTCTGCCTGGTTCCCTGTAACTTCACTTTTCGCAGTGAGGAAACCGCCAGAAGGCCTTCAAAGCAGGAAGTCAGTGTCCGGGCTGAACAATGGGGGTGGAGACACTCCTTCAGGTATACTGGGTTGAAGCCATATAGGGCTTTAAAGATCAGCACCAACACTTTGAATTGTGCTTGGAAACGTACTGGGAGCCAATGTAGTCTTTCAGGACTGGTGTTAATATCAATTTATAGTGTGAATATTCTCCTGGGGTCCCTGCATAGTCTACAGAGTCCAGCAACATCTGGAAGGGCCCAGTTTATCCACCCCCGCTTTAAACAGCCATCTATTCTGAAGTTGTAAAACGTGGGAAAAAATCCGAGGATAGACTTAGCTTGGACAGACAAACCATCTATCAAGTAGTTTCAGTACAGTTTTAAAGTGGTGGCATTATTATTTTATTCGTGTGGATACTGACAAACTATAATTTAATTTAAGAAACACACCCTTGCTCAGCAGAGCAAATTCCAGCCTACATTGCTCTGTGCAGAATTAAAGACTATGGTGAATTCAAATTCAAATTCTAAAAAGCAATCCTAGCTTGCGTCTGTGCTTAGACTCATGAGAGATGCAGCTCTACAACTCTGTGATTCTATTATTCTATTTTTTTTTGTCAGTTTCTGCATATATAGATCCTCACCTCCTCCCAGGGGCAATAATTACAGATATCGAGAGACTCATGGAACTACACAGAATTATAAGTCCAACAGAGCATGGCTGTAGAGGAATGAATAAAATTTACCGTTACAGCCACAACATTGGAGCCGCCAGGAGAATTCTCTGGGATCCTCGCGATGTAGTAATCAGATGAAAACTTTGGGACATTATCATTCGTATCCAAGAGACGGATCACAATATCTGCTGTTGAACTGAACTTCTCAGGTGTGTTAACTTCTATTGCAAGAAGCTAAGGAGGTAATTGAGAAATTACGAGCTAGTAATTCATGCAAAATCCAACAGTTGTGCTTCTACAGAGCCCAGCTATTTTATATGGAACTGACTAATTTGTGTTATGGCTAATAATGATGATAGAGAATCCCATCAACCGAACATATTCCACATGGAACAGAAAGAAAGAAAGAAAGAAAGAAAGAAAGAAAGAAAGAAAGAAAGAAAAGAAAAGAACAGAACTCACAAAAGTTGGAATTCCGTCATTGTTACGTTAATAAAAAGTTAATTTTCAAATGACTGCAAAAATCTGAGTATAAATCCCTTATGGCATTGCCATGTCTGTGTGCTGCCTGTATATCATTTCGTTAACCACGGGAAGGACTCAAGTTTTCAGCACATCCTGAATCAAAGAGATTCAGCCAATGGCGATGGAACATCAGCATTGCCACCAAAGAAGGAAGCAGAACAAAAGAACATAAGAAGAGCTGTTGCATTCCTTCTTTGTTGAGATCTTGATGGCGATGCTCAAGAAAACTACATGGCAACTAGCAACCCAGAATAAAATGAAACCAATAAAGCAGAATAAAATGAAAACAAATCAATCTTGAACATCAATACACCAGAACAGGTTATTTGGCTAAGGCATGAAGACGTTAAACTGTGTGTGTGTGGGGGGGATATGAGTGGGATACACTTATGAGAAGTGAATAATAATAATAATAATAATAATAATAATAATATTTTATTACTTATACGCCGCCCATCTGGCCAGACCTTCCCAGCCACTCTGGGTGGCTCCCAACAGAATATTAAAAACATGATAAAACATCAAACATAAAAAACTTCCCTAAACAGGACTGCCTACAGATGCTTCCTAAAAGTCAGGCAGTTGTTTATTTCCCTGACATCTGATGGGAGGGCGTTCCACAGGGCGGGTGCCACTACCGAGAAGGCCCTCTGCCTGGTTCCCTGTAACCTGAGTATTATTCTTGTGACTAACTTAAAGCCAACATTTTATTATTCTGCGTCCAGCAATTCCTCAAAGAGAACATGGAGCAAGATGGAGCGATGGGCTGCCTTATGTCTCTGGGAATCTTATTTGGCCACTTCCACAGGGATGTTCACATGCCTCCTGAAGACCATGCGTTGAATACAGTATAAAGATTAGCAGAGTCAAGAGCCAAGGAGGTCATCTGGAGTAATAGCAAGGTAATGAATCAAAGTGGGCATCAGCATGCCCCCCCCCCCCCGGGAGAACATGCAGGGACAGCAGACAGAGGTGACTATTCCTCCCCCCCCCATTCAAATGCCCAAGGACCCAATCCAAATCTGTCTCTGAAATATTGCTAACAGCTTGAATCGAAAGCTGCTGCAAATAGATGGTAATATGCCTATTAAAGACTGTTAATCATTCCCTCCGCTAAGAATAATCAAATATCGGGCACCGGCATAAAACAAAGGTTATCTAAAATTAACTTTGTATATTCCATTGCTCTTGGGTGAAAACAACAGGCCTGCTATCTTAGATATGTCAGATAACGAACCATTGAAGGCAACACCAACACAGCAAAACATTTGGAATGTACGATTTCATGTGGAAATCTGGTCTCCATGTCTTTAGCTGCCAGGCAAAAACATTCCTCTTCTCCCAGGCCTTTGACCAAGTAAACAATTTATGGCAAACTGTGTGTGGCGAGGTTGGGGTGTTATTGTTTTTGCTTGTTAGTATGTTGTGCATTTTTGTGTTTTTATATCGTAAATTGCATTGTGTTCCTCGGATGAATGGCAGTAAATAAATAAATAAATAAATAAATAATAATAATGTCAGTGGAGAACTGTACTGGCACCCATGGTGAACGCATCTCTGCCTTTCTTTGTTGCCAATGAATTTGGAATTTATAAAAGGGCTTTAAAATGTTGTATAAAAGCCCTTTGCTGTTTATCTTCAATCACTTGCAAACAACAACAACAACAACAACAACCATTTTTCAGAGACAAAGTGTACAATTTCTCAAGTAAAAAGAAACACACACTTTTCTCTTTTAATTACTTCCTTTGGTGTTTACAGCGGTGCTCTTAATCATGCTGAATTCTATTAGTATTCATGAGGCCACGCTTTGTAATTTCCTTACCTTGCATACTTGGGCAGTGCTTTATAACCTTCTGAGAATTTTATAGTTGTAACAGGAATAATTATAGGTTGTGTTCCATGTGCACCTCTTGGATGAAACACCCCATGAAATAAACAGGCAAGGGCCTTGACAGGGCTCAAATGGAGCACACAGTCATCAAATCCAGCCCTTTCCCATGAGGCAGAAATATCCACACATCACCTCTCTCTCCCCCTCCGACACAAGCCAGAACACTGTATGCCGCAAATAGAGAGGTCAAACAAGTCATAAATAAGACAGCAAGATACTTGCAAATCGCGTAGGTTGAGGTGGCTCTTGCAAATGAGCCAAGGGACACACTTCGGAAGGGCTTCTATAATTTTAGCGGCATGAAAAACTATTTTGGGGGCGTTTATTGTTTGTTTACAGATAGTTGCCTTGGTGATGTTATCTTGTCTGTTGAAGTAGCCGTTGCATCACCACCCGGTTTATTGTTTTTCAGTGTATATATATGATATGCAGTGTTTTTGTCTTAAAAAATATGTTTAGGGGTACTCTCATTTTGACTCAAGAAAATCACCATTTTGTAATTCAAATCGGGGGAAATAAATACAGTAAATGGACAAAAGGACAAAGATTCACAGAATGTTTAGGGGTATGCGTACCCCTGTGTCCTCCCAGGAAAAAAAGCACTGTATATATGACATCTCAAGATTCTATGCTGCAGCTTTAACCCTTTGCGTAGTATTTTGGATGCAGGATTCCCCCACGCGCGCCCCCCGGTCGCCATTCCAATCCTCCTTCAGGAATTGGAGGGCAATTTTCTGAAGGAGGAAGCCTGCTGTAAACCCACAGAGGCTTCTTGCACATTTTAGAACAGGGTTCTAAAATACCGAGGGAGAGTCAGCCAGGGCAAGAGACTCCCCGCTTCAGAAGATTGTGCTCCAGCTCATGATGAACGATCGGAACGGCAATGCAGGAATGAAGTTAGTACGAAGGCAGAAGTTACAATACCTTGAAGGTGAAGACCTGGAACTTTTCGTAGTCAATGGCAGCTGAGTTTTCTACAATGATTGTGACCTGCGCTTCATTCAGCACAGTCTGAGGGACAACGCGGAAAATGCCGCCTGGCCCGACAAGCCGGAGGTTGAATTTCGCATTTGCCCCCTGTGAAGAAAGAGCCGGCATTAAAAAATAAATGACAAATGTATCATAGCATATAACCCAGTACTGTTGATTTCCTTACAGAAGAGACACATGCGTGTGTGTGTAGGTGTAAAAAGAATCCTAGTCTTCCCGCAATAAATGTGGGAGTAGTGGGATCAATATTGGTAGTTTTATCCTTGACATAAATGGCCAGCTATCCATCTCTGCACAGTAAATGGAAAATATGCTTGCATAAGCGAACATGAGGAGGTCCTGCATTCACAACCAGGAACTCTGCTGTTATCATGGAACCCTGTACAACATGTAGAAATTGGGGGATAGAGTCGGCATTTCCTTTTCCACATGTGGGGGAGAGAATAAGAGGAGAGGGCAAGAACGACTGCTTAGTATCTTCAATTCAGCAGCTACTGGATGAGAGAGAACTAAGAGGCTTTCTGAAGTAATCTCCCCAAGCTTTGGCTCACAAGACGTCGGTGGTTTTGATAAAAATAGATTTGGGAGCTTGCTTATTCCTCTAGTCACACTGGAAGAGCACCTAGTTTAGGTTGGCTAAGTGTGAGAATAATCTGGAAGGTAGACTCTGAGATGCTGAACATTCAGAATGACCCGATTACCTAAATATGGGTCATTTTAGGTACAAGGTACACCTCCATATACTTTGATCAGGGACGTGCTTGAATATCATCCCTCCTTCTGCTAAGAAAGTCCTGGGAGTGGCCTTAGGTTGGTAGCACAGGTATTTTTATTATTATTCCAGATTAATATGGTTGCTGCTCTGGAAATAAGTCACTACACCTTTCTGAGAGACAGAGGGCAGGCAGTTGTGGGGGACTCCCTGGTCCTGAATGGGGTATCTGTGCCCCTGAAGGACCAGGTGCACAGCCTGGGAATCATTTTGGACTCACAGCTGTCCATGGAGGTGCAGGTCGATTCTGTGTTCGGTGCAGCTGTCTACCAGCTCCATCTGGTATGCAGGCTGAGACCCTACCTGTCCGCAGACTGTCTCGCCAGAGTGGTGCATGCTCTAGTTATCTCCCACGTGAACTACTACATGGGGCTACCTTTGAAGGTGACCCGGAAACTACAAGTAATCCTGAATGAGGCAGCTAGACTGTTGACGGGGAGTGGCCACTGAGACCATATAACACCAGTCCTTAAAGACCTACATTGGCTCCTAGTACGTTTCTGAGCACAATTCAAAGTATTGGTGCTGACCTTTAAAGCCCTAAACAGCCTTGGTCCTGTATACCTGAAGGAGCGTCTCCACCCCCATTATTCAACCCAGACACTGAGGTCCAGCTCCGAGGGCCTTCTGGTGGTTCTCTCACTATGAGAATTGAAGCTACAGGGAACCAGGCAGAGGGCCTTCTTGGTAGTGGCGCCTACCCTGTGAACACCCTTCCTTCAGATGTCAAGGAAATGAACAACTATCTGACTTTTAGAAGACATCTGAAGGCAGCCCTGTTTAGGGAAGTTTTTAATATTTGATGTTTTATTGTGCTTTTAATTCTGTTGAGAGCCACCCAGAGTGGCTGGGGAAACTCAGCCAGACTGGCAGGGTAATAATAATAATAATAATAATAATAATAATAATAATACTGCTGCTACTACTATATGGTCTGCCATGCATCCTATTGGCTAGCCTGATGTCCTCCTATGTAGTAGACAATGCACACTGGTTGGGACCAGTGAGTGCTGCTAAACCTTCCCCTTGAACACCCAAAGACAGCTCCAGTGAGAAACAAACAGGTGCAGGTGGAACCAGAGATCAATTTCGGATAGGGACTGGAAATATAAATATAAATTAAAAAGCAATCTTGAAGCTCAAAAGAAAATTGCTTGGTTTCCTTGTGATTGGAAGGGGAGTAGAACATGGCAAACAAAAGATCTGTGCAAAATATACAGGCCGTGACAACTTTTGGCTGGTCTCTGCTTGCTCCATAATATTAGTAAGCAGTTAATTTAAATTTTGCTGCCTTCCGCAACTGCAGAAGCAGCAATTACGAGGCTGGCTGCCTCAGAAGTAGTTACTTATCCCTTTGCAGCAGGCTGGCAGGGAACCTGCTGACTTTTATATAGAGCAGAATGCAACCATGTTAGCACAACACTGAGTATATGCTACATGTTGATGGACTAGATTTTCTTTTCAATAATTGCAGTCCTTTCATGGGTATTAAACTTTCAGGCCTCAACTTTTCCTCTCCAGTTAGCTCAGGTGGAAGCTATTACAGAGGTTTCCTTAGCAACATTTGCCACAGTTTCCACATAAAATAAACTGTACTGAACCTAAAGGAATCCCATTCTTCTAGTTAAAGAATGCAGCGCTCACTGCATATGGGGTAGAGTGCTTATTTTCCAAAATAAGGCTCTAGTAGAGTAGCTTTAACAATGCTCCAGAAAGACCGGGACCAGAATTACTATTTTTTAAAATAAAAACTAAAAACTAAGTGGGGAAGCACGGAATATTATCTCCATTGGCTGATTAAATAAATCAGCAATAATGCAATAAAGAAAGGGCATGACCCAGTCAAACTAAGAGGACAAGGCTTGCTGAATCAAACAAAATATTCATCCATTAACAGCATTTTGTTTCAAGGACACAAATGTCATATGCCCCTGGAAATCAAGCAGGACAAGAAGACAATGGATTGTTGGCTGTCACCATCACCTGGTTTTCAGTGCTGTGATACTTAAAACAAAAGGTTTATGGAATCAAGGTCAGCCCACCCATGAGGCAAGATGAGGCAACTGCCTCAGGTGGTAGGATCCACAGGGGCAGCAGATCCTGGTGTAGATCTTTATCCCCCCTGCCCCCTGATCTTCCCTGGCAGGGAGGAAGCATTTTGTGGTTCACCTCAAGTGCAAAAATGTCTTGGGCTGGCCCAGAATGGAGGTATAAGAGAGAGGCAAGAAAGGAGAGATAAACAAAACAAAACAAAACAAAAACACCACACTGGCCTGATCTGAATCATTGACGGTAATTTTGAGGCCTCTCAGAATCTCGCCCTCCGGCGGATGCTCGTACATTGTGAGCTCAAATCGGTTCTGAGGCCCGTTTTCTCCATAGAACGTCGGCGGGTGGTTGTTGAGGTCCACAACTCGTATGGTTGCCGTGGCAAAGGCGTGAGCAGTCGCCTCACCCTCCGGGCTGATTTCGGAAGCCTGTAGTGAATAAGAAATGGATTTGCATGGGCTTTCCCTCCTGCTTACGATGCTTCATCCATCATGCAATTCTAGAGTTTGATCATATCAGTATCTTGCTGGTTTCATTTGAGACTTCAGCGACGTCAGCTCTTCACCATTGGCCTCAGGGCTGACCAGAGGTGGAAGGTCCAGATTTGACTTCCCACAGCCCCAGCCTTGCACAGTGTTAAGCATACTCAGCTAGAATGAGGAACTGTCAGCTCTGTATGCAGTTGCCCTATATATTAGAACACATTGCTGACAATGAAATATTTCTCGAGTTCAGACCTACTCTGACCATTTGGTCCTCCTGGACAGAAAGAACTCCAAAAGGCTTCCTGACCAACAAGGACTTCCTAGTTCTGGTATGTTTCTGTGCATTCCTCCCTGACTCTTGGCTTAGTCCCTTGCCTCACAGTCTCTGGTAAAAATCTGACAGCTTAACCTATGGTTTAGCCATAATACATAGTACATATGTGAACAAATTTGCATAACTTGAATAATGCATACCTGTCTGGTTACCTAGTTAAAGAATCCAGTTCTTTTCTCTTTAACACACCATACCCTTTGGGTAGAGTTGGCGTTGACAGAGAAAATTGTTTTTTTTTAAATGGTATCATAGCAGAAAGCAGCAATATGCATCAATTCTCCTATGTAAAGAGGGCACTACATTTGCATTAGTTGAAATTCTGCACACTGCAGATCCATCAGAAGTGGTAAGAGGAAACATTTATAGCAGGAGAGTAAGACAAATACCTGAATTTTCAGTTCATATACTTCTTTCTTCAGCTGATTTGGGCTTTTAATAACAGAAATGGCTCCAGTTGCGTTATTTATTTCAAACGAGCCTTCACTTCCTGTTACAAAACAGAAATATACCTGTCAAATTTTCCAGCCCCCTCAAAAAGAATCCACTTAAATCCAGTTGCAGTCAGAGGTAACTAGTTGTGCAGAGCAACTACTGGCCATACCCGGAGTACTGGGAAGTTATATTAATTGAAAATAGCTTCCCAACCATGCTGAACATGTGACCTGCTGTTTAAGAGACCCAGGACTCATCTACACAGCTGCAAATGAAATGTTTTAAATGTGTTGTAAAGTGCAATATACAAATGTGACACTAGATGGCGACAGTGAGCTGTGCCAAATTGAATGTATTTTTCAAAACTTTTAAAAAGCATTTTCACAGCGTTTTTTATATGTGTGTAGATTACACCCTACTTGTGCAAATACACAGGTACATATGAACCTGTATCTTACTGATGCATGTTCATGGAAATATCGCTTTGGGGATCTTATCTGGAGTCGATTGTATACCACAGAGGCTATTGCAATGGACACCATTACTTTTAAAATACCAATCTTGTCTTGCTTACTGGGGGAATTACCAACCACCAACAAATGCCAATATAAACAAATTTAACAAGTTTGTTTACTAAAAAGGGTGGTCAGTGAGTCAAAATGGTTCTGCTGTTTGAAGTGACAGCACAGAAATGCAAAATAGCAAGGAGTTACAAAAAAATCAACACATCACTTGGGAAGAAAGGCATACTAATGCCAGTGTATTGGAAGAAGCAAAGACCACCAGTGTGGAAGCAACGATTCTTCAAACATCAACTTTCTTGGACTGGTCATGTTGTTCGAATGCTGAATTATCGTCTTCCAAAGTGACTATTCTATTCCAAACTTAAAAATGGAAAGCGTAAGGGTGGTGGTCAACAAAAGAGGTTTAAAGACTCTCTCAAGACAAATCTAAAAAAATGTAGAATAAGCACCGACAATTGGGAAACATCGGCCTACGAGCACTCCAGTTGGAGAACAGCCTTTTCCAAAGGTGTCATGGACTTTGAAGACGCTCAAGCTCAGGACGAAAGGGAGAAATGTGCTAAGAGGAAGACACGTTTGGCAAACCGTCACCATGATCAACTCCCACCTGGAAACCTATGTCCCAACTGTGGAAGGACGTATGGATCCAGAATTGGCCTCCACAGTCACTTACGGACTCACTTTTAAGACAGTGTTCATGGAAGACAATCTTACTCGGCTACGAATGATCGCCAAAGAAGAAGAAAGAAGAATTATCCATCCTTTTGCTGGTGGAGCCATCTGTGCACAGAGGGGTTAGCATAGGGCTTAGTAGAACCTGGTACTTTTCTTTGTCCTTCATGAACACACATGATGGGCCATTGCTGGGAATGAGAAGCCTGTGCAAGATTCCCATAGTCAGTTCCACGTTACCCTCCCTTTTTAGTACAGGTTACTTGCATGCATTCCTGCGCCAATCCCTCCATGTGTGGTTGGCTCCACCAATGTGGAAATGGATCATGTCACAAGGGAGTGGAACCAGTGAGGAATAAGCATATGTGCTCCAGACAGGATCTGGAAGAAGGTGCGCTCTCTCTGTGTGAGAGATTTTTCCCTTTAAATGTTCAGTATCTATCTTTGAATGCCGTATTGCTCGGGTATGCAAAACATAAGCAAAAGCTGAAAAAGAACACTTTTCTTTGCAGGGCATAATTATATCCTCCAACAGTGCAAACACCTCTCACAAAGCTCAATTAGGTGAGAAGTTTAACTTTCACAGATTCCTTTTCCTGCACATGTTTCTGAAAAACACACAACAGCCTCAACCACAAACTCAGTTCCTTGTATCTCGGGCATTCAGTGCTCAACAACAACAACGGCAATGGAAGCGACAAACCCAAGTCCTTGAATCTTATGTGTTAAACATTCCACTTCCAAGTAATCTAAAAAATATGAAAAGATATGAGGCATGCAAGAGGCTTGGGTTTTTTCCTGATGACTACTTGAGGCAGCTGTAAGTGTTAAATTCTTGATTTTTAGATCTAGTTAGTCTTCTAGAACTGGGCTGCTCATGATTCACCCAATCTAGAACCAGCACCAGACCAATGTGGATTGGCTTGCTGAGTTGTATGTGGCCAAAAAGGGGCAAATAAATATTGGTGATGTATACATACATAAATCAGAATATTTTGCAGACCTAGAGAAAGAGTGACCATCTTTTTTCTTCACAGCCAAATAGAAAAAGGAAGGTGCTAGAGAAAATATTGAGTCTAGTCCTCAGTTACACAGAACCCCATTTCTGCCATACATGGAAGTATGGGTAGGATAAAAGAAGTCTCTCTTCCAATCATCTCTCTAAACAACTACAATTTTTACCTCTCATACCATAATTGGTTGAAATCTAGCTAGTGACATATGCACACAGAGTTAAGCTTCCACAAAGATAAGGAATCATGCACACACAGGAACGGCATGCATGAGATTTCTGACAAAGTTCAGCACCAGGTAGGATTCCAAGCTACTACTAAGTTTACTGGTCCAATCAAAATATTATACGCTTGGCCAGCTGCTAGAATCATAGAATCAGGAATTTGTTTTCAGCCAGAACTTGCCAGAACTCAGTTCCGGCACCTCTCTGGTGGGCGCCATTGCCATGAAAATAGAACAAAGGTGGTGTTCGTGGTGAGTTCTGGCACCTCTTTTTCTAGAAAAATAGCACTGCATGGAATCATAGGATGGTAGAGTTGAAAGGGAGTCCAAGGGTTATCTAGTCCAACCCCCTGCAATGCAGGAATCATTTGCCCAACATAGGGCTCGAACCCATGACATGGAGCTTAAGAGTCTCATGCTCTAGCGACTGAGCTATCCCAGGTCCATGTGCAGCCAGAAATTGTTGCAGTTGAGCATACATTGCTGTCAATGTGCATGTATGTGCTGGCACAATGCATGCCTTTGTGCATGCCTGGGCACTGACAGCAACCTCAGCTCAGCTTGAATATTTTCTGACCCTCTGATCCTAGCAACAGGATACTGTAAGGGAGAGATAGAGTTGTGAAGGCCAGGCAGTCGAAAAGCAAACATGTACCTTCACTTCAAGCTCAATCCCTTCACCAGAGCATCACTGAAGGTGGCTGGCAGCAATCTCTGAGTGCATTCTCCAAAATGACATCCATACAGTTTGCTCTCCTATTCATAGCGCAGATAAAGGTAAAAGGTAAGGCAAAGGACCCCTAGACGGTTACGTTCAATCAAAGGTGACTATGGGGTTGCAGCACTCATCTCGCTTTCAGGCTGAGGGAGCAGGTGTTTGTCCACAGACAGCTTTCCGGGTCATGTGGCCTGCATGACTAAACCACTTCTGGTGTGACAGAAACCAGAGCACACAGAAACACTGTTTACCTTCCCACTGCAGCAGTTCCTATTTATCTACTTGCACTGGCGTGCTTTCGAACTGCTAAGTTGGCAGGAGCTGGGACAGAGCAACAGGAGCTCACCCCGGCATGCGGATTCGAACTGCCGACCTTCTGATCGGCAAGCTCAAGAGGCTCAGTGGTTTAGACCACAGCACCACCCATGTCCTAGCACAGATAAACTAGGGAACCCACAGTAGAGCATGAGCTCCTGTCCCTCAGAAATCTCACCCCAGGCCTTAGATCTCACTGACTCAGGTCTACTCTCAAGCAGTGCAACATCTGGGGCACTGCCATAGGGAGATTGAGTGCCCCTGTTCCCTGTTCCCCTACCCTACAGACCTGACAAAAAAATTATCAGTGCTATCCTCTGGTTTTCTGACCAGAGCTGCATGCATACGACCCTGACTGGTGCATGCGCGTTCAACATGTTCAGTACAACAGGAGTGCAGCATGTGTTCAGAATTTTCATACGGGGGATGAAACACGTTCTGTAGCTTAGCCAAGCCTAGTTTGAAACTAGGAGTGTAGGAAATCCAGTTAAAGAAAACATAATCAATATTCTTCTCTGTTTCCTTCTCTAATTTAATACTGATGCTCATTTTGAAAACTGTCCAATAATGTCTCATTTTGCTAATATCTGCAATAACTGTGACTTCATTAGAAGGCATTAGACTTCACACTGAACACGAATTGACTTATGTGGAGGGCCATTATCAAGATTCATAGGGCAGAAAAGGAAAGCTTGACTACAATGGAAATGAAGTCAATAGGAGTTTCAAGTGATCATATATCATGCTATTCACTGCCTAATTGCTATGTAGAAATAGATAATTCAGAGCATGGTCCATCATGTGTTTTCTGGAGGATTTGCCAGCATATAAAATATAAACTTCCTTTCAATGGTTTAGCATTATTTATTCTTTAATAAGAATAATAGACCTTCCTACAATTCCACTGGGTAACAGGTATGAAACATCACATGGGACTGAGATGGTACAAAAAGCTTGTGGAAGAACAAGTATGCAGAAAACCTGCATCTGTTGTTACAACATGTAAGGAAAGTAATTCGTAGTTTAAATAACTCGCCATGATATGCGTGTCTGTTTTGTGCTATGCAAAAACAGCCACAGCAATTTAAATGCATATACAGGGTGAGTCCTTTAAAAGAGGCCCCATGGATACAGAGTACACATGTTCCACAGGGCCTCTTTTAAAAGACTCACCCTGTATTTTCACATTGGCAGATAATGAAGTGCAACCTAAGACGTGCAAAATTAACTGATTGCAGAGGAATGGAAAAGACCGGATAAAAACGCAAATTAATGTTGGAACGAATTGAGGCGTGCCCGTATGTCATTCTTATAAAGCGACTGAAAGTCAAACGGCAGAAAACCTATTCCTTGAAACTGGGTGTGCCCCAATCACATATAAATTCGGAGAGAGAGAGAGAGAGAGAGAGAGAGAGGTTGAAGAGCAAAATGGGATGCAGATGAAGGGAGCTGCACTCTCCCATTCCAGTTCTATACCTCTCTTCCCCTGGCCCCCACAGTTTGGACCCCAAAGCTGAAAGCAAGACTTTCAGGGAGGAGAAAACAATACCTGGGAGACAATCTGTGAGGAGATAAACTGCGGAAGTGAGGAAGGAAGGTTCTGCTCTTCAGTGGCAGAGCATATGCCCACACTGCCCAGGGTGGGTGCGCTCCCGAGGGGGGCACGGATTTGGAGGCTGCCCTCCCAGGCACGGGATAGCCGCTCGGGTACATGGAGTGGCACATGTGCCCTGTAGCCGAGGGTGGAGCAAGCCACCAATGGCGGACATTCGGTGTGCCGCCTGCCCGGGACTCCCAAGGCTCTCAAAACGAAGGGGGGAGGGGGGAATGCTGCTGGCAAAGCAACACAGCTCCCCCCTTCCCCCAACAGCTCGGGGTAGGCTTGGGAGTCGTGGACGAGCGGCACACCAAATGTCACCCCCCTCAGTGAAGACACTTGGGGTGGTCTGCCCCCACCGCACCCCCTTCCTCCACCCCTGCTTCTCTTCTCACTTGCATTCCCCCCCTTTTCCCACAACTTCCACTTTTATACAGCCTTTTTTATAAGGCCTCGGTCCTGTTTACCTGAAGGAGCGTCTCCACCCCCATCGTTCAGCCCAGACACTGAGATCCAGCGCCGAGGGCCTTCTGGCGCTTCCCTCATTGCGAGAAGCAAAGCTACAGGGAACCAGGCAGAGGGCCTTCTCGGTAGTGGTGCCCGCCCTGTGGAACACCCATCAGATGTCAAGGAAATAAACAGCTATCTTATTTTTAAAAGACATCTGAAGGCAGCCCTGTTTGGGGAAGTTTTTAATATTTAATGCTGTATTGTTTTTAACACTCGATTGGGAGCTGCCCAGAGTGGCTGGGGAAACTCAGCCAGATGGGCGGGGTATAAATTAATTAATTATTGTTGTTGTTGTTGTTAACGTGATTGGGGCCGGCAGGCACTTAAATTAACAGAGTCTGCTGCCATCACTTGTAGTCTGAGCTAGCCAGGTTGTGCTATCTCCCAAAGGTACAGTTAGGAGGATTCCAGGTAAAAAAGGCACTGTCAACATCATCCTTCACACACCAGGTACTTGACATTACAAAATGCGTCCTTTTCCCAATATGAAGATAGAAGTTACGTGTGAAATAATCCTTAGTTTGAGGGTAAATATTCTGCAGATAATGCCATGCTGTACTTGGCTCCCCCCCCCCCCCGCAACCCCACCACTAATAGCAGCTTCAAATAATAGACTAACTCCTCCCAACAAAACTGCCCTGATTGAATTAACAGAGTTTTAAGTTAAAAACAAAAATCAAGACAGTCATATGGATTTAATCTATCATGTCTAGCTTGGCTGTCCAGGGTAAAAGTAGAAACATAGTCTCTGTGTGGAGGGGCCAGAGTTAAGGAAGCAGGCTAGTTCATTTGGACTGAAAACCTTTGTCATTTGGGACTGTATAACAAAAAATTCATTAAGACGATATAAAATGTAAATTGAAAAATAAAAAAGGAAAACCTTGCTCCTGTCACCCCGTGTCTATCTGAGCTCCACTGTGACATCAGAGCTCCACTGGCATTGTACTGCTTTCTGTCTCCACTAAGAACTGCTAGACCCAGATCTTATCTCATACAATTGTACTCCCCATGATCTGTCACAAACTGGCCCTCGGCTCTCAAGCATCATCCCTGCAACAGTCTTGGCCAACCGGCAATCCTGCCCAGTGGTTTAAAATTGGTTCACTCATCATCACAATCCTCATAACCAAATGCAAAGAGGATAACCAAATTAAAAGAGGAGAAACAGGCCTGCCAACATACAGGCAGACGTGGGTGGAATCTACACACACATAAAAAAACCAAAACGCTGTGAAAATGCTTACCCCCCCAAAAAAAGTTTTGAAAAATACATCGGATTTGGCATAGCTTACTGTCGCCATCTAGAGTCGCATTTGTATATTGCATTTTACAACACATTTTAAATGTTTCATTTGCAGTTTTATAGCTGAGTCCCAGAGAGGCCAATATGCCCATTTCCGATGTGTACAACTCGTATTATCCCTGACCATTGGGCTGAAGGGCATTGTAGTCTGAAGGGCACCATGTTGGGAGAAGCTTTTGACTCTCCTAGAACCTCCTTGTGCCTTCTTAGACACAGTGAGAGTGAATATCTATTTTGATTATATATTTTGTGGTTTTATATCTTGATTTTGTTCTTTGAACTGGCCTGAGACCTCCGGGTATAGGGCAGTATATAAATTCAATCAATCAATCAATCAATCAATCAATCAATCAATAATAAGCTTTACAGCAAATCAAAGCAATATTAAGTATACCTGTTCTTTTATATCTGATAGGCTTCCTTGCATATATGAAACTAAACAGTGAGTTCGATGGCTTTAGGTATTCCTTTAGGATTTCAAACCAACCCAGTAAACCTACCATTCATAAGACGGTAATGAATGTCATTAGGCTTCCCTCGGTCCCCATCAATAGCAACAACCGTTATTACCTCAGAACCCTGGAGAGAGAGAGAGAAAGAGGGAAAGAAAACAGGGAGCACAGGGAGGTAAAACTGCTGTAAAATATAACTCCAAGCCAACCTAATGCATCAGCTCTCCCCCATGTAGACAGGCAACACAATATAAACTGAGCACTCTACTTCCAAACAGCCTTGCCAAACACAAGCTCACCGGCATGATATGGTGAATGATTAAAGAGAGAGGAGCTAAAGGTCCTGTTCTGTATTTGTAGTTCTGCTCAGAGAATAACTTTTCTATATTTTTTTATGATGTATTTTAGCAGAGAACGCGGCAAGACCAAGTTCAAGCAGCTGAAAACAAATCAAGGAGCTTCGATATCTCTGGTGGAAGAAGTAAGGACCAGCAACTTTTTGCTCAGTGATAGGAGGGGATGACCACATCTCAGAGTTGCCTTGGACTATAATGAGTGAGACACATCTTTCTGCAATTATTTAGAAAGCTTTGGGGAGGGGGGCGGAATTGCAGAGCTTTGAAAAGTGCTTTAGGAAGAAATCCTCTTCAATAGCTAAGAAAGCTATATGCTAAAAAAAGAGAAAAGAACGTTCGACCTGAAAATCCACTCCCTTTGCAAGTTTAATGGGCAACACCTGGATCTGTAAATAATAGTAAACCTGGAAAGAGCATTTTACTATGTGGAGTTTCTGACATACTAAGCAGGGAAAGAGGTGAGTTTTTCCATCATTATAATATGATAATATTTTTGGTTATGGGGCTCACAGTGGAGGTGATTAATGCTTAATTATCCCTGATTTCCTCTGTAAGCTCCATAAAAAACCACACACAACTCAGCGTATTTAATAATTATAGGCATTTCCAGATCATTGGTTAATAGCAGCACAAAGTAAATTATTATGTTTCACAGCTTTATAGCACCTCTTATTGCCAAGGATTATGAAGTGCACGAAAAACACCTCCAATATTCCTCAAAATCATTCTCTCCTGCCCTCTAACTGGGCAGGCTACAACAATATGGGCACTGATATATAGTACCAGTGTCTACAGAAATAACTGCAGATTGTGGAGGCAGAAGCCTCCATAAACATGCTTTGAACAGCAAGTTGCAGCACCACAGAGCTAAACTATGAGCTCGCTTCAGCTCTGGAGAATTTTATATCCACTTGCACAAGCTAAACCAGGATTAACCAAACCTTATAAGCTCCTGCAGGTTGAACTTAGATTTCTGCCGAGGTTGAAAATGCAAGTGGATGTACTACGTAAGTTCAATTTGGACATTAAGCAGGCTTGGCCTTGCCATTTGGCAAAGTCAAATAGCTGGGGACAACGTGTGCGTATAATCCTGCTACAACCCTCCATTATATCTGAGCATCATAAATTAATTCTGTAAGAACATGGCTTGTCTAAGCAATACTTCTGCTAAGCCATTTATGGTACGTGTTTTTCCCCAGTCTGCTTCAACTCTCTCTTTGTTCATCTCCTTTCCGCCTACCGTCTTTCCAAAAACACTTGGGAAACTTGATGCAGTTTCAATATGATCTGATTTTAATTGATTAATTCTGAGCATCAAGCGTAATCCAAAGGTGCACATATAATCCACTCCACGTAAAGTGGGGTGAAAGGATATTTCAGCCTCCTCTTGAAGCAGGAGCTGCCCACACTCCTGTCAGGCATCAGAGGACCCGAACCCACAGCAGGTTGCCAGGAATGGACAAGACAAGGAAAAGTCCTCACCATCTGCTTTTTATTCAATATTCACAGAGAGAGGCTTGGAATGCAGCCTCTCAGAATAATGGCATTGCTCTGAGTGAGTCTCCACCCCCTCCACCTCTCCCACTTCCTCTTGCATCCTCGCCACAGGTGCTGAAAAGTGGTTTGCCTTTGAGCTCTTTGCTCTCATACTTTCAATGCTTGCCGGGTTCTGGGAGAGGGGGGTTCTGGAATGCTTTCTAAAGACACTGTGTCTGTCAGCTGTCCCCCCTCTGGTGCTTCTTCCTCCTCCTCTCCCATTATTTCCCAGCTTCCCCCCTCATCTGCCTCTGAGCTGTGACCTCCCTCAAACCCCTGATGTAATTCTGAACTATCTTCTTCTCCTCTCAAAGGGTCAGGCTGGGGAGGCAGTCTCCACCATTCCTCCTCTGCCCAGTTTCTGACAACTCACCTGAAAAGTGACCCCTTAAGGTCCAGGGACCTTGGACATTTTGTGGGGAGCACTCACTGTCAGAAAGGAAATCAGCAATCCCCTTGCACATGTGCACTTTGCATCCTCCCCCCTCCAGTTATTTGTTGCAGAAGCTACATCATTTTGGCAGGGTGCACAAGAAATGATTCTTGCGGTACTCACGGCCAGAGTGTCCTCATAGACATATCCATAGTAGGGAGTGCCGACAAACATCGGAGGTGTGTCCTGAACATCTTCCACATTGATTGTGACAGTGGTTGTGGCTGAGAACACCTTGTTGTTGCCACGGAGCTTGCCGCCGCCATCCTAGGATGTAAAACAGTTCCAAGATCTTAGGATCCCTTTGCATTTCACACACACAAAATGTGCTCCACTCATTTGGAGTGAGAGACCAGGCTGAGAAGTACAGCTCTGATGAGGAATGGTGGGAGCCTCCCCCTCCCTTTGGATCCTGAAGCTACCCAGGAGCAGGAGGACAGTATAGATTTGGAACAATGGTTTGCAGAAGGGCATAGTTCTGAAGACAAAAGTTGGGATGAACTGGGGGTTGAACAGCAAAGTGAAGTAGAACAGGAAGAGATAGAGCTAACAGACTCTCTCACACCGGAGACTGTCCAGCCTATCAGTCCAAGGACACGTAGAGGAGATAAGGTGGCTGCACAAAAGGCACAATGGTTGCAAGATCAGGTTGCAAGGCGCAGAAATGACGAGGGGGGAAGTGGGTGGAAACCTTAATTGGAAACACCATCATTTCAAGAATAGCTGTGTTGGTCTTTTGCTGTGATCATTAAAGACTCTTTAAATGGTAAGCAACTCTTTTCACTTTGGCCTGCTTATCTACGGCAAAAGGGTCCCCGAAGCCTGACAATTGCTCTGCTCCTGGTAGAATAGACTAACTGGACATGTTGAAAATTATGCGTACACCAGAACTGATGAAAATAGGAAATATCTGATCTGGCACAGATAGATGGGGCTCATTTCCTGAACCATAGGAAGTTCCCCCCTCATTTTCAGCTTTTCTTCTGTTAACTACTTCTGAGGAGGCCTGACCTTAAGTGTCCAAGATTCTACATCCCCAGGATTCTAAGGAGAGAGGCTTTTCCCCGGGGACCACACCCAAGGTGACAACGGTTACTGTCACTGGACCAAGGATTTATTGCAGTGCTCCTCATGGATGCAAGTCTTTCGCTGTGTCAGCACAATATCAGTGGTATCAAATTACCAGCCAGTATCGCCCCCAATTCATCTGAATTTATCCTCTCTGCAGAATATACAATAAGCAAAGAACAAACACTTGTTGCCAACAACCCATTTGCAATATCTCAATGACTCATTTGGAATATGAATCCAGCAGTATACAAAATGCTTCTACCCATTTCTCAATTTTGCTTTATTTTTAATTGCTCTTGTTTGTTCCTCAGCCGAGGTAAATCCATCACATATGCTTTGTTTGCTTTTCTTTGAAAGGTTTGCAGATTTGAGCTTCAACTGGTCAAAGGGTAGCTAAGTCGGAAAATTCCGCTCTCCTATAGGGTACCAGAGGCTGAATTTACCCAGAATCCTTAAATACAGGCCTTGACATGATGGTAAGACCCCACTGATCTTGGCAACATTATTTCTGAAGGAAAAATCAGAGGACTGGAGTCCCTTAGAGACTCCCTTGTGATGGTATAATCAAAGTGCAAACAGCCTCTATGGACTATGAGAGAATTGACTCCTGCTGGAGCTGCAGGCACAACATAGGCAATTAAAGAGTCAATTTGACATATGTAGCCAGGAGGAGCCTTTCAACACCCAGTGATCATCATGGCTGAGCAGGGCTTTGAACTTTAGAGATCATCTACACAAACAACCAGATTATGCCCCGAAACCTTTAGCTCATATAGTCACTATGTCCATTCCACCCTTTCTTGGGCCAGGGGAATTGGCCTGTACACTGGAATGTACAAAGCATTTGTACAAAGGAGTCACAGATCTGCACAAATCTGTTTTCAGTTAATTATTACTCTCTTCTCCCCACACACCCCAATTTCATTTCCTCCTCCTCCTCCACACCACACAGATTGATGTCTAAAAGCTTGTAAATGGTATTCAGAAATATAATGAGATAACAGTCCATCTTGGATTGTCCAAGTTCAGAATGAAGGTGGAGGAACCTTTTGACTGAATGCTCTCTCTCATGTATAAAACTTCCTGAACCCAGAAAAGTAGGATGTCAGGGAACAGGAGTCTAACCCAGCCTTCATACTGAGATGTGCAGGGTAGGTTTATTGTTCACAAATATTTTTTAAAGTAAACAGGAGTGTATGGTGAGGAAGGTTGCTGTTGTAGATATGGCCTCCCAGCGGTGGTAACATTGCCACAGAAAATCATAGAGTTGGAAGGGACCACGAGGATCGTCTTGTCCGACCCTCTGCAATGCATGAATCTTTTGCTCAACATGGGGCTCGAATCCACAACCCTGAGATTAAAGAGTCTTGTACTCTCCTGACTGAGCTATCCCAGAACAGCAAGGATAGGTAGCAAGTTTGGGCCATATAGGCAAGACCAGCAGATTGGCTTAACTGATGCACTTGAACCGTCCAACTATGCTGCTGACTAATAATAATAATAATAATAATATTTATATCCTGCCCGCCCAGGCCAAAGCCGGCCATCCCAGTACACAGCAGAAACACTACTGCCAGGAGGCCAGATCCATAGTAGTGCTCCTCCTCACCCGCTCTTATTGGACTTGAAGTTAAAAATGGGCAACCACAACAATGGATCACACCTGACTACACAACAGGATTGCAATGCAACAAAGAGACCTGCTGGTTACAACGCTTAATATTTCCAGCTTATGTGGGATAACTGAAACATATATAATGGTACTATATATGGGCTTGTGATACCATAAATACACAATTAGTATGACATAACTTTTCAGAGATGGAAAAAAGGCAAGGTCCCTATGAGAAAAGAATGGCAAAGCAAGCTGATGGACTATGCCAAAATAGCAAAACTTGACTGGAAAACTCAGAAACCAAGAGGACAAAAACTTTATAAAAGAACAGGAAAAAATTATAAGTTATTTAGGAGACCACTGTAAGCAGATGGAAACATTGGCAGGATTTTTATTTCACTTGTAGTGTAACAATTACAATGGACAAAATGGGTTGATATAAAAATTAGAGTATGGAAGAATATGCAGTTGTAAATGTTCAAAATGGGACCCCGTGAAGGGGGCGGGGGGAAGTCCTGAGATTCGAAGGAATCTCTCTATATGGATATATATCTGGGTTTTGTATTTGTAAAACTAAATAAAAGTGATTTCAAAAATAAAAGAAAATAATACGACATAGGTTTTCATGGTCTATATTAGCATTAGGCTAAGTTTCAGGAATATGGTTGGTGTGTGCATTTAGAAGTGCAGTCAGAGAAAAATAAGATACAGAAAAGTACAGACAGCAATAATTATATATACGGCAGTGGTAATTTTTAATGTTGACAGTATAGACCAGGGGTAGGCAACCTAAGGCCCGGGGGCCGGATGTGGCCCAATCACCTTCTCAGTCTGGCCCACGGACGGTCTGGGAATCAGCTTGTATTTACATGAGTAGAATGTGTCGTTTTATTTAAAATGCGTCTCTGAGTTATTTGTGGGGCATAGGAATTTGTTCACCCCCCCCTATATATATATATATATATATATATATAGACTGGCCCACCATATGGTCTGAGGAACGGTGGACCAGCCCACGGCTGAAAAAGGTTGCTGACCCCTGGTATAGACACCCTGGCATTGGCAAGCGAATTAACACATATTTTGGTTCTGTCCACAAGTGATAACACCAAGGCTCTTGGTGTATTTTAATTCAGCACTTTTCCATTGCAGTCTCCCTTCAAATGACAAAGTGGACCTGTCTGGGCTAAATGGGCCATTGGCCTGGCTCTGTAATAAGGGAGGTCCATACATTCTCAAGATGAGAAATTGTCCACCCCTGCCCAATCATCACCATCTCTTTCAAAATGTGCACAGATATCTTGCACCCACAGACTCTGCAGGATACCACTCACTCTGTTATGGTAAAGCTGGATATGTTTGGCTGCCATAAACCATTTCTCCAGAACTTTGCACGGCAAGAATACGGAAAGATACTCAGGCCATGTCCTTCACTGTAAACCCCAGGAGAAATCATAGCAAGACTTCTCGAGGATTGCTTTGATTGACTGGCAGAAGTACTGTAGATCCAGTGTTGAGAAAATATTAGATGTCACAAGCTATTTCGGGCCTGTTAGATCTCACATCATTTCTATCACCTGCAAGGGTCCTTTTCCTTGCCCTTGTACAGTTTTCCCCACAGCTGGAAAAGTATGATCAGGAGAATATATAAATACCTTTGCCACCACAGTAACAAAATAAGTTCTGGATTTTTCATAGTCAAGAGTGATCCCGGTTTTGATGCGAAGGACACCACTGTGGCGATCTATAGTAAACTTATTTGTATGGATGTTCTAGAAGAAAAGAAAAGAAATGTAAGATTGTGTGTGTCTTTAATGCATAGGTTGATATCCTCCTGCTGTCAGAAACCAACTTTATACTATTTGCTCTGAAAGAACAAGACCTACGGCAACACAGGGAACAAGCGGCTGCCCGTGAAAAGAACGAGCACTCTGCAAATGTGAATTTCCTTGAGACAAATGGAGTTTTAATCTTCAGTAGGTCAACTGACTGAAGCGAACTGGAGCAAACACAGAATCCATCCCCTCTGACAGTAGCATGGCCAATTACCCATTGCTGAGAAAGGAGATTTGCGTTACCAAAGAGAACACCAATTGGCATGCGGTAAATTTTATGTAGAGGCACAAATTCAGAAATAATTGATATAGTTTAAATAGAAGTGCATGCTTCCCACGATACTGGGGAAGGCACCGCGTGACTCGGGTCACTCGTTCAGTCTGCTGACCCACAGCTGCCAATTGCTCCTCAAAGCTCTCCCTTTCTATGACCTGACAGCCCTCAAAATAGAGGACCGTTCTCTTTAAAGTAGGGCATAAGGCCACCCTAATTGTCAGGGGTCTTTTTCTGAGTGAGGAGACTCTACTCACTTTATGCTCTGCAACCGCCAAGGCTTCTGTGCTCACCCCATTGTGAGACCCATTTATTTGCATTGTCCAAAGAAGGGGGAAGTACAACAGGGAGTTATGTTGATGTAAGGTAAAAGGTAAAGGATCCCTGGACGGTTAAGTCCAGTCAAAGGCGACTATGGGGTTGCAGCGCTCATCTCGCTTTCAGGCCAAGGGAGCCGGTGTTCATCCACAGACAGTTTTCCAGGTCATGTGGCCAGCAGGCCTAAACTGCTTCTGGCACAATGGAACACTGACGGAAACCAGAGCCCACAGAAATGCCGTTTACCTTCCTGCCACAACATTACACCAACCTATAAAATGCTTCCTTTTGAAATCCTTGTCATCTCTACAAGTGCCAATCTAGAAACACAGAGGAGGGGCTGGTGATACGACCTGACAAAAGGATTCGAGAGGCAGAGGGCACATAGTATAGGACCAGCTCTCAGCATTTATGAATGTTGTGACAGGCTCAGCAATATTCTCAGACTTCCCGTAATTCTTATTCATTAACTCAAACCATTTATTGTAAAGGACAGTTGAGTTGTATCCAGGATAGCGCTATGTGAATGTTCTCTCCGCACAAAGATTTCTGCTTGCGCAGCAAAATGTTCGCTCCCTCTCCTCCCCTGTGCATCCTAAATCTGTTCCAAGGGTTCTTCCAACCCTCTGGAGCAAATGTGGGGAGTGGGAGGAGTGGGAGTAAAGTCCTGGTACATAAACAGGAAAAAAAATTGCACAGATGGGACACAGTAGCTCAGGCACCCCCAAACTCGGCCCACCAGCTGTTTTGGGACTACAGCTCCCATCATCCCTAGCTAACAGGACCAGTGGTCAGGGATGATGGGAATTGTAGTTCCAAAACAGCTGGGGAGCCGAGTTTGGGGATTCCTGAATTAGCTGCATACAGCCCTGTAGTCTGCCATCTTAACAGTAACAGCATCATCAAAACACAGGGTGGGTGTGTTTTTTTCTTCCTTTCCTGCCTCTGGGCACATCCCACAATTTTTAGCAGTATAACAATTCTTATACAGTTACATGTGCTTTACCAGAATATGTATAGAGTTTCATTTCAGGTAAAAGGACAGCTAGAAACAATCCTTCTGACAGCTTAGCAGTAAGGAGATTTTGTTGTGTTACTTGTGAAAGCAATTATACCCCACTGTTCGGCGCTCAGAGTGTTTTGCGGTAAAAAAATAAAATGAAATACAATACAGCCAAGAGCTTTTAAATGGAACCAAAACATAAACAGCATGGTGGAAACAAACAAAAAAATCAATCAAAGTTTAAAACCATGTGAAAGAAAAGGGGCTTCAGAACTTTGCTTAAAAGTTCAAAAGGGAGGCTCACCACCATAGTACTGTGTGCTTTCTGAGGAGGTGCAAATCTGCGAGAAGACCGTAATATTTGCCCCTTAATCATCTGGAACACTAGGACAGGGGTTGCTCAAAAAAGGAGAACGAAAAATGCTAAGGTCTCTTTTCAGTAAAAAAGAATGATTGCCTTTCTGTCTCCCTTGGCTGTGCACAGTGCTCAGCTTATGGTTTCTCTCCTTTCAGTATTTTTCTCCTGTTAAGAAGATTAGATTTAATCCTACTTAAATATTTGTGCTTTCAGAAGCAGCTACTTGATTAGTGAGCTCTCCAGTGTCTGAGGAAAGACCAAAATGAATAGGTTTACATGGATTCTTTTACCTCTAGTTGGGTGGGAATCAAAATTACTCAGCTGTGAGATTTTTATATTGCAAGCTCTATTAGTTCAGGTAGGCAGTGTCTTTTTTTGCACTGAAGTTTTGTCTTTGAAAGGGAAAAAAAATCCATGAGAAGAACCGGAACTGTTTCCACTGAGATATTGCTCCCTCCTAGATGGGTCATTCACTGATACACAATTGCAGCCAAATAAATTAGGACTTGTGTATACAGTAGCTAGCTGGCAACTGATACACTTGTGGCAAAGTATCATTAAAAGGTAAAGGGACCCCTGACAGTTAAGTCCAGTCGCGAACGACTCTGGGGTTGTGGCGCTCATACTGCACTCAAAAAACCCATATGTGTGAACAGTACCAAAAAAGAAAAGAAAAGAAAAGAAAAATTAGGGAGAAAGAAACATAAGTAAAAAGTCATATTTCAAATAGAGAAATCTCTAAGAATTGCTCTCTCCCTTTCCAGGATATGTCTGTCTTCTGCAATGTGTATGGCTTTTTGCACTGTAGGGAGGGGAAATGAGAAGGTCATGAAACCATACTTTTGCCTGCAGCTCAATACACAAAACAACCTTTCCTAACTCATCGTCTCAAGTAACCCTGGGAGGTAGATAAGTGATGCTTTCAGTTTATGAATTGGAAACTGAGGCAGACAGCTGCAGCGATCACAGAGCCTAGGACTTGCTGATCAGAAGGTCGGCGGTTCGGATCCCCGTGATGGGGTGAGCTCCTGTTGCTCGGTCCCTGCTCCTGCCAATCTAGCAGTTCGAAAGCACGTCAAAGTGCAAGTAGATAAATAGGTACCACTCCGGCGGGAAGGTAAACGGCGTTTCCATGCGCTGCTCTGGTTCGCCAGAAGTGGCTTAGTCATGCTGGCCACATGACCCGGAAGCTGTATGCCGGCTCCCTCAGCCAATAAAGCGAGATGAGCGCCGCAACCCCAGAGTCGGCCACGACTGGACCTAATGGTCAGGGGTCCCTTTACCTTTACCTTTTACCCATCTAACCTCTGAGTCACACAAGTCCGCTTACCCACTCTTAGGGGTGTGGCAGCTTTGTGGAACAGCCAGCGCCTCTCCTCCCACCAACGATGCAGGGCTGGGCATCAGGGTCTGATCCTTGCTGGACCGCGAGCTTCAAATCCTGCTCTGCGTCAGCCTGCCAAACTGGCAAATGGCAGGCTGGTGTAGAGGGCTAGGCTCTCTGGGGGCAGGCTGGAGGGAACAATCAGGCTTCCCTCAGGTCCACGCCTGGGGGATTTAAAACAGCCCGCACCAGCCCCCGATGCCCAGCTCTTCTTCATCGGATCAAACCAACTCCAGTAATTTTGCATTTACTCATTGAATTGACCTTGCTATGGCTGTGGTAGTTGCCGCATTTATGGGGCTGGGTAGGAATTTGCTTATCAGGCAAATTGGCTGTGACCTGGAGGTTTTGCCTACCTCGTAGCAATTGTCACAACTTTTAGAGGTTTAGGCATTGAGTAACGTGGGTGGCACTGTGGGTAAAACCTCAGCGCCTAGGACTTGCCGATCACATGGTCGGCGGTTCGAATCCCCGCGGCGGGGTGTGCTCCCGTCGTTCGGTCCCAGCGCCTGCCAACCTAGCAGTTCGAAAGCACCCCCGGGTGCAAGTAGATAAATAGGGACCGCTTACCAGCGGGAAGGTAAACGGCGTTCCGTGTGCTGCGCTGGCTTGCCAGATGCAGCTTGTCACGCTGGCCACGTGACCCAGAAGTGTCTGCGGACAGCGCTGGCTCTTGGCCTATAGAGTGAGATGAGTGCACAACCCTAGAGTCTGGCAAGACTGGCCCATACGGGCAGGGGTACCTTTACCTTTAACCTTAGCCTGGGTTGGAAGGGGGGGTTGTACCCTGGCCTTCCCATCCAGAAATAGAGTAACCTATTAAAGGGATCTGTGATGGAGTTACTTCTGTCCATTTAGCCAGACAAGGGGCTTGGGCCTCAGCGGTCCTAGAGGTGGTGATCCCTGAGGGGATCCCCCTATTTGATGTAAGTCGTAGGAACCCCCGCTGCCGGCGTTGACCCTGATGTCATTTCTGGTAGGCAGCCTGGAAATAAATGCTTACCCAATGCCTATGCCAAACCACTTCATCTGAAGTCAATAAAGTTGTGGCCTGATTTGATCCCATTCAACTGTGTGGTCTCCTTTATTGGTAGCTCACCTGGGCGGAGGGGGCACAGCCTGGCCCTGCAAGTATCATTTCAGAATATTTTTATCTCATGCTGTACCAAGCTGAGCTCATAGATGGGGAACCTGTGACCCTCTAGAAGTTGTTGGACTGCAGCTCCCATCATCCTTGACTGGAGGATGGCGGCTGAGGTTGATGGGAGTTGCAGTCCAACAATATCTGGAATGGCAAAGGTCCTCATTCCTGCATTATATCATTATGGAAGTTCTAATGTTCTTAGTATTAACTTTATAGTCAGAAGGTACTCAAACAAACAGACACCATGAGATGGATTTTACCATATTTTTCTCTCCATAAGATGCACCTGACCATAAGACGCACCTAGTTTTTAGAGGGGGGAAAGCAAGAAAAAAAATATTCTGCGCAGAGCATGTAAGCAGCTCTTGCTTTTCTTGCTTTAAACCCTTCCATCGCTCCTCCCCGCTTCACTGAGAAGCCAGCAGAGCAAGAGCAAGAGCGATAGCTGCACGGCGCCTCTTGTTCTGCTGGCTTCCCAGCAAAGTGGGAGGAACGACGAAAGGGAGCCCTTACAAGGGAGCGCTGAGCAGAGCCTGGCAGCGGCTCTTGCTGGCTTTTCTGGGAGGTGTGGGAAGGGACAGAGGGCAGCCTGTCAGTCCCTTCTCCCTCCTCATGGAAAAGCCCCCAAGAGCCGCACACACGCTAGGCGCGGCTCTTTAAAGGGAGTGCTGAGCAGAGCCTCCCACCTGCTTTCACTCCTTAAGATGCACACACATTTCCCCTTACTTTTTAAGAGGGGAAAAGTGCGTCTTATGGAGCGAAAAATATGGTAAGTGCCTCCCAGTGCTTCCAGTCCACTCTTTGTCTTATTCCTGGGGTGCCTGACACCTAAGTCAATATTTACCTGCAGAAAGTAGGTTATGCTCCCCCCTGAACCGGTGTCTCTGTCTATGGCTTCAATTTTCAAGATGCTGCTGCCTGAAGGTGTGTTCTGTGAATCCAAACAGAGAACATAATCAGAGATGGGCATAAGAAATTAGGGGGTATTAGTAAAATATAAATATACTCCTATGGTGGGAAGGTAATGTGTTAGGAAAGCAAAAAGAGAGAGTGAGAACAATGAGATATTGCATTGGGAAGAAGGGGAAAGAGAATCAAGTTCATTCCTTCCCCATCCATCCCAAAATCACAGCAGCAACAAGGAGAGAGACAGAGCAATGAAGAATATGTCCATGTCAGCTGTTTTTACTCTTCACTGAGCACTGAAGTGTACAGTCTAAAGCTTGGGGAAAGTCTCCGGAAAGGCAGGGTAAAAACTGACATAACATTTGACAGATGAAACCTCTATAGAGCAGTGGGAATAGTTTTAGATACGCTCTCAAAATGATCAATACAAACTTACTTTTTTGAGCTCTTATAAAATGATTTGGGCAGTTTCCTGGGGAAGCAGATTGTGGGCAGCTGTAACTGATTGGCTAGTGCCCAGGAAATCACCAAATGCTGCCTCCCAGTCCCCAAGGCAGTTTGTAGTAGTTGTTATTACTTTTTTACCTTACTTTAAAAATGAAATAAAATAATGACACCTTTTCTTTCCAGACAAGGGATAACGACATTATCATCAAATTGCAAAGCTCATCAGAAACCTTCATTTGAAGTGGAATTGCATATGTCAACACTGCTTGAATCTTACCACAAAAGCAGCCAGTGCACAACTTACAGCTATGCTCATCATGGGGTAGCCGAAACCAATTTCCTCTCTGTTTACATTTGCTAAAAAGACAGAGTTAAGTTTCACCAACCTCCAGGACTTGGGCTATGTATGGTGTGTTGGTAAATTCTGGGCTCTCATCATTAGCATCTGTTACAAGGATCCTGACTTTCTCAGCCACCTAAAGTTGAACATGATGCAATTTTAGACAGGAAAGTGGATTTATACCAAGGAGTGATCATATGCACACTTGGCTGCATCTTAGCCCTAATGACAACCATTTTAAGAACTACTAGGATCAGAACAAGAGTTCCTCAAGGGTGGCAGCTTTGATCCCCGTATGGGACAGTTGCATATTCCTGCATTGCAGGGGGTTGGACTAGACCAGTGGTCCCCGACCTTTTTTGGACCATGCCCCCACCTAAGCATCTCTAAAATCCTGGTGCCCACCCCCGCCGTGATGTATAATTCTTATTATTCAAAAAATGAACTCCTGTTCACTAAAAGGCCTAAAAGGCCATTAACTTGGTCTAAACAAGCTTCCAAAGAACATGGCATCCATGAAAGAGAAAAATAAAAGAACGAAAGGACAGTTGAAGTACAGTGGTACCTCAGGTTACATACGCTTCAGGTTACATACACTTCAGGTTACAGACTCCGCTAACCCAGAAATAGTACCTCGGGTTAAGAACTTTGCTTCAGGATGAGAACAGAAAACGTGCTTCGGCGGCGCAGGGGCAGCAGGAGGCCCCATTAGCTAAAGTGGCGCTTCAGGTTAAGAACAGTTTCAGGTTAAGAACGGACCTCTGGAACGAATTAAGTACTTAACCCGAGGTACCACTGTACTGAGGAAGAAATCACTAAGAAATCTTTAAAATGTGTGTGTTGCAATATATATTTATATAGTAGTAGTAGTAGTAGTAGTAGTAGAAGAAGAAGAAGAAGAGTTTGGATTTGATATCACTACCCGAAGGAGTCTCAAAGCAGCTAACAATCTCCTTTCCCTTCCTCCCCCACAACAAACACTCCGTGAGGCGAGTGGGGCTGAGAGACTTCAGAGAAGTGTGATTAGTCCAAGGTCACCCAGCAGCTGCATGTGGAGGAGCGGAGACGTGAACCCGGTTCCCCAGATTACGAGTCTACCACTCTTAACCACTACACCACACTGGCTCCCTGTATACGAGGCCCCTAGAACCATAGGAAATGCAAAAAGGTCACTGTTAATAACTCATTCTCAAATTGCCTCCCTGAAAAATTAAATTGCCCCCCTTTGGGGCATGTGCCCCACGTTGGGAACCATGGGACTAGACAATCCTCGAGGTCCCTTGCAACTCTACAATTTTATGATTCTTCGATTCTATCCGTTTCATTGAGGGACCTACACTTCTAGCCTTTGGGGTGAGTGTATCTCTATCCTCTTTCTTCCAACAATTCACAGGCCAGGGTTCAAAGCTCCACATGTGGGAGGGCTTCCCTCCAATGTGAGGAAGTTAAACATTCACCCACTTCCCCATGCAGTGCAGATGAACATTTTGCCTTTTTTTGTTCACAAGATGCTATTCCCACTAAGAAAACCTTAATATGGAAATAATGTGTTTATCTGTGTCTACTCGTGAGTCAGATGCACATGTGCCAACCCACTCTTGGAGTCTTGGTGAAGCCCATGTCTGAGTGAGTGATTAGTTACAAGGATCTGGTTGGGACAGATATGGAGGGTGGCTAAGAGCCCGGGGACTGCCCCAATATAATAGATTTTTTTAAAAAAATGTTTATTTGGTTTTCAGATCAAAGTTTTACAATCACATATCCAATATACAACATAAAAACAAGATTCTGAAGAATCTGCTGGACTTCCTTCCTCCCCTTTCTGTGTCGTATTGTTAATCATTTCCTCCTGCATCTTTTATGATAATCCAAATCTTTTACATCTCCATTATGCCCAAAATTCATCATTAAACTACAAGTATTATTCCAGTCCTACTAATGGTGGGTGGGTTATAATTTATCTTAAAGACCATTGTAAACACTTATATCAGATAAACCAAAAAACCTAGGGGTGATTCCTCACATCCCACAATCTATCCCTTGGAAATATCCAAGCGGTTGATTTGGCAGTTAGGAGAATGGCAACTGTTTCCTTTTCCATTATCTGATACAGAATCGAACATGAATAGGCAACGGTGAGGAAAACCCCTTTTCTCTTGAAATACTTACCGTACTTAAGCCATCTGAGATGCTGACGACAACTTCAACCTCATCTTCTCTCTTAAAATAGAAAATAGAAGAATTGTTGTCCACAGGGTTGATGGGATCTAAGACTCATATTTTTAGAAGTGTAAAAATACAGCATTTATCAAATATTTTCTTGCTTTCTATGTAGTATTGTTTTAGCTGGCTAAATAAGTAACACATAACTCTGTCTGAAGAACGGAGTTAGGAGACCATTAACAGCAGAAACCTAGGGATGTCTGCTTAAATGTATGATCTATTGAGTTCAATGGGGCTTACTCCCAAGTAAGTGTGGGCAAGTTCATGTGCACACTTATTGTGGAGTAAGCCCAACTGAATTCAGGAATTAATTCTGAGTAAATATCCACATTGACTATAACTGTTTGTAGAGTAACCTTTCGAATATATGGAGTTTGTCTTCAATTTGTGAACTTCTTGGAAACATCCCTTTGGTGGACATAATTATGGTTACTAACATTTTATTTTAGCATGTTTATTTATGTGAAACATTATACCGCAACTATTCTTTACAAATATTAGGAAGTTTGCAATAAACCCAAATCACCCAAATTTTCAAATTCCATGTTTTATAAGCTGAAAATGAGGTTAAAAAATTATCGTTATTTCTGCCATTTGCTTCATACTGATTATACTCATTTTGTCCCCCAAATTAATGGATGGTATAACCAGTTGTCCTACGACTGATAGATATGGCCCTAAATTTTCACCGGAGGCAATAAACCTGTGTCTGGACTGAACCATTTTAGACCACAGGTAGACGATCATATGGTTGAATATTCCTCCCTAAAAGAAAACAAAATCTTTGCACAGAGTAAAGAGCATGTCAGGGAGATGGGCTTAAACTTAAACTTCTCCCTAGTTTCCTTTGTGTGATTTTATTTTTTTTATAAAGATGAATTTGATTATGTGAATGCCCCGCCCCCATGACATTTTAAGTGAACAGCCCAGGTAGGGGGTTATCAGCTCAGTGGGAACTAAGCTGACACAAACAACCATCTTAAATTGATCCTGACACCACAAATAGATTCCGCTTTATTGCACTGTACCTCACGGTCCAGCTCTTCAATCAGTGTAACATTTCCATAGTTTTCATCAATAGCAAAGTACTTTCTTGACCCAGATTCAAAGGTCATGCCATAGGTTACCGGATCCCCTTCGGGATCTGTTCCATTTAACGTGTACACGTGTGTACCTGAAAGAGAGAGATTAGGACACCTTGTAGAAAAAATTGCTTTTGGGGGGTATTGTGAAGAGCCACTGCAAATGTTGTTATACAGTGGAACCTCGGTTGTCGAACATAATCTGTTCTGGAAGACCGTTCGACTTCCAAAACTTTCGACAACTGAGGTGCAATTGCTGGTCAGCAAAATCCATTGTAAAAATGGAGAAACACTCCTTGGAAGCTGTTTGACTTCTGAGGCGCGTTCGAAAATGGAAGTATTCACTTCCGGGTTGTCGGTGTTCAAAAGCCGAAACATTCGACTTCCGTAGCGTTCGACAACTGAAGTTCCACTGGAGTAACATTTGTGTGTGTGAAAAAAATTGAAGTACATTGCTGTCTTTAAGAAAAAACCTAGGTCATTCTTTTTCTCACTTGAGATTGAAACTAGTTTGAAGGGAAATGCATCAAAACACAGTATTTCATAAGCAGTGAGAGGCAGTGTCGTAGCTTGGGGCGGTTGCCCTGAGTGCAAAATTGTCAGGGGTGCAAAATTTCAGTACTTTACCTTTGGCGTGCTAAAGGAGTTCTCGCGTTTTTGTTTTGTTTTGTTGTTTTGCAAGCAAACAAGGACCAAAAGCCCTGCTCTTCCGTGCCTCCCTCCTGCAAGCTGATATCAACTGATGTTTCACTGGTTGTGCGAATGCCAGGATGTTAATAGGATGTTAAAATGGGAAGGTTTTACGGCTTCTCCTTCAGATCAGCCTTGGTGTCTGGCTGATAATTTTTACACCTTTCTCAGCACAAGCTCTCCATATCATTAGCACCCGGGGAACACTTCTCAGTGCAGAATTAACACCAATTAAAAAAAAATCTATATTTGGCATTTCTGCCTCCTCTTGCTGAAAAGAAAAGTGAATTTAAAATTAGCCTTATCTTTGTGGGCACCAGCAAATGGAAACAGAAGCAAACACAGCAGCCTTCATCCCTTGGGGCAGGGGGAAACAAAAGCCTTTCCCTAGGTCCATTATGATTTGTGAGCTGAAACTGAATCTTGGCATTAATCTACCTACCTAGTCAATATATCAGGTGTACAGTGAGGAGCAGTAAAACCAGTGATATTTTTCTAGAAAAAGTGATGCTGGAATTCACCATCATCACCTCCCTGGTTCTCTTACAATGGCAATGACAACCACCTGAGAGGAACTGAATTCTGGTGAGTTCCGGCTGAAAAAAAAGCCTTGAATAAAACTCTGGAGGAAATGCCCATGAAAAAGGTAAAACTCTGGACAGGTGAGAAGGGAAAACAGGAACTACAGTAGGAATGGGAAAGTAAAAAAAAAAAAAAAGGAAACAGGTAAAGGACCCCTGGATGGTTAAGTCCAGTCAAAGGCGGTTATGGAGTTGTGGCGCTCATCTAGCTGGGTTTCCCCAGCCACTCTAGACATAGTTTGGAGTAGGTCCAAGTAATGCCCACAAAAAGCATGAGGCAAAGTGGGAGAGGAATTTGGGGGTGCAAAAGGTCTACAAAACCCCAGTGTATCTTTTTCATTTCTTCTGTGGCACATCACAGCCAGGGTGATCCACTTCTCTGCTCCCTCCTCCATCATTTTGTTTTCTCTCTCTCGCCACATGATCCTGGCCAATCGAGAATCGCGTAGTGAGCGAGAGGATTTCGCATGTAGCCAATCGGAATTGGCCACCTACTGTTATTACTGAGAGTGAGCGTTGCGCTTACGGTGGTGGGAGGAGGGATGGATAATGCTCGTGTTGTCCTGACAGACCAGATGACTCGCTCTTCCTAGCTTCTTACCCTTTGCCGGAATGTGGCACGGTGCAGGAAGAAAAGGAATTTGCCGGGATGTCTGGAAAGTGCAGGGATGTGCACAAGAAAGGAACATTTTGGAGGGTGGGCACGTGGATAGAGGCTTAGATGGTGGCATTCAACTGCTAAGGAGAGTTCAAGCCTGGGAAGGGAAAGCTGGTGATGGGTGCCAGCCATGGTTTTGGTGAAGGAATTTGGATAGGCAAAATATGGAAGGCTGGCATGTTTGGACTGATTTATGAGAGAATGATTAACAGAAATTAAACTCTGGTCCCCTAACTGGCAAATTTCTGGTTAAAGAAAGTCAGGCATCTGCTGGACGTGGAGTTTTGTGTTTGACCCATTCGAGTGTAATGTTCCTGTCCTACAACAAATCCCTTGTGCGTTAATTGTGTGAAAAATACCAGATAGATAACTCATTCTAGCAAGGAAGTTCTAGAAACAAGCTTAAGCGTGCAGAGCCAATGGAAATTCATGTTTACTAACACTTGCATCGCAGTGCTCACCCAGGCCCCATTGAATTGGCTGAGTGTCGCCATTTGTTGTGCAAAATTACAGCCAAAATAGCGTACACACATGCATTTGAAGGCACATGAATGCTACTTACACAAATGGCCCATTTAACTCATTTCATTTATAGATAAGTCTTCAAGTTTAAAGACAAGAAGAGTTTTTAGGTGGACACAACCTGCACAAATACGACTGAGTCTCTTTTCTTAGTTTTTAACAAATGAAAAAGAAACCAGCAAATTCATATTGTTATTTTGAAAAAGGAGTGGGCTATATCGTAAGACTGACCGACAGCTGTGTCTTCTGAAAGGCTGAGAAGTGCCATGTTCCCGTTAGTGCTGCTAGCTCCATTGTCGAAGAAATAGGGAGCATAATTCGCCTGAGCTGCAGGTCGGAAAGAAAACAGAACTCAAAACAAAAGCATTCTTTAGATCACAAACAGATGAATTTGCTACCCTGCCTGCCTCTGAGTACAAAGCAAAGATCAACCCTCAAGGGAATAATCTGAGTTCACAATATATCCAATTATGCTAATAGATCACATCTACATTTTAGAAAGTTTATGGCCATATTTAAGGGATCCTGTACTATCTGGTTAATAATACAAATGGCTATGAATCAGTTAACATATTACAGATGTACCCGTATATATAACACACAGAAAACGAATTAATCAGGATCCCACCAGACAGTCTGAAGTTTTTTGCTTGTTGAATGAGCCTTCATTAAATGCTCACTAACTGCAAAACGAGCATCTTTGACCTCCAGGCAATCCCTAAGCAATCTATTGGAGATTCTAAAACATTTTGATTTTCAGGGATGCCTATCAAGAAGCCATAATGAAATAATTACTTACTTGCTGCAAGAGAACAGCAAAGTTCAAAGAAAAAAAAAGTAAAAATGAAATGAAATTAGTTATCATTCTAATCACAGATCAAGAATCAATAACAGCCCACTTGGAGCTACAGGTAATACAATCGGGGGGAGGGGGGGTTAAGGAGGAGGGGGGACAGCCAGCAAGCAGTATTTATTTACACAGTTATCAAGAAACAGTTGCAAGGCCACATTATGAAGGATTACTAACAAAGCTTAGGCGTACGTTGCTGTCCTATAGTTTCTTAAGGAGCCAAGAGGTTTTTTGTACTTACCCAGGCAGACATGTATCAAATTGAGGAACAAAGATGGGGGCAGCTGCCATAGATGCTTCATCCCCCCAAAGCAAGGGTCAGTATCTTCTGAGTTTGGGGGCAGGTGGGTGGAAATATGGCCCCAAAGACCCGGCAGTAAGCTGTCCTTCAGCCCCGTGCAGCGGGGAGAGGCAGGAGCAGATGTTAAGATGTTAAGTGGATGACGCGTCTTAATTTCCGAGGAATTTAAAGGCGCTCCTTCCTTCCACCTAATTAGACCAATTACTTTGCAAGGAGCTCTGGGACTCATTTCTCTGCGAGAGAGTTTGGAGGAACCAACATCACTCTCTGCTGGGGCTGTTATTGTCGTGCGCTGCACTCACACCGCCCAATAAAACATTTTCCAGATCTGGAAAGACAAGGTAAAACCAGGGTTTGAAATATCGCTCTCCTTCTTTTTTCTAACCTCGCTTTTCTTTTTTCCAGAAATGGAAGGAAGGACAACTTTTACCTCCCTCGAAAGGCTGATGGAACAAATTCTCAAAAGTAAATCAACTTTGACTTACTGAGTGAGCAGCAACATGTAGCATTCTTATAACCAGGAAATCTTTGCCTGAAAGATGGATGTAAATGTAACAAAGAGAAGTGCTCGTTAATCTAGATAATTATTTTACTACATTTTCAAGACTGACATTGTATTAGGTTTCTAATACTTGATTGATAAGTCCACCAATTTGATAACCAATATAGATAACATTTAAAAACAACAGGGCTTTTGTTTCTCATTCCACTTTATATTTGATAGAAAGAAAACTGTGGTGTTTTTTAAAATATCATTTTGAAGATTTGTGCATCGCAGGGGGTTGGATTAGATGATCCTTGTGGTCCCTGCCAACCCTGCAATTCTAGGGTTCCATGAAGCACTTATTAACATAATGTAATTCATTAAATCAAGGGCTAAACTAAAGCACTTGTCACCCAAATTTGTACCTCTAGCTTGAAAAAAAGTGCTTCATAAATGATTTGCCGTATTTTTCGCTCTATAGGATGCACCAGACCACAAGACGCACCTAGTTTTTGGAGGAGGAAAACAAGAAAAAAAATTCTGAATCTCAGAAGCCAGAACAGCAAGAGGGATCGCTGCGCAGTGAAAGCAGCAATCCCTCTTGCTGTTCTGGCTTCTGGGATAGCTGTGCAGCCTGCATTCACTCCATAAGACGCACACACATTTCCCCTTAATTTTTAGGAGAGAAAAAGTGAGTCTTATAGAGCAAAAAATACGGCAATTCATTCTGCGACTGAAAGTGTCAGACTGAATTCAAAGGGATTGCAGCCTTAAACAGGGCTCTCCAAATTTGGATTTAAGAAAAAAAAAGCAATGAGAAATTGACTTGATTTATTTTTTTTAAATGGGACTAAATCATTAGAGTTTGCACCAAACAGCACAATTACTAGGAGTTAGGCTGAATGGAGAAAGCATTGTGCCGTTATGAAGAATAAACCTGTCTGTCCAAAGTCCTGAGGCCCCTTGGTGCAATAATATTGCTTACACCTTCAACAAAAAAAGTGTATTGCTTTTGTGTTTCATATCAATGCAGGAGAGGACATACGGATTTGGTCCACTTTGCAGTGACACATCTCGCTAGCAACCAAACCACACAAAGCTGTTCACCCGCAGATTGTTCCAAGTCGCTCTCTCGATGTCGCACCCGCAGCAAGAGGTGTTATAGCACATAGGAAGCATAACAAAACATCACCTCCATACCTGGAGGTGAGCTCTGTTCTGCAACACCTTCCTTGTTAACGCTTCTACGGATCTAAATAGGACTGAGGATTATGGACAGAAAGTGATACAAAGCTAAAAACACAAGCCGCAAACTCAGCAAACCCCAAAATAAAAGCCAATCCTCATTCATTGCCCATGTGCTAAAAATTATCCACTGCTTACTACAGTTTAATAATACATTTGAAACTTCTTTAAGACACACTGATTTCCCCCCTTTCTCGTTTGGGGTGTGTGGGTGTGGGTGTTTACTATATTTACTTGTAGTTACTTCAGGACAGTCCCAAAATGCAGACTTTTGAAACAGGAATTGGAAGGTAGGTGAAAAGTTGGCATGAAGCAAATTGACTCTGGCATGTCCAGCTTCCAAGAGACTGAGATCTACTCCGACTATAAAAAAAAACTGGCAGTGATCTACAAAAGTTGTTGAGCTTTTTGGGGCAGGTAAAAGTTGTTCAGCATTTTTTAGAAAGTCAAAGTTGTTGAGCTTTTTTGTGGCGGGTCCAATGATCTACCGCAATCTGCCACGGACACCCCACAATCTACCAATAGATCGTGATCTACCTGTTGGACACTGCTGCTCTAGTAGTTTCACCTTTCAGCAGCTCTTAAATCCATTTGTCCAGCAATTTGAAGCTCTGGTTCCTTGATCCGACTGAGGAATGCTGCACGCAACATCCATGTGCATGGGTTGGGCTAGATCAGTGTTTCTCAACCTGTGGGTCCCCAGATGTTGTTGGACTACAACTCCCATCATTCCTAGCCAGCATGACCAGTGGTCAGGGAAGATGGGACAACATTTGGGGACCCACAGGTTGAGAACCACTGGGCTAGATGAATCTGGGGATCCCTCCCAACTCCACAGTTCTATGATTCTATGAATGATACCACAAAATTTCCATGTGAATCGAAGCCTGCTTTCATATGCTTCCAGATCCTCTTTGCTAGAATGGGGTTCCATATCTCAGACTTACAAGAATTATGGATCCCCATCTCTTTTCTTGCAGTATGCGAAAGCACAAACTGAAAATTCCAAAGTGGGTCTACTTTGTCCATCCGTATTTCACATCCATTATGAAGTGTGCAAATTTAGGGATGCTCTAAAAGCATGCTTTCTTTGAAAAACATATTCACATTGCAGAAACAGGTAGAGAGGAAGGCTGCAGAAGTTGGAGTCTGTCAAAGGAATTCCAAGCCCCACCCCCAACTCTGTCACTTTCACAGGTTTAGAATTTCTTTCTTCTTGTTGGGCAAAATGAGGTTTTTTTAAAAAGGGAGAGTAAAAGCTGGTTGATTTTACTCAGTTATGCCACTATGATAAAAAACCATCTTATTCCAATTAGTTCCAAATAAAACCATGATCCCCTCCAAAAACACAAAACAACAACAACCCTCCAATAAAGTATACATTTTTATCCAACTGGCAGTAAAGTATACATTAAAGTATACATTTGATCCAACTGGCAGTAAGTGCCAAATAAATATATTCCACAGAACTCAATCTGGCCCGATCTGAGCCTGATAAACAGAAAGTACCCATAGTCAATATTGTGGATTGCCGCGGAAACAAAATCCATTATGCTGAGACTTTGTGACATTCTTTATCTGATCATAACCTAGAAATGCAGAGGCACTTTCTCCTCTCAGGGATGCAAAATGGTCTGTCATTATGACTGGATTTTAAACTACTTTCACTAGGGGCAAAATCACTTGTAAACAACCGTGGTTTTAGCCCAAGTATACATTTCCCCTACTTTCTAGAAATGAGGAGCAAAGATTTTTCTCAAGGTGGAACTAGATATGACGCAAGGTTGGAGCCAGACAATCATAGGATTGTAGAGTTGGGAGGGACCATGAGCATCATCTAGTCTAACCCTCTGCAATACTGGATATTTTTTTTTCCAATGTGGGGTTCAAACCCATAACCCTGAAATTATGAGTTTCATGCTCTATCGACTGGGCTAACCCCACTATCATTAAGAGTCCCTCCAGACTGGGTTTGGGGGTTTTTTGAGGATGTATTCTGAGACATGTCATTGATGCAAAAATAACATATTACTGGTGGATTTGCCATACTTTTCCGTGTATTAGACACCCCCATGTATAAGACACCCCCTATTTGGGGGGACTCAAATTTAAGAAAATGGGCTCAGAGTTGCTGAACGTTTGGGGGGAGGATTACCCAGGGTTGGTTAGCTTTTTAAAGGGGGGATTGCCAAAAATTGCTCACCTGCACGCGTCAAAAAATCAGTCTCGTGTCTGTCCCATCGCCGGCAGAGGCTGCCAAACGTCCGCCCAATTACCACAGCATCAGCCAATCAACACCAGCCATTGACACAGGAACCAATAAGCCACTGACAGCCACGGCAGCAACCAATCAAACGTCCACCCTATGCACTATCCATGTATAATACCAGGCACACCCAAACTCAGCCCTCCAGATGTTTTGGAACTACAACTCCCATCATCCCTAACTAACAGGACCAGTGGTCAGGGATGATGGGAATTGCAGTCTCAAAACATCTGCCAACCTAGCAGTTTGAAAGCATGCCAGTGCAAGTACATAAATAGGTACCGCTGTGGCGGGAAGGTAAATGGCTTTTCCATGTGCTCTGATTTCCATCACAGTGTTACGTTGTGCCAGAAACAGTTTAGTCCTGCTGGCCACATGACCTGGAAAACTGTCTGTGGAGAAACGCCGGCTCCCTTGGCCTGAAAGTAAGATGAGCACCGCAACCCCATAACCGCCTTTGACTGGACTTAACCATCCAGGGGTCCTTTGCCTTTTTACCTTTTTACCTTGGCTGTTAGATTTCTAAGGTCCTCAGGAAGGCACTGGACATTTTGCTCATCTGTAAAGCAACATGTTCATCAAACATTACTACATAAATTGTAAATAATAAAGTATCATTCAGCTTTAAGTGGCAGGGATACATGGGAGCAAAAAGGAGCATGAGGTCTCTCTCTCTCTGTGTGTGTGTGTCTCTCTCTCTCTAGAAAGCTTTCGTGTTTTGTTTTATTTCTGCTTTTTAGTTTCCCGCTAGATCCCCATCTGTCATTCTGTAAAGGGTAAGGAAACGGTTACCATGTGCAATGCGCAGCAATCCTCTCGGCTCTTGGGTTAGGGCATTGGAGGCTTATGAGTGCATGACTTGGGTCTCCATGCTCTAGCTGGAACAAAACGATGGCGCCTCTGGGCTCTGCCAGCAGATGATGGATGTCCACTTTATTAGGTCTATGGCTGACTGAATGCAACAAGATCAGCACAAGCCTAATTTACTCACCCTATCAGCCGTAAAAAGGCATTACATAAGCAGCTGCCCAATGAGAGAGAAAAAGGAAATGGATCAATACATTGGAAACAGTGGTGTGGGAGTTCCTGTACAAGAAGCTGTTGGGCAGACAGGCAAATTGTGTCCTTTGGTAGACCCAAAAGTCATGCAGAGGCTTTGGGTTCGAGAAATCGGCATGGCTGCAGTTGTAATATAAGCCACAGAGCATGGGCTCAGAAATACTCTGGAATATACAATCCAGAGCTTGGAAAATAAGGTAAAGATATTGTCTAAAATGTATAAGATGTTGTTAGAATGGTACACTAAAGATGAAGAGGTTAAAGCGGTAATGATACATTGGGCAAGGGATTTTGGATATAATATTCAACTCTCTTCATGGGAGAAACTCTGGAGAGAGGATTTGAAATTTACGGCATGCAGTACATTGAAAGAAAACTATATGGAAATGATGTATAGATGGTATTTGACTCCCAGTAAATAAGCAAAGATGTATAAGAATACTTCAAATATGTGTTGGAAATGCAAGGGAAAAGAGAACACCATTTATCATATGTGATGGGCCTGTAAGGCAATAAAAGCATATTGGGAAATGATATATAATGAGTTGAAAAAGATCTTTAAAATAACGTATGTTTAAAAAAAACCAGAAGCCTTTTTATTAGGAATTGTAGGTGCAGAGATAACAAGGGAGTACAAAAGATTGTTTTTGTATGTGACGACAGCAACCCCGATGCTTCTATAACAAAGATGGAAGGAAGATAAAATACCTACAAAAGAAGAGAGGACAACAAAACTGTTGGACTATGCAGAGATGGCCAAAATGACTGGAAAAACCAGAAACCACAATGGCAAAAACTTTAATAAAGACTGGGAAAAGTTTGTAATATATTTAAAAGAACACTGTAAACAGTTAAAAACATTAGCAGGATTGAAATAACACTTGCAATGTGAAGAGAACTATGGATTTAAATAGAATAGTATGAAAAAATCGGAGGAAAACATGATATGCAGTGAAAAATGTTGACAAGAGGACTCCATGGAGGGGAGGATGGAAGTCTGTGAAGTCTGGAAGTCTGGCTCTGCCCCTCTGGTGCTATTTACCTGTTGCTCATAAAATACATTTACAGTTGCTGTTTTATGAATTTCATCAGCCATGACAGAAGCTGGACAAATGTACTGCGGTCTGGAAAGTAAAAGTTTCTCTTAAAAACAAATTGTGCGGGCAAGGGTATGCAATTGTGCCATTAATTGTACTGTTAGCCAATCCATCTGTGCATGCAGTTGACCAGGAGACGGAATTGAATATTGCAGTTTTTACAACACCATTTTGCCTATTCGGCTTTTTACCCATTCTGTAGTTCAATTAAGGGCTTTATGATCACTGTTTAATATTCATTTTAATGTCTTCTAACCTTTTTTACTTTCATAACAGAATGTTAATTTTAAACTTCTAATCTCAAACGCTGCCTTGGGATAGATGAGATAAATAAATACACAAATAGAAGAACTTGCAGACTCTCAGCAATTAGGGACAGGCGCTCTGTGCGTGCTCCAAGGCACTCATTCGCAAGTGTAATTTGCCTATAGCATCATGAAAGAGCTGAAAATGCTTTGGCTACAGATCAAATGAAATGTAGCATGCCAGGAACAAGGATTCACCCTGGACTTTTCCACAACGTAATAGCAGCAATGTTACTACTTGACTCTTTTGAGTGTAAACCACTGAGCCTAGGGCTTGTTGGTCAGAAGGTCGGCGGTTCAAATCCCCGCGACGGGGTGATCTCCCATTGTTTGGTTCCAGCTCCTGCCAACCTAGCAGTTCGAAAGCACGTCAAAGTGCAAGAAGATAAATAGGTACCGCTCCAGCGGGAAGGTAAACGGCGTTTCCGTGCGCTGCTCTGGTTCGCCAGAAGCGGCTTAGTCATGCTGGCCACATGACCCGGAAGCTGTCTGCGGACAAACGCAGGCTCCCTCGGCCTATAGAGCGAGATGAGTGCCGTAACCCCAGAGTCGTCCACGACTGGACCTAATGGTCAGGGGTACCTTTACCTTTACCTCTGAGAAGAGCATAGGTTTTTTTATTTAATAATTTATTTATTTTTGGTTTTACATATTTAAGTTTACAATCGTACCACAAAACATCCAAATTTACAAGATTCTTCCGAATTCTCCCGAATCTTCCCACCTTCCCCTCCACAGATTCTGTTGTTAAACCTTTTCTACTGCATCTTTTTTTAAATAATCAGGGTTTTTTTAATAACTCCATTGTATCCGTAGTTCTCTTTACATTACAAGTGCTATTGCAGTCCTGCTAATGTTTTCAGCTGCTTACAGTGCTTTTTAAGGTAAATTGTAATTTTTTTCCATTCCTTATTAAAGTTTTTGTCTTCCTGGTTCCTGAGTTTTCTGGTCAGTGCTACCATTTCAGCATAGTCCAACAACTTTATTTGCCATTCTTCTCTGGTAGGAACTTTATCTTGTTTCCATCTCTGAGCTATCTGAGAAGAGCATAGGAAAGGGAGGGTGACTTAGCTGCAAATCACTCTTCCCTTATTCGAAAAACCAGAATTAGCAGTTACTATTATTTACCGGCAAGACGTGTGTCATGATAATAAGACCTATAAGTATTACCCAGTGCAAAGCTCTTCCTTCTAAGGCCCTTGTTGAGGAAAGCTGGACTACTAATAGGAACAACAAGGGGGCAAAGTCTAGCCCCTTCTACAACATTGTTCCCAAGCGCAGTGTTTTCTGTTTCTTCATAGGAAAGAATGGCAGACATCTTTCCAGCACACTTGGAAGGATGACCAAACAGTCCCATTGGTGACCCTCACATCACTCTCTATGTGCCACGGTTAAGGGTGGTCTTCCCTTCCTCTGAGTTGTGTCCCAGCTCACAACTTGTCCCGCAGAACTGTGACAGGCATTCGGTGGGGGCTGTTGAGAAATCAGCCAACTCTTAAGTTCCTATTATCATTTATTAAATTTATATATCACCTTTGTCTAGGGATCATGGGATGGTTTAAGTTCCATTCATTGGGACATGTTATGGGCTGGTTACAATATCATCAGTTACATGAAATGTTTAAAACAGACAGGAAAAATGACTTTTTGGATCGAAGCTCAAAATTTGAAAAAGATCTTCTAGAAAACAAAGAAGAACTTTAAAATGTACAATCTCTTATTAGATTGGGAAACAAAAGACGAGCTTGTTAAAGCTTCTATGACACACTGGGTAATAGATATAGGACATAATATAGACTTTAACCTCTGGGGGAAACTTTGGAAAAGCAATTTAGAGTTCACAGCATGTTATTCTTTGAAGGAAAACTACCTGAAAATGATTTACAGATGGTATTTAACTCTGAGTAGGCCTGCTAAGATGTATAAGACTGAATCAGATAAGTGCTGGAGATGCAAGGAGGTTGAGGGAACTTTTTTCATATGTGATGGACTTGTAAAAATGTAAAAGAGTATTGGGAAATGATCCATAATGAAATGAAAAAAATGTTTAAAAGTACCTTCCCAAAAAACCAGAGTCCTTTTTGTTGGGGATAATTCGGACGGAAATTCCCAGGTGTCAAAAAAGGTTATTTATGTATGCTACTACTGCGGCCCGTTTTTTGTTAGCCCAAAAATGGAAAACGAGCGAAGTCTCAGCTAAGGAAGAATGGTACCTT